CCTACAGTTTCTTGCAAGTCAAAGGCTTGTTAATATCCTAATTAAAATGCAAAAAAAAATAGATTCCCCTTTTTCACCAAACTCGTGCTTTGATTGAAAGTATGTGTGTGAAAGATATTGGCCCTGTTATTCATTAGGTTCCTCAGAAGCATGAAGCTGGAGGCTAATGTTTGTGAGTATGCAGTATTTTCCCTGCAACCAGACATCTACTGACAGTATCTAAATAATTGCCCAGTGGTAATCTATGCACTGGAAAAGTATTGGCAGAATATACCTTCTGTTTTTCCAGCTCTATGCAATTACCCACTTGAATTTACATTTACTTTGGTTTTGAAGAGGAAGAACAGTTTGATCAACTAAAAATTTGGTAGGGTTTGTTTTTCCACTTAATTCACTCCACATGGCAAATCAATCTGTGCTGTTAAGTCATTCTCAAAAACAGTGGAACATGTAGTAGTTACTATTTACTACTCTGCACTCAGACATCATAAAGACCTAGATTAAAGAGAGAATTGTTACTAGAGGAAATATGTTGATTTTGTCTCCTTTTCTGTTTTTCCCTCCATTATGGTCTTATTAGAAATTAGCTAGATTTGCCAAAATGTAAAGAACTGTTTCTGTCCTGGCTTTTTAACTTACCTTGTGGGATCTTCCTAAAGTAGGTGACATTAATTCTGGTTGTTGAATCTGTTTCAAAATCTTACTTATCTCATATTACTTTTATAAGGAAGCTTTTAAAGGTGAAGAGGAACTCAGCCTTGAGAAATTTTCTCTTAAATGATGATAGGGAAAACACCTTAATGGTAAATTCTGACTTCTTTTCACCCCATTGTTTTGCATACATGAATGAAAACTTGTCTAGTGGCCTCAAGGCAAATAGACAATGGCACCATTCAATTGGAGACACTGTAATTTTTATCCTTCTTCAAGGTTATATGCTGTGAATAGATTTTCTCAACTTCCTTAACTTTTAGACTCGAGAAATACTTATATCAAGTTGAGTACCTACAGCTGCTTTTGTCTTAAAATGGCTTGAAAATATTATTGATAATGAACTAAAATTAGCAAGGAGGAGGAGAATGTTTAAGAGGATATTTGACAAAAGATGCTAATCTTCAGCCTTGATCCTGGAAGACAGCCTGCAAATACAGCAAAAGATGGGCTTTTCAAGAGACATTCCATGTCAGCCTAACTCTGCTTCTATTCAGACTAGCAATGATAAGTTCAGACTGAGCAGAGTCAAGACAATAGCAAACACATAAATATATATATTTAAATCCTGCCACAGAAAGACATTAGAATGCTTGCAGGAATACATGGAAGTTTAATAGCCAGGAATTAACCAGCAGTTAGCATCACTCTGTGCCTGCTTTAGAAGGAGAGCACAGCCTGACCTTTACAAGCTTTTCTATACCTAATTGATGACTGTAACTCACCACAGCAGGTGTTTCTGCTTTTGGAGTTACATAAATGGCCCATGATTTAGTCTCTTTCACTCCTTACATAGTGATACTGGAGAAAAAAATGTGCCTTTGCTTTTAAATGTGTTTGCAGTTGATTGGATTTCTTTGGGAAATAGCAGTGTCTTTATAAATTTAATGGTAAAATAGAACGGTAGCCTTGCCAGAAGGGGAAGTCTATAATATGTGGATCTATAGTACTGCCTGTATTCTAGGGCTGGCAGCAATGATATAGTCCTAATGTTGTTTGTCAGTGAAGCCAAAATGTATATTGACTATCTGTAACCCAGACTCTGGTAAACTGAATTCTACCATGCAAACCTATTTTGAAGATAAGGTCAATTAAACTAAATATACCTTGCTACTGCTTCTCAATGAGAATAACCTTTAAATACAGTTCTTGTAATAAATAAGGGTGTTTTTAAAGGAAAACAGGTCTAGAAAGTGGTAATTTTAAGCCAACATTTCTCTAGAGAAGAGAGCAGTTCTTCCACAGAAAATATTCTTTTCTCCAGCCAGTTTCAGTCAGTGGGTTGCCCAAAGTCTATGAAATCTCTGCCTGTAGAGATATTCAGTGCTCAGTGGGACCAGCTCCTGTTGGAGCAGGCTGGTCTCAGTTAGCCCTGCTTTGGCCAGAGGCTTAGCCCAAATGAGCCCTAGAGGTTCCTTCCAGCCGAGATGAGTCCACAGCTTTCGGATTCTGGGAAGTCTCTCGTCACCCTGGCTTTATGCTGTTCTGAAGACCACCGAGAATGTTTGTCAGTGACCAGAAGGAAATCACTTTTTAATGGATATTCCTCTTCAATAAATCAGTTCAAAACAACCAATTTGTTTGAACATTGGTGGCCTGAAAATTATTGCATGGTGATAACTATAGCCACTGGTGCTGCAGGTCAATTCCAAAGATTTATTCCATTTCTGTGTTTGCTAAGTGTTTTACCTCATTGGTCTGTCCCCTTAATTCATCTCTTTTTCTTTCTCTGTCATCTGGACATCACTTTATAGCAGATTGCTCTTGTCAAGAGCTGTCTTATTTAAATTTCCAAGGGGAGTAATGTTACATTGAGTTTTGTTTGTATGTTCCCATAATGTGAAACTGAGTTTACATCTCCAAATCATTTAATGATCCAACCCTTGAAAGTCAATTACAACGGAAGAATGTTCCTCTAGTCTCAGTTGAAACATTTATAAGATGAAGGATATTGAGTCTAAGCACTAATCTAACCAACAGAGTTTAGGAGATTCCATTCACTAAAGTATTTTTATAATGAAGATGGTCTTCATGCTATCATTTCTCCAGATATTTTGTTTAGCTATTTACTCTTTAGATTAGGTGAGTGTGACATCTCATTCAATTTGTCCTCCATTTGGATTTGTTATTCTCTTTCTAGTCTTGTTTTTTCCAGCCTTGCCTTTCTCAGCATTGCTTAGTGCTTTCCTTTATGAACACTTAATATGAGCAAACGCAAGAGAAATGGATTTTTATATTAATAATTTAACATTATTATTTCTTTCTTTCCTGAGTATAACTGAACCTGCCAAGTGTATTTTAATTAGATTTTCTGTTGGTTAGATCTTCTGTTGGCAAAGCTGATTGTCATTTTGAAAACGCTTTGATGTGCCAACACTGCAAAATAGAGAGTAAAAAAATATTCTTTAAACATCTGTATTGTGATAACTATTTGGAAGGTTTTCATGTTTCTGCATGAAAACATGTAACGAATAAGATACTAAATTTAGAATTATCTATCTATCTATCTATCTTTCTATATATCTATCTTTTACTTGCAAAACAACATCTTCACAAGCCAAGTTTGGCTCCCATATCTAGTATAAACTACAATATGCTGGAAAATACCTATAAACTTCCTATTTAAAAGTCATCACTAAGTTTAGAAGCTGTTTTTAATAAATTTCTCAGTTCTTATTGGTGTGTCAGTACTGTAGTTTCTTTCTGTATGTTGGGCTTCTTAGATGGCTCTTTTGAGTTTTGGTGAATTTTCTTCTGTTTTGTTTTTTAATCCAAGCTGTTTATGACAAAATTGCCAATCTACTGCTGACTCAAACTCACCTTTGAGAGAGCAGTTTGCAGGAGATTTTTAGAGTGGCAGAGTTTAGTTTTAGTTTTGTGGTCTTGCCTTGCTAAATTCTCATGAGAAAATAAAAGCTAATTTGTGAAATGTACCTATAAAGAAAAACATAATTAAAGCCTGATTTAGAATCCATAAAAGTCAGGGAAAGAGTGCAAGTGAATTCATCGTCTCTGAAGCAAATCTCTTGGGGGCATTTTGTTGCTGTTGTATCATTTTGTTTTGAAATATTTTTCAGAAATTTATCAGAAAAGAGGAAAGATACATTTTTTCTACAGTTTTTAGCACCAGAAAGTCACTCATTCCTTTATATGTTAAATCCATATTTGCACCCCAGTAATATTTTGAGTACAAATATCTCTCTGTGTCCATTATGGTCCACACTATATTTGTTTATAAAATTTTAATTCTGTAGTGATTGGGTTGAGATTTTGCATTGAGTGTTTGGTTTTTTCCTTTGTTTTTGTTTTGGTTTTTTGTTTGGTTGGTTGGTTTTTTGGAGTTTTTTCATGTGCTAAAGAAAATAATATATATGTATCTTAAATGTTGGAGTTTTCATTCGCATCATGCCATAAACTAGTAATAGTTTATTAGCTATTCTAAGGACATGGACATGCAAATTCAATAATTTCAGCATCTATCAGGATAGAGGAGGGAGAGTGTAAAAAGTATAAATGTCAGCCTCCCACCCATGTAGTCACAATAGTTTCAAATAAACAATACTGGACTAAGAACTTCTAGTAAGTTGTATTAACCAAGAATTTATGTAAGAAACATTGAGTATAAGACAATATCTAAAAAACTAGGAAATCATCCCCAAAGATAACTATCAATTTTCTCGCGTGGTTTTCTGTCATCATATTTTCTTTTTCTGATACTAAGTACACTTTTACCTATTTCTTGGAATGCCATCCACTTGCTTGTCTAAAATTGTATTGCATGTAACTTCAGGAAAATTTCATTAATATTCATCTTCCAGTGCTATCATGTGGCTCACTGTGTTCTCACATCAGCTTCAGCCAGACCTGAAGCTTTCTCGTAGAGCGCTGTGTCTCCTCCTGAGTGCAAACAGAGCTGAATTCTTCCTCTTCTCCTGTTTGCTGCACATCCTCCAGTCTTTGCCAGACAGCTTTCTGTTAGGCAGCAGCCATGCTGATGAACATGCCCTGCATAAAGTTCCCTTCATGCTATGTAGCCTCATCTAACCCACAGATGCATCTGTCTGCCCTCCTTGTCCCCTTCTCCATGTAAAGGATGCACACATGCAGGCCAGAAGGGAGTCACAGCACGGCTTTCAGGACAGCAGAAGAAAAATGTGTTGACAAAATATTGATGCAACATTTCAAGAAGAATAAGGAATTGGGAAGGGTGACGCATCACACTGACCGTGGTTTCTTTCTTTTTACTTGAAAAATTAAACTCTGGTGGCTGTTTTGTTTCTCTTTTGCAGTCATCCCTAACAAATAGTGACATCATCTTTGTGAAACTGCATGCTCCTTGGGAGGTCCTGGGCAAATATGCTGAACTAATGAATGTAAGAATGCCTTTCAGGTAGGTGCAGTTGTATTTTGTCTCAACCTCCAAAGCCACACTATACTGTAAAGTTAATGTGATAATAACACCAAAAGACCTATAGAAAGTATAAATGGAGTTCCTTAGATACCACATGCATTGCTGTTTCTTGTTAAAGCCTACAATTTCAGTACAATACTGGTTAGAGATTAAGATGGGCTGTAGCAGTGCAGCTGTTTTCATGGGGTATTCTGTCCTTAGGCCCTTTAACCCCTTCAATGCTGGAGCCCCCTGCATACTTGTGCGCTGCTGTTTTTTAAATGGACATTTCATTGAAATCAATGGGAGGTCGAGAAGATCCAGGTACGTAAGGCAGCACAGAAAGTGCATGTCTGTTTGACGTATCTGGTATGCACCTGTAAATTGCTTGTATAGTATGTAATTAGTATCCCATAAATAAGTATAAATAAGTATCTCTTCTAATAGGAAAACAATTTAAGCTATAAATGCTTTTTTTTTCTGTGGAGAAAATAGAGAACTTTATCTGATAACCAGATTAATTCCACATTGAAATTCAGGTTATTTCTATAATTGATTAAATATTATTTGCATGTTGGGCTATGAAATTTTCTATGTAAACTATTGCTTTTACTCTGCTGGTTATCAGAACTTTTAAAGTAGCATAAAGATTTCCACTGGAACTGACCACAACCCATGACCTGAGAGCCTTTGATTCTTCTTTCAATTAGCAGGGTTTGCAATATAAAGCTCCATTGATTTTAATGGAATTACTCCTGAACAAGAAAAGAATCAGACCCAGAATATGCAACTAGTGAGCTGGTGCCTTTGTGGGATTCCTTCTGTTTTCTCTTACCTAAGTATGAAAAATGCCTCTGGTATGAGGCACCCTGTAGCAGTAGAGAACTCATAAGGGAAAATGGATATGTATAAAGGACAAAATTGCAGGCTTATTTTGTATTTATTTTGTTTTCATTTTCACAGCAAATCTTCAACTGTTCTTCCTTCTGCTTTCATTGCTAAAGAAAAAATTCTAAAAGCAATCACAAGTCATTGCAGGATAGTAATATTCTTTTTTAAAAGTGTTCTAGCCATAGAAATAATGTATTAGGCCAAAAGTGTGCTTTCTTTGGCTTCTGTGGCATTCCTTGAGATGGACCTGCTCTGGCAATAGAGTGAGGTCTCACGATTCAGAAATACACCAGGAACTCTGAATTTAGTCATGGAGCAGCTTGTTCTTTCCTGATCACTCAACAGATAGCAAAGTAGGTGTCATACAGATTATATAGAAAGCTTTGAAAATACTGAGGTTTTCTTAACTTGCTTCAGGATCATGGCTTCATTCCTTCCACATCCATAGAGAGATAATTACTACAGCATTGTTAAGAGGAAATCATGGTAATTCACTAGTGACTGCTGGGTAGACTCTTCAATTTAATCTTAAAAACAACAGTGCAGTTTACCATTTCAAAGCAATTTTACAAAATATCCACAAGTCTAGATTGTGTGTTTCCAGATGCCTTTGTCTAAACCCTTGTTTTAAGAGATGTTGATTGCTTATTGCTCCTGATTATTCAGGCTGTAATTGTGCAAGGTCCATGCATCACTGAATGAAATCCTTGTTGTTTCAAAGCAGGAGTGAAAAAGTGTTGGATACCTCTGAATAATGGAAGCAAAATCAAGAAGGTGATGGCATCTTCAGGAACATTTAGCTTTGACCTTTCTCTGCTCCTATTGGGTAGAGCAAGATAAATAACACTATCCAAAGAAGGCTGGCCAACATGAAATAGTTTTAAAAATTTTACTTCACCAACATGATATGGACTCTGATAACAAAAATGTCCAAAAGTTCTGAAAATTAACCTGGAATATTAACCAAAGTTTTTATCATTTATAAAGCATTTGTGCTGTCTTGTTTTAAAGGACTTACTTCCAAGGCACTAACAGCATTCCTACACTACATCTACTACAGTATTTAGAACATGTGTGGTGTAAGCCTTCATTTTCCAGAAGTGGTACGGTTCTGCATTACACAGTGGAACCCCTCAGAATACACAGAAACCACCTTGATTTAGCAATGACCTTCAGTGGATGACAAAGTCAGCCTCTGGAGGAGGAAGTCAGAGTTTGATCAGGCAACCAAATCTTCCAGGAAGGAGTATGAGTCCCAAGTCCACACCCAAGAACCCTCAGATTTTTTTAACTCTCATGAGGATGCGATCTCTGTGCTGAAGGCAATGTGTCAAATCCTGACACCTGTGGTATGATAGGCATCTATGAGAAGAACAAGAGCTGCCAGCAGGGAGTGGCACAGGAGGTGGACTCCCTGTCCTGGATCTGCACATGATGGTTAGGGGCTGCTCTGCACTGCAGGGCTGGTCAGGAGGCAGGCTGGGAGTGGGTTCAGCATGTGTCTGCTTGTGACCCCTTGTCTGCTCACTTGCTCATCATTTGCTCTCACACACGGCTTATTGCACTGACAACAGAAACCAGCCTCTATGAAGGGCAGGGAGAGTGGCTGCACACTTGGTGGGGTGCTGAGCACATGTGCATTTGCTTGTGTAGCCTATATTCTGTTTCGAGTGATGTTATCCCAACAACAGTCACTGACCCTGCTTGGTACTGCATGTGTTGCAGCAGCATAAGGCACCCCTGGCTTTTCAAAGTGAGTCCCCCTTGTGTTTCACCAAATCCAGCTTTAATAACTCACTAGTAGACATCATACAATTTATCCATATTTGTGTTAGTCCTATAGAATTCCTGCAACAGTTTATGAACTCTGAAATAAAAACATCTTCGGATCCCCATCTTTCACACATGACAAATAGCAGAAAAGGAGGAGACAATGGAAAAATGTTGACCTTCTGGCAATTCAAATGCCACCAGTGTCTGTGTGGCTTCCTGTGACAGTTCTGTTAATCTCTCTTTTAGTCTCTTCCTCCACCTCTTACAGGCTTCTGTCTTCAATCTCCTTTCCTTCCTTGCTAGTTCATACTGTAACTGACGATGGGTTTTCTTCTCGACTGGCTTCATTTTTGCTGTTCTTCCAGGAGAAAAATCTATTACCTGCATCGCCGATACAAGTTCATGAATAGGTGAGTACAGTTCTCATGCCAGTCCAGTTTATGCTCATTTGGACCCAATAACAAAAATAATGGTTAAAGTCAAGCTGGAAGAAAAAATTTATCAGTTGTGTTTGCAGAAATGATGAAGGGATTGGTTACATACTAGGACATCTGCAAAAAGCCCCAAAGAAAACAGAAGTTGCATTTTTAAGGCATCTGCATTGTGAAAGAGGCAATTAATTTTATCAGTCTTGCCTTTTTTAGGAATAAGGAAATATTTTTCAACTGTTGGAGTTTTCAAAGAAATAGAAATATGTTAGTTCAAATGCTGTATTTCCTTCTTTCCATGTAGCTCATTAGGGAGTTTCTTGGGGTTACAGTGCCACCCTTACCAGGGTTTTATCATTTCCATGAACCTTGCTTACTTGTAATGATGTGATGGCATTATTTATTTATTGCTTCCTCCTTGGGGATGCTTAGTACTTTGTTGGCAGATAGGAAGCCAATGAACCAAGCTTGAAAGATGTATTTTCCAAGAATCATTTAAGTGCTTTCACTCAATTATTAAATACCTTTAAGGTTTTGCTTGATGCCCAGTTTGTCTGACTTGATTTCCCTGCAGCAGTTTGCATTTCCTTTCTGATATCTTGGAAAATTAAATGAAAATATTTCCAAAATCCTTAAAATTATACAGGCTTGGCAAAAAACCGATCATTTTTATAGCTACAATAATCTCTCTCAATATGTGGCATTTAATGACATGGTAATGTTGATGCAGTTTTCAAAGGGGTCTAGCCCCTGATCTGCTGTTTTACTGAGGTCAGTGGAAATATTCCCAAGAACTTTTAAGAGAGAAAAATAAAATTTGAAAAATCTGCATTTTGGAGTAAACAGTCATACCATTTTGCACAAGATGTCAATACATTTACATCCATGGGATGTTCACTCTCCAGTATGAGCATACTAAAAAACTTTTAGAATATTATATCACAGTGTACTGCTAACTTGACAGCACCAGCATAGGTATCACATCATAGAATTTGCCTTTTCATATGAATAAGCAATTGGTGGTGTTGAGACACTTTATCCCTCTTTGGCACAAGGCAATAGATGCACACAAATCTTCTAAAACTTGTTGATGCTGCCCCACTATCCATTCCCAGCTTACAATACATACTATAGCTGCTGTTAGCTTTGGAATTGGTCTTGACTTTAAAGAAGATATGGCTGCTTTGACTAAAGCAATAGGTAGGAAGGAGAAGGTGAAGGTTCCATCACTTATGTGTGTTACATGAACTTTTCCTTCACGTTCGTTTTCTTATGAGTCAGGATCAATTTGAAGTCAGTATGGGAAGAGGTATGATCTTTTTCTGGTATTTAGTTCCTGAGTGATGAGAACACTTGGCTAAATTCAATTTTTATGTTCAGGTCTGTAAATAGCTACTTGAGGAGGAAAAGCTGTAACTCAAAAGCCTCAGAGGGGGAAAAAAGAAAAAATATTCAGCTTTATTTTTACTTATGTGAAACTTAGATATATGGCTTCAATAAAAGTATCTGCTTCCTCTACTCCTAGTTCAGTGTAGACTACAAGTACTCAAAGCCTTTGTCTATTTTTCTAGTTAATACAGACATTACATTGACATTTGGGCAAAATTTATTTTAGAGAGGAATTTCGTCACAAGGCAAAGCCCAGAGCAGGTCTCTTGCAACTTGTGAACCTGATTTGAATTTTCTTTTCGAAAAATTCTAGTGATCTCAAAACTTCAAATTACAAAATTTCCCTACTTTAAAGGAAATTAGGGGTATCAGACACCTTAAAGCACCTGAATAATTGTTAAAAACTAAATTAATAAAATAGCTAGCACCACAATATGCATAAAATTCTATGAAAGCTGACCAATTCATAAAAATCAGCCTCAATTCAATACCTTTTTTTATTTTTCTAACTTTCCTTTGCAAAACAGTTCTATCCCTACCTCACTTTACGGCGCGAAGACAGTTTATTTTAAATTATTTGAGAAACTCTTTATGTGAGTTAAACACTATATATTAAACACAATATATTAAACACAATATCTTTAGGAAGAGGGAGCTGAGTAAAGACTAGACTTGGAGAGCAGGGGCAGGATTGAAGTGGGAGACTGTCTTTGAGGCACTGTGTGAAGAAGCTACCTCTTTATCACTCCACTTACCCCATTGTTCCTGGGTAGGTCACACTGCTTTCCAAACACTGTTCCCATATTCAGCTGAGTATGGGGAAAATGAGACATGGATTAGCCTTGAAGAAATGATTTAAAAAATTATATTTTTAACACTGTGTGTCTGTATTTGTTAGCACCAACACCACTCTTTCAGCTTTTTCCTTTTGTGAGATGCTCCTGTAGAGTACAAAACCTGCACTGCTGACTGATGGCACTGTTGAAATGAGCTGGAGCAAATTTTTCTTTTCCAAGGAGACAACTAAGGGGGCTTGCTTTCCCTGTAGAAGGCTGTACTGCATGTTCTGTGCTTTGCAGTAAGGTTTTGCAACCTTCTCAGACCTGTTTGCCAGCAGGCTGCCTGAGCATGCCAAGTAATCTGAGTCTTGGGAATGGCAAACCACTCAAATTCTGGGTAGACTCAGTGAGAAGCCAGCATGAATAATGCATTGCTGTTAAGTGGGGAAAGCACTCAGTCCCTTTGTGCTGTGCTTGTGTGGTGTGATAAACCTGCAGTCCCAGTATCTCAAATGTGCACATTGACTTGCAGCATGAATGGGAAAGGATTGCAGATGGGCAGGGGTGTTAATAGCTTAGAGAATTCAAACGAGTTTAATTAACAAGAATGGAACAGGATATTTAGAAAGACTGTCTTCCTAATTCCTCCTCCCTTTTCCATACCCAGACACAGGAAGCCTATTGAATATACAGTAACACAGGGCTTACTGAATTTACAGAGGGAAAACCAAGGCCAAAAGACAGGGATTTCCCCCGTAGAGAATTTACTTTCCTTAGGCATTTCTATCAGTGGCTACACAGACTAGCTCAAGGCTGCCAGGCTGGATGCTCCAGATGGAGAGTTACAATTGGTCAGGCCCCTTAGAGCCCTGGGATCTGACATCTCACCTGCACTCAGCACAGACATTTGCAAACTACCTCCTCCTGTGCTCCAAACTGCTGGGTCAATGCAAATACTGCCCATGGAAAGGTTGTGATTAATTACGTGTAAATCTTATATTAAGTTTACATATATATTCCAGTTTTTCCAAACAGGTCTGATTATAAATTTGCACACATACACAACACCTGACACCCCTCATCCCATCATGCTATCCCAGACTGGAAATACACAAATAGGACCAAAATAGGTACAGCTCATTTATTTACAGTTTGAAATCTGCCCATGTTTAAAAATGAGCATTGACTTTCTTATCCAAGATAAAAATACCTGGTGGATGAAGGCCGAACAACAACTACAAAAAACCCCACAATACAAACAAACAAACACCCCAACCATATTTCCAACCCTTGAACTTCTCTCAGAACTGAGCTTTAAGTTCAAAGGAATTAAATTCCTATCCTTTAGCTCCACTTCTGGAAACATTCATCCGGTGACTGAAGTATGGGCACACTCCATAATCTGTAGTCTGTGATTTTTGCAGAGATCAATGGTTAGGACTTGGAGTAGGGTTCACTGTGCTAAACCTTTCTTAGGTGTTTTTCATTATAACATTCTAGTATGGATTTGAATTTGCTTTAGATTGTCTTCTCCAATGAGCTCTGATTCTTCCCTTTATTTCTCTGTGTATCTGCATGAGTGCACCTGTAGTTAAATCTGCCCTTTCTCCAGCTCTATCATTGTTTGTTTTCGTGTTCCAAATGTATGAATCTGCATAGCAGTCACCTGTTAGCCTATACACCCAGAGTTCTGGTGTCATGAAGGTGGTAGTATTGCAAGAAACTACAGTTGAACAAAATGAACAAAGTAGCCTATTTCTTAATAGCATCAATTTCAAGGTAAGAATCCACAGAGAGAGCAGTAATGAGATGTAACTTGCTGGGGTTTAGCTGCCAAAGATCTTTGTCACAATCGCCACTATTCTAATGCTTAGATGACCAAAATCTAATGTTGGTTAAACCTGAATTTTAAACTAACTGAAAATCTGAGAAATAAATTTTTAGAGACATTCCAAGCACTTACTGGGCTTAATAAGATTTATGGCAGATGTACCATCAGCATTGCTTTTCTGTTGAGGCAAAATAAATGCTCCTCTGCAGAAAGCTGGTTATTAGTAATCAAGTTCAGCATATGTAATTTGGTCTGCCTCAAAAAAAGTCAAGAGACATTGCACCTTTCCTAGTTATAAATATTAAGTGTCCCGGTTTGACAACCTGTGCTTCATAATGTAGTGAAAAAACCCATTATCACAAATGCTCATACTTACCATGTGCTGCAGGATCGAGAAACAGATAAGCAGGTTCCGAGGATGGTTACCCAGAAAGCCAATGAAACTGGACAAGGAAACACTGCCAGATCTGGAGGAGAATGACTGCTATACTGCTCCATTCAGCCAACAAAGGATCCATCAGTGAGTATTCTATCATATCTCAGTTGCAAGGTGAAAACTTTTCCTTCTGGATTCACCTTGGAAAAAATTGATTTCTTTGTTCATATTTTAAGGACTAGTACCTTCATATTATTCCTTTTCCACAAAAAGGAAGAGATAGTGAGTCTACATTTCTATTAGTTAAAGGTCCAGCTCAAAGCTAAGGAAATCAATGGGAAAATTTCTTTTCATTCACTGAAATTTCAATTACATCCTTAAAGGGGTCAAATGGCTATTTTCTCTCAGATCAGAATTGCAGCTGTTCTTTTTCATTTAAAGATGTGATTAAAACTTTTCTCAGCATTCCTATGTCTTTAGCATAATCAAAACTAGTCCTTCATCACCGATTGCTGAAATGCTGATACCTGCATTTCATTCCTAGTTATGACTGTAGAACAAACAAAACTCTAAAGAAAACAGATAACGTCAATTTGATTGCATTTCTCTTTCACTTTTATGGAAGCAAAGCTGCTTGAAAAATGGCAGTGTTTAGACACTGTTTAGACCTAGCAGTGACATTTTTCCTCCAATAGCACCAGTGTTGCACAGATGTCAAAGAAATCATTTGGCTGCAAGAAGCCTTTATTCACTTGCAAAATGCAGAACAGAAAAAGCCTCACATAACTTCCAGAATTCGTATGGAATTTAAGGGGTGTCAGATTTTGGATGTCTTATGGGTAGTTACAACGTTTGTGATATGGGAAACAGTCGTTGACTGAGAGCAAAACCACGAAGATTTGGCAGCACTGTTGAGGATACTAAAAGAAGACACAGAATGAATTACAGGTAGCTCAAAATTCTGAAATATGTGGTCTTATTCAGGGACAAGCCAGGTTGATAAAGCTCTGAAATACCTCATTTTGAATGAATAATTTTTCAGGGATTTGATTTACTAGCTGTAATAAAAACGAGTAAAATAAACCTCTGCCACGAATGGCATCTTTCCAAATACAACAGAAAAACAAGAACAGGTGCAAAACTCCAGGGAAATTTCAATAGAGGTCTGTCTGATACAGAGATGGGTCAGTTATTGTGCCCAGCAAGAGGGAGAGTAGGTGCAAATTAGTTTGAGAATAGAGCAGTGATACTAAAATATTAATAAATTGGGGGGTCAGCATTAATGTTTTTATTAGTGATATTAACAGCTAACTTCCTTTAAAATTACTGCACATAGGAAAGGGGTTGCTGGTTTGTTTTGAGAGGTGTTTTTTGTGGCTGAAAAGAGAATCGACATATATGAACTAGATTTTTTTCGTTCTTCTGCCTTGCTCATGTTTGTGTTGGTAAACTGGTAGGAGATTTTATTAAGTAGTGTTAGTTTCATTAACACTCCTGCCGTTGTTTGGCGCTTCTTTTACATCATTGCACACTTGGAAACTTTTCTTCCTGTCAGGCCTGACATTTTCTTCTTAGCTTTCTGTGTGTAGTCTTTCTGTCCTTTTATGTGGGGGCTTATAAAATGTTGGTTGAGCTGGCCTCCCTCTCCCAAAAGATGCTACCTCAGATAGCAGTGGTGTTCCTATCATGCTTCAGCCTGTTTCCTGTGTCTGGCTTGTTTTGTTTCCATAGAATTTTGAAATTACTTGTTCAATATTTTTCTAATTGCATGCAGGTATTTCAATTTTTTAGCTCAGAGACCCACAATATTGTTTTAGGAATGTGAAGATAAATAATCACTGAAATTGTTGAGACGCTGAAAAGAAGAATTGCCATCTACAGTAATGTTATGATAATTTAGCTTGTATTTTGTCACTGGTAAGAAAAGTCCATACATTTTGATATTTGGGACAATTAAGATTTTGCTAGAGTGCTCTCACCATACCACATTATCAATACAGTGTAATTATACTGGGGGCTACAAAATTGTCACAGGCAGTTACTTGTGGAGTTCAGTCGTCCACAAGCACACCATCCTGTGGGCTAGAAGAGCAGTGACAATCTCTTTGCTACTCTTGGGCCTTTTGCTGTGACTCTACCTCCTCTTCCATCACAGAGTTGTGCCAAAACTGATTTAGAGAGAACAGGTACAGGACAGGAGGGGTCCCAGTACCACACCAGTGCTCAGCTGGCTGACCTCAGCTTTGTTTAAGACTTTTCATTGAACATATGGACATTTTCTGAGCAGAGAAAATGTTTGTAACTCATTCAGTTCTTGAAGTCCTCAGAGAATGCAGAATAAATGCAAGGCTTTTGGTCCTTTTGCACTGCATTAAGGTTATAGCTGAAAAATGCCACTGCTGTCTGCTTTTTGTCAGAACTTATGTACACATTTTGAGTTTTAAGTTTATGGTAGAAGCCATAAAATTTTCCTGCCAATCTAGAATCCTAAGTGGGAGGAAGAGGTGTGTGGGAAGTACATTCAACTGTTCTTTGAGGAATACCCACAGGAGCCTAAAATACATAATCAGTCTTTTAATTACACTAATGAGGATTTTTCTGGCTATTGCACAAGTATTTCTGGAGAGCAAGATATGTACTTTTGGCAGCTGAAAATATTTTGGATTTCTGTGTTGCCATAAATCACTGTTTATCCAAGGCATGCTTAATGACCATGGAGTAAATGACTCACAATTACAACGATCTTGGAAGCATAAAACTCCATATCCTTAGTTTTCAGATAAGATCTCCATGGCCTCACAGTAGATTTTGCCACATACCCTACCTAAAGAATGCCAAATTCTTCCTTTTTTCCTAGTTTTGTGTGCTGCTTTAATTTTCTAAAATATTATACCTTAAATATTCATATGAGCTTGGCTGCATTTGATTTTGTCCAAATATTGCAATTTGGGTCTAAAATTCGTTAATTTTTTCTTTCTTCACAGCTTCAGATGTCTTTAATGTCACCAAAGATTTTGTGATCTAGCCACAGTTTACACTTTCCATAAAGTGCTCCAGTCTGATACAGATTTTATGACATGATCTGAGTAGAGGCTTCATTTGTGATAGTTTCTTTTAAAAGCATGGAAAGACAAATAACTGACAATTCAGTGTCTGGGGAGGAAAATAATTAAGAAAAAATCCTGACCAGACCTTATTTCCATAGGAAATAATATTTTTAAAATATTGTTGCACAATGAGTGTGTGCAATTTTGCTAGATCATATTTATTGGTAGTCTTTTTATTTCTTGCACTTTTCTTTCCCATTCAGAAGGAAAAAAGTCAAATGTGGAAAAATTAAGCTTTCCAAAAAAAATTAAGTTCGTTTTAAGGGGCACAGCTTTCCTCCAAAACAGGCAAAGAAGAAAACACAAGAATGACTTTTGTAAGATGTGCCTATAACTTTTGCAGCATGGCTTCAGGTTCTCTTTTAAAGGGATTGTGGCATACTTCATAGGGAATATCACAAAATTATCAGTACAAGAGAAGACCAAAATTCATCTTATTTCTTAAGTAATAGAAAATCTGTTTTTGGAGGAAAGAAGTTCTGCCAAGCACTTTTTTTTTTTTTTAATTGTGTGGAATACAAAATGATAATTTTCAATATAGACTACTGAGTAGTGTCTCTTTTCTGCATCCACAGCTTGGAAAACGCCATGTTTATACCTACGTATTTCTTCTGAAAATTATCAGTTACTAGGATGCACAATATGTGAAAAATGTTTGCCATTAGACATGCTTAGTTGTCCTTCTGCTGCATCTTAGTTATTTCATGTAGTCAGCTGCTAGTCACTTGGGAATTGTAACAGTAGCAATTAGCTGCAATTGCTAAGATAACTGTACACTAGCTAGGAAAATATGTTAATTGCTGTTTAGAGATTTCAAACTCTATATCAGGAGCTATTTTCCCCTTTGTTTTTTCTTTCAAAAGCGATAAACTCTCTGATTAAATATTAATCTAATATATAATTGAATAACCACTTAAAATAAATATTTATTACTTAGTGAAAATAAAATTTTAAATTTACTCAATTAGGAGAACGAGGAGAGTAACTTGATTAATTAAGTAAAAATGGCCCTGCATACGAGAGATAATGGAGTTCTCATTTGTATTATGTCCCCTTGGGTACATGAGTCCTATATTGTTTCCAGATTTCCAAGATATGTGTCTCTCAGGGTGGAGCTACTTTTCAAGCTTTTTCTGATGTTCAAACTGATCTTAACAAACCCCATCTCTACCATGACAATCTGTGCCCGTGTTCCCTTGAGCCTCCTCACCCCAAAATCATGGATAGGCCAGGGAGCTGCTGCAACTGGAGACATGGCACAGGGCTGCATGGATACTTGTTTTGAACCAGGATGGTCATTCTGCTGTTTAAATACATCTACAGTATAATAACTACACATTTTTAATGGCTTTTTATAAATGGGGAATCACAGTTTTGTAAACCCTGCTCTCAGACAAATCTTTGTGCTACCAAACTTGGATATGCCCCGCAATAGGATTTTTTAATTCCCTCTGATTCTGGAAGTTTTAATTGCCTGGCAAATAGAAGGAAGCAGGGCATCCCTGAAAAATACAAAAGGCTCCTTCTATCTCAGGTGAATATTTCTGAGTGAACCAACTTAAATTAAGAAGTGAGCTGGGGGTAAGACTGATCTGGGGGAAGGCAGAGGAAGGTGGAGGAGACGTTCAGCACTTTCATGACTTTCTATTTCACTTCAGCAGTTTTGAGCCTGTAGTGCCAAATTGGAAACAGAGCCTCTACAACATTCTTCATCCCAAAGTGACCGTTTTAGGCATATTAAATGAAAACCCCCTGCTAATCATTAATAAAAATGTCTTTTTACTTAAACAAGACAGTCAGCTGCAGCCTTAAAAGTCAAACAAAATGAAAATTAGCAAGTGCTAATAATATAGCCATTTTCAAACAAATAAAGTAGAGAAATGTGTGCTATTATTCTCAGGGGAATACTGCAGACTCACGTTGTTGCTGCTACTACAGCTGGTGATTTACTTTCTCTATGTTAAATGAGCTAAAAACCTGCTATTACCTCAGCCAAGAACAGGTTGGCTGTTGTCTCAGTGATTTACCTGGGAGTACAGAAGGCTGAGAATTTTCCCTGTGCTAAAGAATACACTACTCACGTAGAGATCACTACTTCCAACAACATCTGTGCTCTTAGTTTGTACTGCTTCCAGCAGAAGTTAATTTTAGATATGGTGAGTGTCAGATATCAAATGTTTCAGTGTCTGTGAATCCCACAGTGCAAAGGCACACATGGATCTGTCCATACATCCATCCTCCCTTTGTACCTTTGTCACCAGGCCACAGGTGTTCAGACATCAGCTAATCTTGCCACTAAAGCAGAAAATAGCTTTTTCCTGCCTTCTGCTTTCCCAAAATATATAAAGTAAAATAAAGCAAGAAAAGTAAACCCACTTTTTTTTTTCCAAATGTGTATTCAAAGATTCAAGAGCTAAATTTACCCTTTAAGGGTTTGTACAACCTGAAAAATTACCAAAGAGAATGTATGAACAGGAATTCATTGGTAATTTTTTCTTGGTTGGGCTTGCACTAATTTGAGACCTTTCTTTAGACAACAGTTAGGTTTGCTGTGCTTTGCTTTCTACAGAAAGATAGTTTGAAATTTCCAGTTCACAGTTTAGTTAAGAAGGTTATAAATACAGTTTGAAAGCAATTAACCTTCACTGACTCTTCATGTCTCTTACAGCATGAATGTAAGAGCAGTATTTCCAGAATGACATTTTTGAAAGGGTCTTTAATGAGAGATCAGCTCTGGAACCTCTCCTTCCAAAAGTACTCTCATTATCTTCCTTGGGATTTTCCTTTTGAGTAAGGACAGCTCACACAAATAAGTCTTACAGTTAATAATTATAGCTGTTGTGGAACAAATCACTTGCCTTATCTACCTATACATTAACTTCACAGGTAATAAAAATTATAATGTATTAATCCTTACTTATATTTTCTCTTATAAATGAGGTGGCAAAATGATCAAAACCTTCAGTGAAGAGTCTCATATAAAACCTTACTGAGCCTGAAAACAAGCTCTATTGCACTTATGAATATTCAAATCCTTGTGCAGGTTGAAAATCTGACAAGGGCAGTAGAAACAGAACAACTGAGGAAATTCTTCCACCTAAAAGCAACAAGGGTTAAAAAACTTGCTAGAAAGCCTCTGTTTTATACAGTTTATAGCTCAGTAATGTCTGATTAACGTTTATGTGTACCTAGTTTGAAATTATCTTCAGCTGTGGCCCCTGTGAACTGAAATTTGAAATGTGAGATTCTTCACAGACCGAGAAAATCTTTCTCCTCTGAATTTTTCATTGGATGCTGTAGAACATGGAATAGCTTTGATGGTTTCTGTGAATCCATATTCTGTGACTATGGATTTACCACCCACATTCAGAAACAAGACAAATTGAAGCACAAAGGTTTTGGGGGAAAGAAACGTCTAAGAAGCATGGGAAGAAGGGGTGGTGGTTGAAGGTGCCTGATCCTCACCTGACAAGAACAACTCCTGTGACTTTTGAGATGAACTGAAACCTCCTTGACGTTGTCCTAATTTATGCCAATGTCTAACTGAGATATTGTAACACAGATACAACTACCTGAGATACTCTCAACCTATCAAGACTTTCCACTCATGTCTGCCTCTTTTTGTTTCCTGTGCCAGAGGTCTCTGCCCCATTGATTATGGTGATGCTGCTCTTCCTGGGTCTACTCTCCATACAATTTCACAGAAAAAACCCAGAGTTAAAAAAATTTTTAAACCCTTATGATTTTTATGTTCAAAAATAAGTGAAAATTATTTTTTAAATGTTACCACATGCAATTCTATCCCAAAATAATTATATTGTTATGGATGGTCCAGGACGTCCAGAGGACTCATTTTTGGCACCCTTTTTTCACCTTTGCTGAACTCTAGCATCTCTTCTTCATCCATGTCTTCCTGAATAACTTTGGAAAACACTCAAGGGCATGTTTTTGGCCCACTCTGGTCATGGTGAGTTCTCCCCCTCCTCTCCCCTCCTGCTCTCAGATGCCTTTTGCTGGAACAAGACTGGGCAGGGCAGAACCTCTACAGCTCATATTCTCACAGGTGTTTTAGGACTGCTTCAGCTATTCTGGAGTAGGCAAAATTCTTCATGGCAGTTATTATATGGAGTTGGTTATTTCTTCTTGCCCATGTGAAATCAAAAGCTATAACAGCACAATTGTTAAGTTTGCAAATGAATGCAAATGACTAAAGTGTTTCTTTAAACAAGTTATTATTTCTTTGGTTTTTAGGGTTTGCACAGTCCTTGATTTTTGCCTTTTTGCATTCATGACTCATGAAAATAGAAATACTTAAATACAAATAAAACTATTGAACAAATTCTTCAGAAAAGATGTTGAAATGGCTACCTCTAGTTGCAGTATGAGACAGCTGTGATAAGAGATGGGCAAAATAACCTTGTATTACAGGAAAATAGATTAAAGCATTATCTGGTTCCATGTTGCAGGTTTTCCAGATAAGGCGATTCAATTCGCAGTTGAATCCTACAAGAACTCGTAGCTAAGTCAGAGTGAAAATTACTGTGCTGTTTTGATATCTGTGAAGTTCTCTTCACAGTTCTTTAACATTTAGTGCTCTCTGGGACGTGAGGTCTTGGATAGTCAGTCTGTAAAAGAAAATAAAATAAAGAGCAAAAATCTCAAATTGTTCATTTCTGTTTTACTCCTGCCTTTTAATTTGCTTCTGCTGCTACCAAAACAGTCTAACACAGAGTTCTAGCTTCAGCTGAAAATGACACTGTTATACTTCAGAGTTAAGATTTTTTTTAATATAATTTCTATTAGCATTAAGATTTACATGATGACAGTATTTCTTTTTTCTCAAAATGCTTTTAATAGCTATTATTTTACATACTGATTACTTTCTACTGAATTTGATACAGCTGTAGCAGTAAAGATACATCTTCATATCCACATATCTTTCTGTATCTGAAAGATAAGCTCAGTCTTAGATACCTTTTGAGTAACAGCAGCTTGAAGTGGAATGGTGACCCAAAACTGTACCTATACAGAAAAGGCAGTGGCCAGTGGATGCCAATTGCGTTTCTGTTTGGTACCAGCCCACTGGCAAATCAGTATGCCCGTGGTGGTCAGCCAATATGCATAAATCAAATTACTTTTGGTAGGTACTCTAGGGAAGGAGTAGGACATTGGGAATAGCAGGGAAATGGGAGGAAGCCAGAAGTAGAAAGTACAATAGTGAGTAGATTGTAGCCATAGAAATGGCCTGTGACTGTCTGGGGTGGAGTGGCTATGGAGACGTGAGATAGTAACCTCTAGAAAACCACGTTTCATTACTTCTGGTGCTCTTAGAGCAACTTGTCTTACATACCTTTACTTTAAGATTATTTTTTACTGTCGGACTTTGAAGCAGAACATATGGAACCTATGTACACACTGTATTGTATTGACAATTCAGCTGAGAATTTTGATAATAAAGAGGGAGCAGATGAAGTTCTCAAAGCCCAGAAGTTGGACTCCTCATTTTTCAAAATTACTGTGGAGGTGCAAAGCTGTATATTATTTCCCATGGGTGAAGATTCATTCTGAAAAAACAAATTTTCATTTAGGTAAAATTACCTGAGGGGAAAACTGGGCAGTGGATCTCACATCGTGCAAAAGGGAAGGTGATGTGAATCCATGCCAAGCTCCTGATTAAGATTATTTCATTTAAGATTGTATTTGTCTAATATGCTGTCCTATAGACTCATCTTTCTCTGACACCTCTATAACCTTAAATTTTTTTTATCAGTTTATTCAATTCTTCAGCTCTTCAAAAACACAGATGAGGAAACCAATATTTCCTCCTATACGTACGGTTTGTTGGGATTTTTAAAAATGTATTTGGACTCACCACAATTCTGTCTAACCTATCGAATATAGAATCTGCATTCATACTTAACTTGATAAGTGGCTTCTGAGAGCTAATTTTCTACTGCATTTTAGCTTCAGGACCAAATGTAGGAGTATATGATACTTTCCATTTCTAAAATAATAGTTTTCAGTAAGAATGGTTTACCAAGTGGATGTTTACAACTGACTCTTAATGATAAAGCATTGCAAAAAAGCCTGGAACAGATGTGAAATTCTACTGCTGTACTTATAAAGATATGCAAATTTTTGTGCAAGAATGTTGTAGTTTTCAGTGAATTATCTAAAAGTGATACATATCTTAATGAATTCTTAAATATCTTCTTTCTTCAGACTCCTCCACATAATTCTTTGTTAGAGAATGAATACTGTTACTGACAGCATCTCACCTGGCTAATCATCTCTTAATCAAGTGTCTTTAGTCCTTCCTATAATTGCTTACATGCTGTAGATTTTTTGCTACAGAAAGTAATGGAACTAAATATTTGCCTTAAATGTGTTATTACATATTTCTGAGATGTCTTTGGTTTTTATTTTCATGTAGCTTCATAATACACAACAAAGATACTTTCTTCAACAATGCTACAAGAAGTAGAATTGTACATCATATCTTACAAAGAGTGAAATACGAAGAAGGGAAAAACAAAATTGGTAAGTACTGAGCAATGAGCTTTTAAATGCATGTTTGAAAAAAGAAAGGAGAAATCTGCCTGGCCTCATTACAGACTCTTTTCCTTCCCTTTTCATCACCTCAGTTTTGACTGTTTACATCTCACCCACTGCTATTGTAGGGGCTTTTCCTGGAAGATGGAATCATCTCCCTGTAGTATCAGTCAGCTTTCACAGGCACATGTCACCACATGGGATTTATCCCTCTGCAAGGGAAGAGCCTGATTTAAACATGAAATATTTACAGATTACGAGTAGCAGAGAAGCAGAGAGATTCATGTTGGAAAATCTTTATTATTTCATAAAAACGTGTTTGGAAGGATGGCAAGGTTTGCACTGCTCTGTATCTCAGGCTACAGGGCTTCTCCCTGGATACCTATCCATCCCTGAAGGAGATGGAAGACTCTGTATCTCTGTTGTTGCTGTAAGTCAAAAGGGAGTTCACCACTGATGTCCTCAATGGACGTCAATGAATACATAACTGTGGATTCATTTTCAAGTAGCGAATGGAGTGGAAATTTGGACTGGCACACATGCAGGTCCAGGAGAGCAGGCAGTGACAGAAGAGGGATAGAACATGAAACAGTGGCCACCTTCTGCCAAGTCATACAGAGCACATACTGCTTGAGTACCACACAGAGACAAATGTAGAGACAAGCTCTATAAAACTCTGCAGTCTATTACATTTTCCTGCTGTTTATACCTCACCTATCCCGAAGAGGAAGAGAAATATCCCAGAACTTCACTTTTTTCTTTCTTTCTCGGCTGCTGGGATGAGGGCAGCAATAGCCCTGAGCAGAGCTTTCATCTAAATGGTTATGTTAGACCATATTTTATAAGGTTGAAATTTAAACTTGGTGTGAGGTCTCCATTTTCACTGAAGTTACACTAAAGATGGATTTGGCAAATGAATCTTTAAGCCTCTAGCATACTAAATGATAGATTCTGATTAATATTTGAACAAGTTTTTCTTTGTATTTTATCTTAGTTATCAAAATCTATAGAAGATTAATTTTTCTACATTTATTGTGTACTGTCAATTGGCTTCAATCTTCATTTAGCCAGTTTGTGAAAATTTGGTTTGCTTTTTACTTAGCAATTTTTCTGCTTCTATTGGTAAATAATTGAATACTTTTGATTCCTAGGTTTGAATCGATTGCTCAGTAATGGCTCCTATGAAGCTGCATTTCCTCTTCATGAGGTATTTTGTTTGGGTTTTTTTTGTTTTTCCTTTTTGAACACACATTTCCCACAAAATGAATTCTTTATTGTGTAATTATTTGACCTCAATCTTATTAATGTCTGCCTCTCACATGCTTCCATTTAGCAATGCTTTTTTCCTTGGGGAAAAATGAAGGGTGTTTTCTCTCAAAAAGAGATGAGTAAAGATAGTTGTTCTAGTTCTAGTCTGTAAAAACTGTTTGAATTGATATATCAGTATGTTTTCAGAGAGGAAAAATATCACACTCTGGGGTTTTTTGAGATTCTCCAAATATTTTCTTTGCTTTTATATGCTGTAACTTGAATATAATTTATTATAAATTTCTTAGGAAGAATCATCTCAAACCTTAATAACATCAGTTAATATATTTTTAATGCCATATTTAACTTTTGGAGCACAAGTATGGAATTTGCATAAATTGTGTTATCCATACTGCTAGTAAGAGAGATTTCTTAAATATTCTTTTCTGCTGCTGTTATTCATTAATGCCCAGATTTGTATTTTAGGGAAGTTACAGAAGTAAGAATTCAATAAAAACCCATGGAGCAGAAAACCACAGACACCTGCTCTATGAGTGCTGGGCTTCCTGGGGAGTGTGGTATAAATACCAGCCACTGGATCTTGTAAGGTAAGACTTAACTGCTTTTGTTATGTCACATTATAGATGCTTCGAGCACGGATTGTTTCACTTCTGACAAAACCATGAGAAGCTCAACTAATTCATGTGGTTTTTAAAAACTGATTCTGAAGTCATGGGAAACCATTTAGTTCATGGTGACACTACAACCAAAGAAATATTTATAGAGGAGTTTGTAGAAGTACGTGAAAGCAAAAGAAGTTTCCTTCCAGAGTTTCCTGCCACTGTATTTTGTAATGGAGTGTTCACAGTATATTTAAGAGAGAAAAAAGGGGAGAAATCTGTGGAGGCTGGATATACTTGATTAGACATCTGTCCATAGGAGGAGTTTTTCCTCCTTGGAGCATAGCTTTAGTCAAAGATAGGCTCTCACCAATTAGATCTTCTAATTCCAAAAAAGCAACCACAGAATGAGCTCTGGATGAAGTTTCATGATGCTTACAAATGGCACAGAGCAAAGTTTGCAGTTGCTGACTGTGCTACTGTGTTCAGCAACACCAGTGCTGGAAGTCTCCTTTGCACCTCTGCCCTTTAACTCAGACCAGCTACACCACCACTGTCCAGATTTTGTTCGTCTTGGAAGTAGTCTGCAAAAAAAAAAAACACTGAGAAAGCTGAGATGTGATTCCAAGTTCTTACATTCCTTTTAAATAATTTTTCAAATAGCCTTGCATGCACTGATAGAGGATTACATATTTCTTATGCATATAGAGAGAGCCAGAGCCTTTACTGATTGTGTTGGCAGAACTGTTATTGGAACGGAATGGGCTTTTTCTACTTGAAGAGAGGAATAGGAGCTATAGGAGCTACAAGAGCCTATTAATAAAGTCTTCAGATGTATCAGGAGCACTGAAGATACATTGGGATACATTGGCCATCAGGAAGGGTCATCCACAACAGCTAATTAATTTCCTCTTTCATAAGTCGTATAACTAATAGAAAACTTTGCTCTTATTTATTCTCAAAGTTGTTACCAGATGAAAGATTTGTAGAGGGTAGCCCTGGAGACAGACAGTGTTACTGATTAAGGCCATATAAAACATTCATTTCATAAAACAAGACAGTTTCATTTCCATGGATAAAAATTTATACAAGAAATACAATAAAAATTTTACTGAGTCATGTCATTTTGTTAATGCTTTACAAAATAATTTATTAGATCTCATAATTGAATCCCAAAGGCTTTTTATTTCTTCTTAAATACACTGGATATAAATATGGAATTTTTGTCAAATTACATAATAGAAATTGCTGATTTATGGAGGAGCCAGCAGTTATACTGAAGGGGTTTTTTGCTTTCAATTTCCCAGTACAGAATAAGATATTATTATCACAGTACAAATAACTAATCTCTACAGAGTTTTATAATCATTTGTCCATAGTGGTCAAGGCTACTGTTCTTCATCACTTCTTGTCTTGTGAGGCAATATCTGGTGTTTGGTTTAATTTGATTATCAGGTATCTGAAAGGTTGTTTTAAGTATGAGAATAAATGGTAACAGAATAAGCAATGTTAGAGATATGATTATTCTAGACCTTGATAGCAGCCTTCTTGCGTTGCCTGGGTTTAAAGTATAAGATTTTTAAAGAAGCTTTATTTTTTCGTCAGATAAAGTTTTCAGAATCTATTAAAAACAAAAAAAGTAATTGCTATGGACCCCCTAGCTGAGGTAAGGAGTGTCCTGCTGTTGTTGAGAGCAAACATTTACCCGAAGAGGAGAGGGGCAGGGGGGGCTGTGAGATTCCCTGAGCACTGGCAGCAGCCTGAGTCACAAGCCACCAAACTCAGCAGGGCCAAAGCTGCAGCCCCAGCCCAGCCTGCCATTTGCTGCCTGGAACACGTCCACAGCTGTGATGAATTCACTGAAGGAGGGTGACAAAAGAGAGAAGGGGATGCCTTTTTCTTCTCACTTCACAGATGCTGCATTACTCACATTTCCTCAGCTCCTGTTGAGTTTTCAGAGGATTTGAAGATTTGGGAGGAGCTAAGGAAATGTGAGTAATGCAGCAACCGTGAATGAATCTTCCATGTCTACTGCCACTCTCAGCAGTTCACATGTCTGTTGAGCTGGAGCCTGGTCCTTGAAGAACTGATGACACCAGCAAGACCTGCTGTTCATGTCAATTGGAAGCATCTCAGCAGGCTTTACACTTTAAAAAGAAGCTTTTTTCAGTACCAGTTCTACAGCAGGAAAATCTTTTTTTTCCCCCATAACAAGAATTATGTGGGATTGTGCTTGAGGGTTGTAGTGTGGTCATCTGTACAAAAGGAGTGGCTGGATATTGATTCTTCCACAGACATCTGGCCAGAATTTATGCTGCTAAGTTGACATTATGCTTTAGAAATGCTAAGAAAAAAATCATATGTGGATAGTACAATTCTGTCATTAATAGATGTGCTGTTTCTACCTTAAAGTCAAGTTACCACAATGGTGAGTTAAATACTTCTCTGCTGTTTTATTTTTGTCCTTAGATGTTAAAATGAGGTTTCCATCTCCTGTGTTGCCAATTTGGCAACTCCCAGATTTCATTTAATCTCATCAGTTGGCTGTTATGGAGATACTAGTCACTAATAATAAATGAGAAAAAGTAATTTGAGGAAAATTACATGATTCTGCTTCCACTCTTCTTTGAAACATGCAGCAGTATGATGGCACAGACTCGGCATAATTTACAAAGCCACTCCTGTTAGTCAGCAGATGTGGTACCATGACTTTAATTATGCATCTCTTGGAATTTAGTGTCCACAGATACTTTACAAGGATAATTTATGACCCTTAGAATTGATTATAATTGGAAAGAAACAGGACTCATTATATTTATGTGCCCTGGGACCATGTAAATCAACAGAAACAGTTCCAGTGATTCCTGGGGACTTTAGATCACCTCCTTCACACTTCTGTGCATTGCTGCTTCCCTCTTGATTGTGCACAAATTGCTCCTGCTGCTGCTTGTGCATGTAATTCACAGGACAAAAACACAGGGAGAAAACTGTGTTTTTTCAGTGATTGTAAAGCTATATAAATCAACCTGGAAGCAAAAACTGATGCCTGAGTAACCTGCATTTTGCTCCATGTTTCCATTACATGTCTTGACTGTAAGCTGACTACTCCCTTTCAGTCTCCTTTCAAGCCCCATTGCTTCTGACATGAGAGCATCATATGTCCAAAACACCTGCTAGAAACCTCTAGTTTCTGTGATGTAGAAAGTTCTGTAAAGGATTTCATTCTTGTCTGCAAAAGAGTTAATGGAAATAGATATCTGTCTGTATTCTAGATCTATGACTTCCTTCTAGGCATGCTGAAAGCAAAATGAAGGTCATTAAATATAGGATAATCCAATATCACATTTCATAGGTCTGAAATTAGACTTTATAGCTTAATACTTTTCAAAAATGCACCTTATTGATAAATATCCATATTGAAATATTGACCCGATTAAGTCATAGCTCTATCACTGGAATGGCTTGAGGGGTTATACAGTTCACCATTAAGGTAACTGGTATTGAAGGGCTGTGATACAGGCCAGCTTACAATTGAGAAGCTGATATGATATTTTTATTACTATTTTGATGGTACAACATATATAAGGGTAGGAGAGATGGATTATTCTTTCATGTATAGGTATATATATTAGTATAGGTATATAATCTTTTAGGTATTGTTTGGGGGTTTTTATGTCTCTGCTTTTTAGGTTAGTTGTGGAGAAAATTTTCTGTGGGAGAACCATTAAAGACTGAAACCATTTTTCTTCTGTCCATAATAATAATCTGAAAAATTGTATAGTAATAAATAAGCAAAATTAACAAGAAGACAAATATCAACACTAGAAAATTTCAAAGTGGCCTTGAAATGAACAAGATGATTACAGGTGAAATTTAGGGATAAGTAATGCACAGTGATGCATTCTGGAAAAAACCTCTGGAATTCTTTGCGTACATTGCTGAACACTGGCTCAGAGAAAACTGCCAACTGAGGCAAGCTGTATGAAATTTCTATTCTTTACATAGTGACAGAAGAATAGAAGAAACAAATTTGTTCTTCAAATAAATATTTGGGGCAAATTGAAGGGAGTGACAAAGGTATATCTACATATTTTTCGTCTCCTGAGGGTCATGATGGTCCAGAGTAGCTGAATTTCATATTGGAATAAATGTGGAGCTGCTCTAAATATGACACCTAAGAAGGCCTCCAAAGACTTTCTTACTGGCATAGTTTGTTTCTATAACATTTAACTGAGTGGTATCTGAGCAGAGACTAGAAGGAGAAATATGCAAACTCTGGGACCAGAAGACAGAAGATATATCAAGTTGATCCTGATGCAATTTACAGTAGTACAGCCTATGCTTGTGGAGTACCAGCTATGTTGCAAAGGGCAATAAGGGAATATTGAGGCTATTTCTCCATATTTAAACCAATACATATCAAAGTAATGTCAAAATCCTTAATTTATTTTTAAAACCCGGCTCAGATGCCTTTTCCTTACTTTTCAGAGATGGGTTCCTCCCCATCATGGACTGCCTTCTTTATGCACACGCTGAAATTTGCTTGGGTCTTCATCTAGGATGAAGGTGTTTGATTTCTAGATCAAAAAGAATACTATGATTTGCACTGTTAGATTGAAGAGCTCAACAGGATAGGAGATTATTTTTGCCATTAATGCTTATCAGCTAGAGGGTTGGAAAGAGGGAGCATTCATCCTTCAGTATAGGGAATTAAGTAAAAAATAAAGCTTGATGAAGGTTAGGTGGACTTCACTACTTTGAACTGTGTACGTGGAGAAAAATAGGTCATCCATATTTAGTAGAAGTAAGCTCAAATGTGAGTTTGCATTTTTGGAGTTACAGACACAGACTGACATCCTGGGTGTCAAGAAAATAATCAGGCCAAATGTTTCATTTACACTCCTAAGTCAGGTCTTAAAAGCAGTTTGCAGTATGTTTTCTCACAGTCAGACCTGTTGCCCTTGTCAGAACTGAGCATGTTAGTGTTAGCTTACCATCTCTTTAGCCTGTGAATTTGAGACTCTGTTGAATGACAGAAGAATAACAACAAAATGACAGTACTTGGCTTCTTATACAAAGCTGGTAAACTCAAATGAAAATAGTCACTGCAGGTCAGTACCTTCCATCAGAGCATGAATTCGGGCCAGAGAGGTATTTCCCACACTGGAAATTTTTAATAACTTGAAAACTGCTGCTTTTGTGCAGTCCAGACCAAGTGTCTTCCAGTGCACCCAGCACTAGAAACAGTCTAGGTCTTTCCATTCTCACTGAGAAGGTTTGGCCAGTGATGTTTTCTGGTAGCATAGAGGAGCCAGCAGTGCTGGCTCACTGCACTTATTCTCTGGATAGATCAGAAGTTGCGTCATTAAAGTGAAAGCAAATTTCCAGCAGTAAGTATTTTCAAACTGAGTGGATTTTCAAGTTTAAGTTGTCTACAAAATCTCTGAAACACAAGCATATCATCATGCCCAGTTCTTTAAAACCAATCTTGCAAATAATCTCCTAAAATCTCAGCCTACTGTGCACAAATCAGACACAGGACAATACATGAGCCTGCTCCTCTGCTGATGAGTTCAGCAGGTTTTTGTGTGCTTGATGTGCTCTAACACATAAATACAGGTTGGTTTGGGAAGAGGAAAATTGCTAATTCATATGTAGCAAAATGGAACTTTCTGGCTACTTTGCTGTTAGTTTTTGAGCAATATATCTAATAAATTAGGATAAATTCTACTACTACTATTCTACTATTACTACTTTCCTCAAACCATTGCAAGATGATGGACCTTACTTGCACTTCACTTTCCACTGCAGTAGAATAATGAAATTTGTTTTACAGGAACTGAGCTAAGAAAACAAAGAATCAAATGAAAATAAACTGTGTTTGAGAATGAATTCTGGTTAATTGATTTCTTAGAACTAATTTGAACTCAAATAATTTTTGCTGTTATACAAGCTTTAGGGATAAAATTTATTTAAATGCAATTATTTAGGCAGTAAAGTCAAACAGCCAAAATCAAAGCACACCATCAATTTCCCAAATACAAAGAACTAGATTCCTAAAAGTAACTCAGTGTTTCTTTCATAAGGTCTCCTCTTATCTAACTGTAAACTGTAGTTATTGAATTTTTAAATTAATGTTTTAAATTCATTACTGAGGAAGATCCCTCAGTGTGTATTTAGAAACTTAGTTAAAGGCTTTTCTCCTATTTCATCTACTTTTCAGATACGGTAGAAATTTTTTTTCCTATTAATGAGCAAGATTAAGTAGATTTTTCTAATTAGCAGGTAACTTTACTGTGTTTTGTTTCAAAACAGGCGGTACTTTGGTGAAAAAATTGGGCTGTACTTTGCCTGGTTAGGCTGGTACACAGGGATGCTCTTCCCAGCTGCCTTCATTGGATTGTTTGTCTTTTTGTATGGAGTCACCACTTTGAACCACTGCCAAGTCAGGTAACGTGGGAATTTTTATAAAGAAATTGCAACTGTGTGTTATTATGAATAATTTAAGAGATCTTTCCACAAGCTGTTAATTTTTTCATTTGAACTGTTGAATGAACAATCAAGAAAAGACTGCTTAGTTGTCATAAGGTACCCAGTATCAAACTTTCCATGTTTTATGCTCCTGAATAGGGATGAAAGGAAATACTTCTTGCCCAGTTCCAGTTGTTAATGGTGCTGGTAACTCAACAAAGTAAGGAAAAAGTAGACCCCTTCATTACTCTTTAAGAGGCCAGCACAAGAGTGGGGAATTTTCACTCTCTGGAAGACCTTTCCCAAAAATCCACCACAGAGAGGCATTCCTCAGATGAAGAAACCCCTGGACCTTCTGCTGAGTGCTGTGTCTCTACATTTTCATGCACTTAAGTCACAAGAATAACTTTGTCTGAAGTTATCCTCACCCTCCTCCTGCCAAAAGTCACTCTGACTCAAGGAGAAGCTGGAAATGGTAAAGAGATACTATTAGGTTGTCCCTGAGAGCTGCACTCTGCAGTTATGACTGTAAACTCTGTAGTCTTGGACAGTCAAAAAATATTAATTATAGACATGCAGTTATGAACATCTTGGCTTTGGTTATGGAACAGTTTTGTTCAATAAGCAACTGAATATTAGCAAAACCTATCAATCCAGACAGATTGTTGTACAGATTGTTGTAGTAATCAAGCTATTAATTTTTGTCTTTTCTGTTTTTCCAGTAAAGAAGTCTGCCAAGCTACAGATATCATAATGTGTCCTATATGTGATAAATACTGCCCCTTCATGAGGTTGTCAGACAGCTGCATTTATGCCAAGGTATGTTTTAGTCTATGCAAATAGAGATACTTCCTGGCAAAAGCATAAATTTTGCCTTTTGCATTTGTCTTTAGTGAGCATGGATAGATAAAATCTTGAAGGGACAGATCAAGTTCAGCCAGAATTAACATTGTCTTTCACCAATACTTAGTTTTTGAATGCAATTTGCACTTCGAGATTCATCAGGCTCAGAGGTGGTGTCCTTGAGCTATGTGTTGTCCTTGACATCAGCCTGTATCTTCTCATCCATCCTCTCTGTGTGGCTCCATAAAATTGATGCTTTGAGTCTGAAATGATGCTCACATCTGGTGTTGGCAGGGGTCAGACCCAGGCCAGGCTGGCAAACAGTCCTGTCAATTCACAGATGGATTTCACATGTCAGGGGAAGGATCCTCAGGATTGTCAGGCCAGCTAAACTCATGATCACATTAATTTTAGTAAATGAAAATGGAAAATAAAGATCTATTACCTTAAATTCATCACATTATTATTATATCTCTCAGGTAACCCACCTTTTTGACAACGGAGCTACTGTCTTTTTTGCTGTTTTCATGGCAGTGTGGGGTAAGTTTCCATTTTGATACTAAGTAATTACACCATTTTTTCTTAAAGAGTATGATGCAACATGGGACTTTTTATTTTCCAGCACACTTTTAATCTGACATTAAGAAAAAATATAGGCTTGAGACTTTTCTGTTTCTGCAAAAGGAAGATGGAATTGGTTGAATCAAGTTTTTATATGAAAATAATTTTAATTAAAACAAAACCATGAATGCAGTTATGTAGTGTCTATGTAGTTTATATATATATATATATATAATTCTGCAGGAATTTCTAGCCATTTTAAAATCCATTGGTACTAAGGCCTTCTCTCTATTACTGCTCAGGGCTTCTCCTAGCTTAGAGCAGCTCAGTTTAGTGTCAGTATTAAAATGAAGCAACATATTTTTCCCCACCTTGCAGAAAGGCAGTAAAACTTAAATCCAAGCAAGCTGGTTGCAGTTAAAGCAAAACTCTGATGAAATAAATAAAATATTTCATTGAACAGTAAATCGATTCGAGTGTGGTCTAACTGTTGCTATGGAGGCTGAATTTTGCCCATAGAAATGTTCTATTTTTGGCTCAACTATTTTTCCACTGTGTCATGTAGGTAGAATTGAAGACAAGAGGAACCAGTAATTTCTGGCAGCACAAAAAATTATTTCAAACAATCCCTAAACATGCCCAGACTCTTAGCTGCTACCAAGCCATTCTGAGAGAAAGTTAACAGTAGAAAATGGCTCAATGAGGTGACTCAAAAACATCCTCCAAATCCTTGAGCTATCTGGATTTAGTCATTGTTTTCCTGTTCTTACTCACACATCTCAAACTGCTTTGAAAGGGTGTCCAAGCAATTCTTATAATCTTAATTTTAAACTGCAAATCTCTTTACTGAACTGCAAGAAATCCAGGAGACAACATGAGAGCCACCAGAACAGCATAGATTAGCCTACCTGTCTATGTCAGTTCCTTCCTCCAAAACTTTAGTTTTGTTTTAGTTAACCAATTAAATTAGGTCATATACCAATCAAGCCTATTTGTGCCGTTTCATGTAATACTGACAATATTCAAATATTACAAATCACATTTAAGAAAAATCCGCAGATCATGCAGATTTTATGTTTCTGCTTGGTATTTCATCTTTGTTTTAGAGCTACATACAGCTAAGAATCACCAAAAATTTCTAAGCCTCAAGGATTTCTTTTAGATACTTACTCAGCTTTTCCAAAATCTTTCTCCATATGTTCACTGCAGTTGAGAATTTCCAAGACAATGTACAGGCAGGGACATCTCTAGCTAGGAAAATTGATGGGTTAACATTGCTGAACATTTATGTCAGTGTTCCTAACTTCTGGTGAGCATTTCTTTGGAGTGCAGATTTTTGCACCAGTGCTTTTGTTTCTCCTTACCAATAACAGTGCTTGCAGAAAACAGCTGTGCTCACAGCACGGCTTCTGTGTCTTAGCAGTGCCCAGATCCAGGGCTGTAGGAAAATGTAGCTCTAGGTCAGGGGACCGTGCCCTGTCCTGCCTTTGAGAAGGCCAAGGAGGCTGAGCATGCCTGCCTGCAAAATGTTGTAGGCCTTCTCTCTTTCCTCTCTTTAGTCAACAGGAGCTTCATCTCACTCAGGTTAGCCTCTCCTTCCTCCCACACCTTCAGCATCACTGTCAGACTCCCAGACCCAATTCCCTCTGGGAATCTCCACACAGGACTGGGCAATGCACTGCCCACCCAGGCATCTACAGCACCTAAGACCACAGCGAGATAAGAAAAAAATACAATAGAAGCTGGCCCCTGGATGCTTTGGCTGCTGGAGAAGAGACTAAAGGACAGCAGCTGGGATGGCAGCTTCCCCCACCACTTTTGTTGGCTCACGCTGTGCTTGGGAGCTGACTGCCAAGAGGGAGGGAGGGAAGCACCAGCAAGAGCTGGGAGTGTAGGGTGGTTTGGGAAATGAATCCTCTGGCTCCACACAAACCCTACTTCCTTAAAGAAGACTTAGCCGAGAAAACAGTGAGATTGTGGAGATATTTTCCATGCAGATAGGACTAAAGCAACGTTCACATAAGGGAAGTCACTCTTTCCAGGGATTTTCTGGTGCTGTATTTAGGAGTTGGCTTACTGCCTGTGTTAAATGGGTTTTCAGTCTGCAGTAGGTCTATTGGCAGCTGCAGGCATTGCCATCATTGCAATAAATCACAGAGGAAGAGAAGAATTTATGGTAGCAGTTTGATTGTGGAAATGTTTTTTCTGTCAGCATGAAACAACTGGCAAGCGCATAAAATATTGGCTGTGAAAAGTTCAGCCTTCCAGATGATCCAATTTGACAGACACTGACATATTAAATAATTATGGCAGTGCTTTCATAAAAAGAGAACAAAACAAAACAAAAAAAAAAGGCAGCTGGAGCTGTGTAACCTCTTTAGCCAGAGTTTACACGCTGTTTTATTATTATCTAAAGTATTTTCTTCACTTTCTTTAGATCCATTAGTAAGCTCCCATCCTGAGAGAGAAGCCTCAGCCATTTGCTTGGGAATTTCAAAACCAGGTGTGGCCACTGGTCTTTCCATGAATAGGTGATCTGTATGGTGCTTTCATCCTTTTGCTCTAAAGACATTTTTAGTTGATGAATTAAGTGGTTTACTTCCATTTTAAATATAAATAAAATGCATTTCCAAGTGATGAGCAAACTGCTGTGGCCAGGCTGCAGAGAGGAACTACCATGACAAATGCCAGGAGGGGGTGCTTGATTTGTGGAGCAGCAGTGAGCCTGACTGAAGGGCTCTAAAGCTTAGTGACCCATCTTTTATAATGCTTCATTTTGGCAAAAATGAGACCCATCAAAGCAAGGTTGGAATTGTTGAGTGTACATGGGGATACTGGCACATGAAGAATTTAACACTTTTTTCAAGCAATAAGAAATGCCAACGTAAAACAAATTTCTGTATGTATCTGTTAGTCTAATAAAAGATATTACTTTCCTACAAATCTTGCCTCTAGAGTAAAAAGTTGGCATTGATCTGCTCTCTGAGGAGATAGAATTTAAGGATGTTCTTCAGCAATACTCCTGGTATATAGAATATAAATGGTGCTCTGACATACAATAGAGAGAGGATTTCTGAAAGAAGGTCAGGGTAAAGCGATTTCCTACAAGAGGCCATTTGCATTACGAGATAAGATCACAACTTGTTACAAAAGCATCCGAGGAAATTATGTTAAGACAGCTGTTTGTACAAGTGGATATTGAGGACCTAACTGCAAGGTCGAGCCCTGAAGTAGGAAAAACTTAATATAGGAAAAGCTAGTAAAAGATCTGTGAGCTAAGCCCAATGAGAAATGCAAACTTTCAAGCAGGAATTTTTGAGAAAACTCAACATCTGGTTTATACAAATGGGAAAATACACAAATAGGAAAATACAATTGTGTCCTATTGAATGTCAAAGTCAGAAAAGAATGCTGAGGTTTGTACAGAGAATTTGTGATTAAAATTACAATTAGAAAATAAGCAGAGAAAATTGAAAATTCAGTACTTTTAGAAGACCTTAGTATCACAGTGAATCAATCAAAGATGGTTATTTATAGCACATTTTAAAATATCTAGCAAGAGAAAACTGCATACTGACCTGAATAGAGGGAGAAAAGTGTAACACAGTGAAAGCTAAAACAGCACTGTACACAACATCATAGTTGCTACTCAACAATTAGAAAATAACTTTTTAAAGACGCTTCAGGAATTTCACGTACTTACTCTGACAGGTGCTAAATGTGCTAAACGTAATATGTGTAAATTCCTCACTCCAGGTGTGGAAAAAACAAGAAAGAAAAGAAGTATTGTTCAACAAACATATATCTGAGAGGTTCAGGGCTTCGACTCAAACACCTACTGGAGTTCTGCTACCAGCAGCTTTTTGGAATGAAAACAAAGTGGTAGAAATCAATCAGGCTTCTTTCTCCTAGGTTTCCAAACAGTGCAGGACTACTTGTTTAGCCTGAACAAAATAGTTCAATATTAGCTGATAGGAGAAAAGCAGTTCTACCAGAAAAATAAAATCAAGGAATGAACTATGTTGTGGTTCAGCAGCAATGGAGACTCATTAGCACTTACTGGTTTTGCTGATCACAACCAGTCATACTGCAATTATTACAAACATTTATAGAAACATTAGGCTCATGACCCTCTATTAGAGTAAAATCAAAGTGGTTGTTACTTGGTGTACCATATTTCCAGCTTTCAGAAAAATTAGTACATGATATATGAAAATGCCTTCAAACCAAATATCTGCTTCCTTACACATGCTTTTGATACCTTACCTTGTCTGCTTGTAGTGTTCATTTCCTAAGCATACTATCACTTCACTGGCTAGTACAATAAAGCATCATTCTTACTGCCTAAAAATTAACTTTTGCCAAACTGATGCCAGTACTCAGTATCAGGTCCCATTTTTATCAGGATGCTGCGATAGTGCAAACAGAAAATTAAGGAAGTGTTTTTATGACTGGATGTGAAATATATTGCCAGACTATTGTGACATAGCTGATACTATGCTAGCTCATGAACAAAGGGGTTTATGTTCTCTGGTTATCAATTTACTGCTTCTCAGTGAGCAATAAAGGAAAGAGCCAAACTTCACAGTGCAAGAGGAAGCCTGCCCACTGATTTGTGTTAGCTTTAGGTAGTTTCTACATCCTTTACACAAAATAAATGTTTAAAACCCCTGTAACTTTAAGCAAGCTGAGTATTAATCTTAGGATTATGAGCATATTATGTTATTACTGTTTCCTTGATTTTTCTTTCCATCACAAAATGGAAGCACAGTTGTCACATCAAAGCGGGGATTTCCTCAAATCCTTTCTATTCCTTTGGTCTGTCAGCACTCCAGGAAAGCCAACACCTTTCTGTCAAAGTCCTATTATGGTGACTCTCCACTGAGCTGCCCACTGGGTCAGGGGATGGTTCCACTGACTTGTTCAGGGACACACACCAATAGCAGAAGAGAGACCCCATCCCACACTTCCATTCAACTGTGTTGCCCACTGCTGGCTATGGCCAGTGCCCTTGAAGGACTCACACCAACAATTTAGGGGACAACACTCTTCATTAATATACACACTGTGAGTGGAAAATCGCAACAGGTTTAAGTTCAAAGATTGACAGTGACAATAGCTGACTGCAAAAACGAATTCAAAGCAATATCCAGACAAGCTCTAATGATCAAGCAAACCTAGCTCAAGATGATCATTCAGCAAGCGTAGAATACAGTTATTACCCAATAGACATTCCTTTGGAGGAGACAGGTTCAGCCCATCCCCTGATCCCAGAAGTTATGGAGTCTTCTCTAATTTTTCCCCATTCTTAACTTGCTTTTGTACTATTCATTTACATTTAGATGGAGCTGGAGTGGTTCTAATGATACACACCTTAGTTATGATAGGTGTAAAATTCTCTCTTTTCTCTCTTAAAGATATAGCCAATTAAATATAGAGTGCATGCCTAGTGAGGGGAGGTTGTACCTTGAAGGCAGGTAACTATGGGATGGAGGTGTGTGTTAGTATTACAGTTAGGTTTTAATGAACTCAGTTCATCCAAGGACAACAATTTGACCACAGTTGCTGGCTCAGCAACAGACACCTTCTCTTATGTCCCCTGGTTGACAGGTGCTATGCTGTTTATCAGCTGCAAAGTACCATTAACTTCTCCCCCTGCAAGGATTACAACAGAGCCTGACCTGTGTGTCTCCATTCTGCTCCACCTTCCATTCCCATTAGCATGGGCTTAGGTTTGCAGCCTGGGTATATGGGGAGTCGTGGTGGAATAGGTTTCAGGCATGCCAATCACATTCCATCCAGGGAACAACAACTGTATTTTACCCTGTAATTTCCATATTGGTAAAATTTCTGCTAGGAGGTGAATATAACCTTCCAGCTTTCTCTAATTTTACTCCCAGTCATCTTCCCATAGCAGTCATGTGCAGGCCTGTTACTCCATCTTTACCTCTATCAATAAAGGCTGTACTACACAATGTTTAATTATCAGCTGTAAATACCACACGTCATATATGAACTCATGTAGTGACAAAAAAAAAAAGGACTGGACTGAAAAGGTGTAAACCAGAAGTTCCCATTTCCATAGCAGTACTCTACAGATTTTCAAATGCACTGGACTGGGCTTCCTCTGGGTTCTGGTTTCTGTGTAACATAAATGGTCTTCAAAGAAAGAAAGTTACTCCTTTATGTACAATGGCCCCAAGAAACCTTTAGATTCATCAGAAATCTGCTTTATCTAGCAGTGATGACTCACAGGAACAATTTTATTCTTTGAGAGCCCTCCTTTGGTTGGTTAGAAATTAAACATTCTCATTTAGCACTAAATGAAATCTCTAAAGCCTCAATCATACTTGAAGTAAGCAAGCTAATCCTTAGAAAGCAATGCCTTTTGAAAGCAGTTTTGATCATCAGCATGATTTGCTGTTCAAAGGGACCCATTTATGCAAAGAAATTAAAATAATGTAACAGCTTCATTCAACAGTTCTGTGGTAGTCATTAACATTTTCTTGAGTTAAAAACAATTTTGCATCTTTTTTTTTTTACTTGCTCTAGCCACTGTTTTTCTGGAGTTTTGGAAAAGAAGGCGAGCAGTAATTGCTTATGATTGGGACTTGATAGACTGGGAAGAAGAAGAGGTTTGTATAAAAACATGTACTCCTTAATCTTTAATACAAAATTATTTGGTTGAAAATGTATGGTTTTATTTTGCATATATTTCCAGTTCATTCTTTAAATCTTTATAAACTATGAAATAAGCATTTTTCTCCTCAGATGTTTCCTCTGGAATGTAAAGAAACTTTCTCCAGGCCAAACTGTTTTCTTTTTTCACATTTTTGTAAATCTAAATTAATTTGAGAGGTTTCAGGGAAGAAATGCACTATGGGAGAAATGCATTTTTGTTTTGAAAGCTGGAAATTCTTGACAGCTCAGAGTACCATGAATTTTGGCAAATGAGCTTTTATCTATTTTTTCAGTTTGTCACTGAGAGTACTGATGGAAAGAAAGCCTTTTGAGGCTTGCCCCAGCTTCTGAACATTCGGGTGCTGGTTATCTGAGAGAGAGGACTTAATTCATTCTGTGTTGGTAGAGGAAATCCCCTTATGGAAGAAACTAAACTGCAGAAAATAGCCTTAATCTTTTCCTCTGGTGGTCACCAGAGAGAAACAACCTGCTCCTGGGACTGGGAACTCAGGCCTGAATAGAACTAGAATTTCATTATGCAGGAGAAAAGCAAGATTCAGTGAGTGTTGAAGAAAAAGTGCTCCATGGGTGGGATTTAGACATATAGGTGCCTACAAATCTGCTCTCCTTACTCTACAGAAGCTCTTGGAGGCATGGTAAGAGGCTGCTGTAGTGGTCTCAGTGAAGCTGAACCTCTACATTGCTGCTTTGGTGGAAGATTCTCTTTTTTATCAATCTTGACAGCAGAGAAGTAGACTTCTGAATTATGGGGTTTTAGTCTGTATGAGGCAAAGTAGTTCAATGAGGCCATGAAATGATGGAATTACTGCCAGAATTTTCTTTTAAATACTTAATTACTTAGCAAACAACCTAAGAATGCAACATGAAGTAACTTAAGCAACTGGAAATTGATTTCTTTATAACAATAGGAATGTTGTCTGTGCACATATGCGGTCAATTCTGGGTGATACTTCTGGACTATCTGCTTATATACAGGAAATACTCTAATACTGATTCAACTCTTCTGAGATTAGCAGACTGCTCTTGCCAATGCTGGCAAGTCACAAAGGGATTGAGGTAGTCCTGCCTGAGGGTCGCATAGAGGTCAGGACTGGCCTGCAGGGATCATCTCTTCTCATGGCTAGGTGCAAAAAAAGCCACTGCTGCCGATGCTGACAGCTAAGAAAACAGCTGTACCAAATTGCAATTTGCAAGTGACAATTAGAGCTTCCTCTGTGTCCCTGGAATGAGAAGGAGCCTTTAAACTGACAAAATACAAAAGTAAGTACAGTATGAGACACTCTTTACGTTTTTCCCAGGAAGCCTGGTCTTGCAGATATTTGTAGTTTGGGATGTTATATATCTTCATCTTTCACCATTTAACCTACCTGGATTTGGGATTATGCTGATTTATAAAGCCATCCACTTGAATCTTCTATGATCAGTTCATTTACAAATATTGAATTTCCTGGTAAGGTTGTCCTTAAGTGACACTTTGCTTTTTTTTTTTTTTTTTTAATTAGATACATTTATTCAGTGTGACCTGCAGGATGATATTTGTATGCTGGTAATTTTCAGAGGATACCTGCTTCCTGTTGATGTCAGCTGGTCTTTTATTCTCACACCAGAGTTTTTCCAGTAAGCTGTGTCAACAAGACCTCTGTCAGGAGTAGTGATGATTGTACCTGTTCCAAAGCTAATCAGTGCACCTCCCTACAGTTCTATAGGGAATCTTATGAGTCTCTACAGCAGGAGGTAGAAGTTTTTTCAGAAGCAGTGTGCCAGATAGTACCTTTCTCAAATTAGAGGTTAAAGATGCTCATAGGAACTCAGCAGGCTACTTCTCAAAGCTTTGTGTGTCCAGTAATTAGAACATCAATATCTCATTGGCATTTGAGGCATCAGTTCCTCCTTTGTTCAGCATTCAGGTGCATCCAAAGGCTAGGAGCTGATTGCCTCCTGGAGGTATTTTCTCTGAAGATGGTGCAGCCCCCAGTGCCCATTCCTATGGCACAGGTCAAGCATGTCCCAGCTTCAGAGTCAGCCCAATGGGCCACTGCCTCTTCTGCATGAGTACCTAATGCTGCACTTTTCCATTGGAACTGCACTTTGCCCCTAAGAAACACCCAGTTTGGAAGCAGGTGCTCCAGATGAAGTGTGGAGATATTTCCCTGCTCTGTGGTTCAAAGCCCACCTCTTCACTTTGCCATTATCTTCACCTGCAAACCACAGGCTTTGCTTGGACACTTATTTCTGGGGATGTTATACTGGTGATTCAAATTTTCAATCTACAAATTCTTTTTCTACATCTGGGCTACAGAGGACAATATGCTCGGACTAGGAAGGAGGGGACTATTTCAACAACTTACTTGTTGAGGGATTAGAAAATTCTTGGGAAAAGAAGCAGATATTTCACAGAGAAACTAAGAGTAGCTCTTGTAGAGCACAAATACCTGGTCTAAGGCAATTCACATTAATCCATATTTCATACTCCAAAAATCAATATGGTTTCTCTTATGAAAAAGTTGGCATTATTGATGTATGAGAAATGGGAAGGAAGGAGAATAGTCTGTTTTAGGTAGATTGGAAAAGATTCATCCTGTGGAGTTTCATTGGTAAGTTGTATGTCAGTGAGAAATCAATGGGAATTTTGACTCCATAAGGTGAAAATTTGTCTCCTAAAAGTGCTAGTTTCTGATAAAATCACTGCTAATTAAATTTCCTCTCTGCTTTCCATTCAGTTATCACTAGACAAAATCAGCTGATTGTTTTTAGTAGGTATTTCAAAGACATCGATTACAGTTCTAATTACAATTTTAAATCTCAAGCTTTTGATAATGAAGATTGTTATTTTTATTAACATTGTGTCTAGCCTTTGCTTGCTTTTATTTTCATTGTCAAATTGAAAAATAAGGTTTTATTACAGAGGAAAATTTATTAATTCCTGACAGCAATATGCTGAAAAAAACCACCATTTGTGGTTTCCTATCTCTTTGTTATCTTCTTCCTGTTCTAAATGAAGAGACAAATAAATGAAACAATGAAGACGATGGAAAGGAGAATTGCATTTTTTTGGATATGCAACTTTGTGAATTCCTCACCACTTTAGATTCTGATCCAAGAAAGGCATACAGCAACCCCTGCAATCTTCAGGCCTTTCAGTGTGAGGATATGAACTGAACGTGTTCTGGTTCTTTCAACCCTACATATCTGGATTTCCTGTTCTTGTAAGCCAAGTGCAGGGTGGGAGACATGGAGAGCAACTGCCTCTTGGGTGGGCATGCCACAAAAAAACAACTGCATACAGTTGCTGGCACTCCCAGATGAAATCTGGTTTCTGTTGCTATTTGTAGCATATTTTTTCTTTTTCTTCAGTGTCACATTCTTTGTATCATTAACCTCAGCCAGACACAGTACTGTTTACTTGCCCAAGCATCGCTGAGTATCATTAAACAGGTACAAAGTGTCATGCCAGATTTCCTTTTCTTTTGAGAACATCTGTAAAAATAGCATTTGCGTTATTTGCATCAACTGGAGATTATAGGACGTGGTTATGAGAAGAATTTCCCTACACTGCAGATTGTAAAAGATAATCAAACCTTGGCTCAGAGAGGGGTGCAGAGAAGTTGAGGTTTTTTGACAAGCCAGCTGACAGAGCCCTTGCACAATCTACAGGGTGAAATTCTCAGGAACCCTGCTTCACTGGTATCACATTCTGTCCTTTTTCATGCCCCTGGGCACACAGGAATGCTACTCACATTGTTCCTTTTGCCAGATTATGGTCTGCTCAACTGCCCCTGGCCCTGATATGGCAGGAACAGCTTGAGCAAAATAGAGTAAGAACAAGGTATTACCCTGGCTCCACAGAAAAATGCTTAGCCTTTTTGTAGAGCTGATGTAGGGCTGGTTCTCTCAAGCACATAATTAGATACAGAGGCATTGCAGCTAGGCATACATGCATCTTCATTTGTTTCTATAACTTGTTACCAGGTTGCTGTGCGATTTTGGAAATTAACTGTGTTGAGAAAGCATCTTCAAATCTTGGAAGAAGGATAATGAGACATTACTTCTTTCCACGCTCCCCCCTGTCCCCCCTTCAGGCGAATTTTTAAAAAAGGAAGTGCGCTTTTAGGATATCTCACCTTTATTCACACTCTGAAGACTTGTGTGAGCAGTCAACATTCACCTATTTCAATGCTGTCATTTAATGTCTGGACTTTCCAGCTCCAGCCAGTCAGAGTTCAGTTATGTGCAGTCGGAGGGCTGGAAGTGACTGAAATTTGTAAGCTGGTTCTTGTCTGCTCCCTTGTAGCCAGCTATGGAGCAGCTCTCCAGTACACAGTAGAGTACTACAAACAGTGCTCTAATATCTGCCAGCATTTGTGAGAGTCCATCCTCCCAGCCTGGAGCTTTATCTCACCTCTGACAGTGTCCTGGGATGAGGTGGCACAGGACACGTGGCTCTTGGTGAGCATCCGCACGTTAGGGCAGCAGGGCAGCACTGCTGCAGGTGTCACCTGCACCAAGGGTGAGCCCTGTCTTCTGGCAATGCTGTAAACAGATGGAACCAAACCTCTTCCCAGGTAATCCCCAGATTTCATTTCACAAGAGGGTTTTTAATGGCAAAGCAGGCTTTGACATTTCTGCTGCAGAAAGTTGTTCCTGCTAATAATATTGTCCAAGTTAAGAAATAATTGAGCAGCGTTAGATGGATGGATCCTTCTTCAAATGCTGAGAATCCTTTGCTGGACATGGAAATGTAACTAAATGCCTAACAAACAGCAATTATGTTTGGGAAAATGAGGTTTTGTTGTTGGGGTTTTTTTTTTTTTGCTTAGTTGCAAATTTCCAGTATCAGTAGGATAATGTCAGACTGAAAAAATTCTGTGGTATCTTTGTCTTGGAGCCATGTAGTTTTGAAAGAGCATTATTTAGAGGAATAGCTAATTGGGGATTTTACTAAATACTTTCAGTATTTACTTTTATGGGCATAGTGATTTATTCTAGTTCTCATGGAGGAAAACTGATTTCCCAGCTCAGCTTTTATAGTGACTGTGCCAGCTGCTGAATTCAAAGATGTAATTCCCCAGAACAGTGATCTGATAAAAGCTCTGAAGTTTCCTATGGAGGTTTTCCTAGCTGTGCTGTATGTGAACATTATCTGTCTGCTCTTTAGGAGGAAATACGTCCACAGTTTGAAGCCAAATACTCCAAGAAGGAACGAATGAACCCCATATCTGGGAAGCCAGAGCCTTATCAAGCATTTGCAGATAAATGCAGCAGACTCATCGTTTCTGCATCTGGAATATTTTTTATGGTTTGAGAACTTTTATTTATTTACCAGTTGAAAAAAAAAATGATCTCTTCTAGTAGAGTGAGTAAATATTGGATATGACTGCTTGAAAGTGAAATAAGCTCTATGCATGTTGAAAATCTACATAGCAAATCACTTAAGTTTCTGTCGAGTCCTACACTGGTTCACTCTTCACTGAGTCTCACAGAGAGCTAGTCCCTTCCTTCAGGGCTACACCTGTGACACGGTATGTAGTGACACATGCCACAATAGTGACACTATCACATTCAGACACCAACTTCAGTTGACTCAATTATCTCACTGTTAGCCTTCCCTGTGTAGGCAGGGCAGAGTGATGGGGAAAGTTGCCATAGGAGAAGCAGATGTTCTTTGTAAACCTCACAGAGAACCTAAATAAGACGCCTAGAGTGCTTAATTATGTTAATACAACCTAGTTTCTCAGTGTATTGAGGAGATGAGGAAAGAGTTTGTGTTCCTAGTGCAGGTGAAGTGGAGAAACCAACCAATGTTTCTTGACTGAAATTATGCATTTATCCCCTTTACAAAGTGCAAAACTGAAAGGAGTGGCAAAATCTCTCCTGACAGAGAGCTGCATGCACTTCTGCAGAAATACCCCCATCCTCTAATTTCCGTGGAGCAGTTGTGGGCTGTTATTCACGTGACAGCAGGCGCGGTAGTGTTGGTCTGGAAAACACAGTGCTGGTCTGGAATCAACAGACTGCCACAAAATTTACTAGGGCTTTTCCAGGAGACAAGAAAATGACAGAGTGTACAGCCTCGGGAGCTGTGCAGAGCCAGGTAGGTGAGCTAACCCAGCAACAGGGCAAAGGACAGTAAGAAAATGATGGCTTCAAAATTGTCCTAAACAATCTAGGTCAAGAAAGGCAAAAGCATTATTGAGATGAACTGTGCTCTGGTACAGCAGGTGGATGGACACCCTGACTCAGCCCTTGAGGACAGGTACTCAGGACTGCAGTCTCTGCTCAGAACTGATACTACAATTCAAATATTTTGTGTATTTTACCCAAGTTTTTTTCTTGAAGGGTGGCAGTATTTTACCCTATGCAAACTCAGTCATTATTCTTCTTAGACTAGTGATAGATCTTACTCTAAGTGCCAGAGAAAGTAGCCTTGCTCTAAATTGCATGCACCACAAATTGCTGTCCCCTTAACAGCCCTTGAAACAGGACAAAAATTATTTTCACTGAAGTTAGTTTTATTGTTGGCATAACATGGGCTTCCAGCAAGTTAGAAACACCCCACATTTTTTGACCATTTAGATAAGAATATTTTTTTTTAATTACACCATTAACAGGAGATACACATTTCCCAAACTTCAAGTTACAGAAGTTCTCAAAATTTCTCACCATAGACTCTCCCAGTGTAGTAAATAATACAGCTCAACTGTTGCATAAGGAACATGAACTGACTAAGCAGCCTGGCTCAGCTGTGGCTTTCTCATTCGAACTTTCATATTTGATGAAAGTTTCATCAGAGAACAAATCACAAGGGCAAGTGGACTGGTTACCTTCTTCTTACCTGGTAGATAGAAACTTTCCAGAGCTGTAGGAAGAAACAGGCAGCTAGGCTAGCTTGGCAGGGCTGTTTTGGAGGCAGTGCTCACAAATGGAGACATTTGTGTGAAGTCCATCAAAGCACAAAATCCATCCCAAGTATGATATCATCAAGCTGTAACATCAGCTTGAGACTAGCCTTTGCACACCATGTGCAGATAAGGAAAATTTCTAATTCCCAGAGCTGGCAATACCATTTCCCACATTAATGATAAGGAAGAAGAACATTTTCAAGAAAATGTTTAAAACTAAAAATTATTTTAATATTATTTCAATTAGATTTTTCATTATGAGAAATAAAAATAACAAGAAGAAAAATCATCATGTTGAAACCTTTCTCTGGAATCAAAAGGAATGCACTTTTAAAGTCTTTCATTTAATTTAATTTTCAGAGTTTCAGGGAGAAGGTAACTCTTGTTCCACTGGAAGTTTTCAAGTTCTTCTCTCTGATTTTTTTTCTTCCTTTAGATCTGTGTGGTGATTGCTGCTGTTTTTGGCATTGTTATTTACCGTGTTGTGACTGTCAGCACTTTTGCTGCCTTTAAGTGGGCTTTAATCAGGAATAACTCTCAGGTTGCAACTACAGGAACTGCAGTGTGCATCAACTTTTGCATCATCATGCTACTGAATGTGGTGAGTCAAATTAACATATCCAAAGTTATACCTCAGCCACCAGAGCAGTAGATATCTCAGTCAGCAGACAACCAAATGGTTTCACTTCCTTTCTCAGCAGGAGTGCAGTGTCTTGACATGAAATTATTGTTTATAGACATCATTCACTGTTTATATAAAGTGCAATTCCAAACCCAAAATATTATACAATGTATGTCTGAATATTCTGAAAATATTTTAGGGAGACATGATCATATCCCTGCTTTATCCTCTGCCACTTCTTTCCTTTTTATATGTTTGCCATTTTCAGTCCACTTCATTAATATTCTTCGAATTGTGTTTTGATGTTATTTTTTAAAAATAGTGGCAAAACGAAGTTCTTATTGACACTATTTTCAGTAATTCCAATTTCAGTTTTCATGGTAGTTTTCCAGTGAGGACATGCATATGCAGACACAATGTCCAAAAGCAGAACTCCCTTGAGCTGAAAGCTTCACAAGGCTTGAGCAGACATGATTTGCTCTAGAGCTGCCCACAGCCTTTTGCAGCGTGCACCAGAGACATGGTCTGGGTGCACTGCAGTGGGGCTGGCTGATGGCAGGCTATTGTTGGGAGCTGCTTTGGAACCAGACCTGGGACAAAGACAAAAATGGAATTTCTACGTGGCAGCAGTGCCAGTAACAGTATAGTGTAGATTAGATGGGAAATGAGTTTCCTCCTTCCAGTGAGATGCTGATCCTCCTGTATATTGCTCTGATAGAGCAGTGTCTGCCCTCAGTTGCTCTTGGCAAGAGGTGTATGGCCTTTCACTGTCAACTGACATTAGAAGAATGCCTTTTAGGGGGAAGGAGGGTTCCACCTACAAACCAGCTGGGTACTGGAGCCAAGGTGGAGTATCTCTACCTACTCAATAGCAAGCATCTCCTGCAAGCAGCTTGTTAGGCTTCAGTCCAGGAGATATGCTGATTTACTTCCTAGGGAAAAGATGAGATGTTATTTCAGGTCTGCTCATTTCTGAGGCTGGCTTGGAGATTTCTTTCTTATCTATGCAATATCCAAGCATTGCCATTTTGATGGGTCCTTTTTTATATGGCAGGAAATTCCAAGAATCTTTGCTCCAGGACTTTGCTTCTTCCTTGGCATGGGCAAGAGTGGATTAGTGACTAAGACACTCTATCTGAACTGTTGTTTTTCCTATGTTTTCCCTTAGGTGGGCTGATAGGCTCAGAAAGGGCAGAAAAGAGGAAGCTGCTTTTCTGTCTGAGATTGTACTGAGGACTCTCTTCTTTTATGTTATTTTTATTTTACTGAGTTTTATCTCCAGTTTTTGGAGATTTTTTTTTTACTTTACTCCACCTAGAGCACACAATAAGCATAAGGAAAAAAATAAGAAAACTGTTTATATCTATGCCAGTACAACATCTATTTTCAAGCTCTCAATGTAAGTCATTGTATATGCAGTGAAGCAGCAACAAAGAAACACTGCACAAATGAAATTTTTTCAGTCTCAAAGAGTTTTACAGCTCAGAGATTTTTCTTTTAAATAATGGAAGATTGCTTGAAGGTACCTTTTGAAGAACTTTGTTTTATTTCCTAAAATAATCAAATAAGTGGAGAACTGCAAAGGTGAATTTCCTAAGCCTCACACTCATCACCATTCAATAAACACCACAACCTTAGATCTGGATATAGCTTATGGAAGACAAAGATCCACAAAATATGAAACTGCAGGAGTTTTTCGAAGGAAGATTTCAGGAACATAAACCCTTGCTTCCCATGATGGATTAATGTAGTTTACTGAAGGGCAATGGTGGGATTTCTTTTGGGAGAAGAAAAAACCCCAGAAGCAATTCAGGTAGTTGAATCCTGCATGAATTTTGACTCAAGAAAAGTGTGAGAAGAGCAAGAAAAGCTACAATAATAAAACCAGAACGGACCAAGATGGACACAGCAGTGGAGAATTCACTGCTAGAAACCTTGAAAACCAGCAATGATTCTGATACAAGTTGACAGCCTCTCAAAGCATCAGGGGAAAGGTCTAGACCACAAGTAAATTCCAGACCAGATGTCCTGAGCACTAGGTACCTACTCTGACATCCACCACAACAAAACAAAATGACCCTCAAGTATAATGTCTCCCAGATAATCTTGCAGCCTGACCTGAAAACAATTGCTAGTTTTACCTGGGCTATGTAAAACTGTTAATTCCAGTAATATTGCTCATGAAAAATATGAACAGAGAACAGAATATGATCCCAAACAGAGCCCCTCGAGGCTAGTATTGATAAACTACAGTAGCAGATAATTAGATCCAAACATTGTTAACGGAATCTCTAACACAGTCTTACTGTTCCAAATGGAATAGCAATGAATTGAAGTTTTGAGAAACCCTTCTGTAGAGCAGTGAACATTTGTAAAAAAACACACTCTCTGCTGAGATCAGGATATAAATGACTCAGACATTTAGCACATTTACAGTTGCCCAGAAGAGATGCTTTCAAAGTCAGACGAAACTACCCTTTTCATTACTTGAAACAAAAACCATTTTCTCCAAAGGCAGTGGAAAGCTATTGTAAGCATGAAGTGGTTGTTAACATGGATGAGAGATTTCAGGATGACTTCAGTCCTTAAGCAGGCAGTTTGATCTGTAAACAATACATAACTCAATTTAAGCAAGACATTCTAAGGATAACTGCAAATAAACTGCTGATATGCACTGTAGGAGTAAGTAAATACTTGAGCCTGAAATACGAGAAGCTTTGTTTTCCTGTAGGCATCAGTGAGAGTTAAGGACATATAGCAATTTATAGGAACAGACTCCAGACTCATTTAAAGCAAATGGAAATCATTGTATTAATTTACTTTGATACTGATGGTGTTGGTGATGTAGCTGATGGGTTCAAAACTCCTTTCCAAATACTGATTGTGAAAACCCTCCAAGTTACCTTTGTAATCTTTATGAAGTTTGGAGTCTCCTGGAGAGTTTGAGAGCATGGTACCTGGAACTGCAGAAAGGACCACTTAGGATGTAGAAAAATGACACTGGCTCAGAGCAAGAAATATGTCTGGCAGAGGGGATTACTAAACATTTTCTCTTAAGTAACTCTATCCCCTCCTGTGTCTTTCCTTTCAGCACCAAAGTGCTGAACAAAATCAAAAAGCTCGAAATAACCAATATATCCAACATTCCATAGCATGATCTTCTAGGGTGATTTTTTTCTTGTGAGGTGGATGTTCCATAAGTAACTAAAACAAAAATCTCAGTTGTGCTATTGTCTCTGCTTTTCTTTTTGGAAAAAGTTCTCTCACCCTTTTTCACTCTGTATTTAAAATAGGGACAGTGACAGCATTTCTTCTCCATATATTATGGAGAAGCATTAGCTATAAAACTTTACTTTTCCTTGTTTGATTATATCATTACTGTATTATTATGTAGTTTTATTGTCATTATCAGAACATCACAGAAATCATCTGCATGTCAGATTTAACATGTTCTCTCCCTAGAAAGCAGTTCTATATTTTTGAGCCAGCCATGTAACCAAGAGGCTGTTTCTTCTCTCTTACAGCTGTATGAAAAGGTTGCTCTTTTCCTGACAAATTTAGGTAAGTAATGTTAAATACAAAATTGAATAATATTGTACTGATTTATTGGTTCATACACCATGATAAAATTCAAAATGTCTGCATAAATACAGAACATCCTAACTAATTTGCAATCTATAGGAATTAATGTTTTTCTTACGTTTCTAATAAGAAAAGATATAAACAGAACTACTGTGCCATTCAACCAGTGGTGACAACAATCATCCACCTTTGTTCTTGTTTCAACCTCCTACCATCTAAGAATGCAAACAAATTGTTTACTATAAATAAATGTAAAATGTTTATCTTGGAGGAAAAGGCATGAGTTTTCAGACAGACTTAGCACTCACAACCTCCAGGGTTTGTAAACATGAAAAAGGGGAGTCACTTCTGGAAAACAAATTCATAGCTTGAAATTAAGGTGTTTATTGGCTATCAAACATTTGCCTTTAAGAAGGGCAGTAAGGAGGGAAAATAACTAGGTGAATCATCAACTCTACCTACACCTAAACTATATGATGTTCTAAATTTCAGTAATCCTTTCAGCTCACTCACAAAGGCAGTCTTTTTGCTAGAGCAAGGAAACCTGTTTTCTAAGGAGAGCATCCACTGTCAATGGGGTAGCAATAGGCTATCAGTCATATATCCATGGCTCAGACAGAATCTCTGGAGATCCTGATAAATTTGGAAGATTGCAGTAGTTGGTGGCAATTGGCAAGGGCTCCTTAGTGTCAAGAAACCTGAAATGACACTGAAGGCCTATTAAGCAAACTAGAATATTGCATGTATACAAGTGGTTTGAGGAGGTTATTATGAGCTCCTGGAAACTTGTGTATATTCATGTTGTTTAAATTATTTTGAACCAGATGGACAAATTTTGATGTTTTGATGCTCAAAGGAAACAACAACTCTCAGGGCTTTTCTACATCCCAGAAGTTATTGGTAAACATGTCTGTGTACAACAGAATTTTATTCTTTTGTTTCTTAGTAAACTGAGGGTCCTCATTTGCATGCTGTAGTTTTAAAATATTTTTGCTATCCTGTATCCATGGAGAAGATACCTGCTAGCTACAGTTGAGAAATTCGACTTTCAAGTTTGTGAATTGTACAAGATACGTCCTGACAGTCTGGGGACAGTAAGATATATTCTAGAGACCTAGAAGCCTGATTACTTTCTGTTAGGTTGTCATCAAGGTAGGTCTGCTTTTTGCAGGAAGCACTTGTATGAAAATTCAGCGGGTCAAGCTTTTTCAATCCTGTTCAGACAGTTTTGTGATTTTCACTCTGGTGGTCTAAAGAACTGATTTGATCTGAATTATCTTTATCCGTGTAATTAGCTCAAAGTAGAACTGGCAGCAAAACTACATTGAGGACATTGAGGATGTTCTTCTTCAGCTTTTACACGACTTTTTTCAGAACGCACATCTGTGCTTCTCCAGAGCATCACCATTGTCTCTGATGTGAGCAAAGCTTCAGCTGCAGCAGCCTGGTTATAGTCAAATTTGTCCTTCCAGCAGACTGGCATCTAATGAAAGAGCAGCTCTAAGTAAAGAGAATCAAGTTTATTGCTTTTCCTGTACTTCCAGTGCTTTACTGGAGGCTGCTTTGGAAGCAGTATATGAGTACTATCATTATGATACTCAGCATCACCATGAGTAGCTCCACTTCTCTGATTACTCCTGTTCACAGCAGCTAACAACAAGCTCCAGCCAGCTGGAAAGTAGTTCCAGAATATGGTACTGGTGTGTTGGGATGGACATTGTTTTGTTAACTTCTGTCTCAATATTTCTTGAGATGGAGAATAAAGGAACAATACCCAAAGGCAAGAATATGTCTTCCCCTTTCCTGTTTGCCTTAGCCCATCCACTGCAAAATACTTTTTCTTGGTTTTCTCTGATGAGTTCCCTGAGACAAAGAAGGGGAGTCATGCAGTGTCACTCCACTGATACATGTGGGCAAATCCATGAAACAGAATTACCAGGAGGATTTTCTTCAGTTCAGTGCGGGATCTCTAACAAAAAGGCATTTGTGGAGTGGCAATGTCATTATGGTAGGATACAGAAAAGGAAACAAGAGAAGAGCCTGAGCCTGTAAAGACCACTTAAATACAGCTGGGATGTTTAATATATGCATTAGCTTGACCACTTTCTTACAGTCTCATGGGAACATATATATACACCAGAATAGATTTTTAAGTCTTTACAAGCTCACTTGCTGAGCGCTGCTTCTGGATACAATTTCTTCTGCCAGGTTATACTTTGAAAACAGCAAGCTAATTTGCAAATACATTACCAGCTCTTACAGGTGTGTGCAGCCTTTGTGCCAAGGGAAATTGATAATCTGAATAAGCCTCTGAAACTTTGATAATTTTCTTCACAGAGCAGCCTCGCACCGAATCGGAGTGGGAGAACAGCTTCACTCTGAAAATGTTTCTTTTTCAGTTTGTCAATCTGAACAGCTCTACCTTTTATATAGCATTCTTCCTTGGGAGGTAGGATTGATGTCTACACACTCATATGTGCAAAATAAAGTAGAGAGAAGAAATAAAATTGTTTGTAATGAAACAAAAAGGATCATATTACCATGCATGTCAAAATGCAAATTCCATGCTAGCAAAGCAGAACAGATTACAGTTTTATATTCCTTTCAAAAGCCCAGAAACAGATGCAGTTTTCATTTCGTATCACCACATGGTCTCAATATTAACTTAACAATTTCACTATTGGAAACAGATGCATCTCAAAATACTATACATGCAGGTCATTTCACACTGTCTTTATGTGTGTTATTTGTACGGATAAATAAAGGATAGGATAGGATAGGATAGGATAGGATAGGATAGGATAGGATAGGATAGGATAGGATAGGATAGGATAGGATAGTTGGAAGGCACCTGCTCTGATTGCATGATCTGAACTGTTAAGAGTGAGTTATGGACTAGCATTTGAGGGGTTTTCCCACATATGTATTTATTAAATATATTATATTTTTATTGTATATTTTCAATACATGTATTTGTGTGTATATATGTATCTATCTAAATATATATTATTTGTATATCTCTTTCTGTCAGTCTCCTGAAAAAAAGACCTTTTTAGTAGAAGGTTTGAATAGAAGAATTCATTAGTAGGGATTATTTCCATATGGGAATAATTGGGGGGGGGAATTATTTTCAATGAAAACTAAAATTTTCTCTGATTTCACAGGAAGGCAGACATCACAGAGCATTTTATGGTGTAAGGAAATGGACTGGCAGCTGAAATCTATTTCCCAAACTGACATGAGCAGTTTCTCTGCTCTGCATATGTTGGATATCCAACAGCAGATTATTGGTATTGAAATAAAACTGAAAGTAAAAATATCTGTAGTCCTTCATGGGGATTATTCTAGTAATACTCAGAAAACTTTTTACAGCATAACGTCTTTTATAGTTATACCAGTCACATTACGATAACACCAGATTAAAATAAGAGTATGAGCTTTCTTTTACTACTGTGAACAGACTGCTTACACAACATAGTTGATATATATTCCTGTGTTAAAGATTTACAGGACACCCTGGTGCCTACTTAAGGCTGATAAACCGGTGGAGGCTGGAAGAGGTGAGTGTTCAATAACTGCACACTGATTTATCTGCTGCCCATAGATGCCATGAATGCAGCACAGTCAGACACATAAATCTGCCCAGGCATTTTTGAGTGTGTTATTGGGTTTTCAGTTACTGTCTTGACTCCACACTATTGGCACTACCATCTGCTACAAAAGCATCTACATATTGATATATATATATATATTCCCTTTTCAATGCTAGCAGTTCTAGTGTTTGCATCACATTCGAACAGTGGTATCAAATGGTTTAAAGATTACTCTCATATTTACATTGGAAATATTTTATCCTTGGAATGACTCAAAGTCAAATACGAATCTGACAACTTTTTGCTTCTAAAATTATCCTTTCGTCTCAGCTTTTCTAGCCTTGTGGACCAGAGAGCTAAAATAATAAAATAACGAATTAAAAATCCACATAAAATATATGTGAAATTTGACCAAAACAACTAAACAAACTTCCTAAATAAGCTACTGGCATAAATGTCAGACAGTCGCATGTCTATAAAATCAAATTAATATGAAAATCAATGAGAGTTTGGCATTGCAAGTTACTCAAGGATAAATCCCATTTTGTTTTTTTGTTAATAAATACATTCTGAATTCAAAGCCCATTTGACAGCTTTAGGAGGTGAACAGCAGCAGTTTCTGGACCAGTCATTTACTTTCCAGTGCTGCTATAATTGAATAATTGAAACGACTTTGCAGATAAACGACAAATGGTAATTGGAAAATGCCTGCCAACTTGAATTTTCAAACACTTCTGGATACATAAATATTTTGGTTAATAAAGGCCATTCAAATATTAGCAAAACAAACACAACCAACCAAACGAAAGTATTTGAATTTGAATAAAACCATATTAATTTTGTAGAGAATTCTGTTCATTCAAGGAAAGAATACTTGATAAATGGGCAGACAGAATTTTGTTTAAAATCCCTTCAAAATCTAGCTGGGGCTGAGCTGACCTAAAAACTTGCTGCTGTCAAAGGAAAAGAGTTCTGCTCTTCCTCTGAGTCCTCCTCCTGAGGATTGTTCCTTCCTCTTCTTCTGCATTGGCTCTCACTTGTTCAGCTCTGTAAGGAGCCTATTCAGTTCCTTGTATCAGCAGCAAACTTCGTTTTTCTGTCTGCATTAGTCTTCTGATGGTTCCGTGGGCTGATTAATTTCACAGAGGGATCAGAGAACAGGGAAAGAACCTCATCTCTCTGAAGAGATGGAAGGAAAAGAGAACCAGGTTTGTGAGGAAAGTGCAGCAATGAGGTTACAGGCTGGGTCAGTTGCTGGTGGAAGATACTCTTGGTATTCCCGTTTAGTTTTTTTTTCAGAGAAAAAAGATTCTAATAATAATAGAAAAAAAATAATAACAAAAGAAAAAAAGATCTAATACTTTATTGGCTGTATCTGTGCTAGGTCTTATTAGAACTAACCTGCTTTAGAATACCATGTCCGGATATCCCTCCAATACCTCTCTCTTCACCTGTTGAATTTAGCCAAGCCTGACATTTAGTAACATTAGTCCAATGTTCACGGACGTGCTCAGACCACAGTTTACAAATTATTGATGTTATGGTTGTGACATTGCTGCTACTTCAACACTTCACCTGCCTCTCTCAGGGTATATTCACTGGTATGACTGATTCCTAAAAAGAGAAGGATGGTGATTTAGTAGTAGTGACAGAGAAGTAAAAAAGAAATAAACAAACGAAAAAACAAAAAAAAACCCCAAACAACAACAAAACCAAAACCAACCAACCAAACAAAAAACCCCCAAAACAACAACCCCGTCACTCCATTAATCTGAAGAGATGCTAAATTAGGTTAACCAAAAGCTCAGCAAGGATCCAAGCCCTGAGAGCTGGATAATGCACTATGTATAAGAAATTAACATATAATTTTATGCCAGGTCATAACTAATTTTTCTCCCTAAAAGTTAAAGCGAAATAATTCCAGGTCTGTGACAGTGATTTGTTTGACTTACCTGTAATACTCAAGATTTTAAAATACAGCTTGAACTACAATGTTTGGATGTACAAAGACAAATGCACAAAGCACTGTTCGAGGGTAGAAAGCTTTTGATCCCTTTCTGTTTTTTCCAATACTAGGTAAAAAATTACCTCAATTTCTACTAGTTGAACATCTCTCCCAAAAGCAGCACCACAGCTTCAAAGTTTGGAGCCACTGCCAAAGCAAGCAAGCACTCAGCAAAAACACTAAGAATTGTTGCTCAGCAGTTAGAGATTTTTAGCTCTTCGAGGAGGGAATAGCTTTGCATGATCTCTGCTGTCACAGATGCTAAACTGTACTCCATTAACAGTTCTAGGTCTATCCTCTAGGCATAAACTCTTTAGTTTATGTGCAGCCAGGAGGAATTTTCTCTTCATTCTTTGACTTGATGCACAGTCACCCTCCCCAAAAACTATTGAAATCAATGGTGAAACTTGGTGGCCTTTGCCTCTGCCCTGCCCAGTGTTGCACAGCATGTTAGAAGCATTAATGTGAAAACTGCATTGGTTTCAGCTGACTCTGACCTCGGCAGAGAATTAGCTCATAAGCTTAAAATGCTGACAGTATGACACAGTGTCATCTGTTCCCATGAGTTTACACTTCTTGAAAAATAAGGATAATGCATTTAATTTCCTTTTAGTAAATGATCCAGTATCATTTATAGCCTTTAAGAAATGCTTTAAAACTCAATATAACTCCTGTTTAACATTTTGTTTCTTTTTTTTTCTGTAGTGCCACCCTAGTGGATGCCTTATTGATCTCTGTATGCAAATGGGTATTATAATGGTTTTAAAGCAGACATGGAATAATTTCATGGAATTGGGATATCCGTAAGTAAATATAATAGCTATGCTTCTGTAATACTAAGTTTTTGCTTTCCTTATCACCAGTTAATAAAAGAAAGATGCAGTAGTCATTACGACAAAAAATCCTCTCCCAGGACACAGAACTCAAGATATATAGATGATGTTTGGGGCTTTTTTCCACATTGGACACAGTTTGCAAAAGTGAAAGTGTAATATAAATATTAACAAGTAAGTAATACATGGGAAGTACTTGATTTTGTTAAATTGTATTTTGTGTTCTAAAACTCTCTTAAAATAACAGTGTGAACATTGTGCTGCATACATGAAAAATATTATATGTATAATTTCTTAGCTATACTAGTAAGCTCTGAATTTCATTTCTTGTTGGGTGATAAAAGACGCCTGAAAGAGCAGGTATGAGCTGGAAAAAATGCACTGCTGGCACGTGTACTCTGAAAGATAGAAAAATGTACTGACTGGTATGTAGACAAGTTCCCTTGTTATCTTCAAGGTAACATGAAGCTGTGTCCTAGCTACCAGTCAGCAATTATTCATTTCCTATTGGTTCATTCCTTATTGACTAGTATTCAATGAGCATATTTATTATGATTAATACAGGTTTAATATGATCAGTGTAGTTGATGCTAGAGACGTGGATGGTCATCAAGGGAAATTAGCAAGTGTGAAAATCTAAGAGAGGGCTGTCATTGTCAGAAAGTTTGCCCTAGCAAAGTTCAGAGGGATTTGCTATTTCCCCATCTTTCCTGGGCCTAGCACTCCTTGCCACTATTTTGCAGCTGTTGGGACTGCAAGGATTGGTTGGAATGGGCAGGAGGGAACAGTAGCAGCAGTATTGATCCTTCTTTTTTCATTCCCTACCTCTTTTGTCAGTTTTCATTAGAACTCTCTGCTTTATATTAATACAGATTTTGAAACTTAACAAAGAGCACAGAAGAGAAATAAAAGAAGGTGATTGCTAGAGATAGGAGGAGATTGTTTAAGAGCAAGTAATTTAATAGGAATAAACTGCTTCAGGTGACGTGAATCTTCAGTCACAAAGAAAATTACAACATAAAAGACACAGTCACAACACTGTGAAATGCTTCAACTTATTCTGATGAGAGATGTGTTTGCTCTCCAGGCCCTTCAGTCCACCTTCTAGCCCTGAAATGCTGCAAGCAGGGCCATTTCCTTTTTGTGTGGAAAACACCTTTCTGCTAAGAGCTTGATGGTAGCCAACACAATGTGGATGGCTAGAGGACTTGGAGGCAACCCTGCAATCTGTAGCTGAATTCAGTTGAACTGCACTCTTCTGCTTTAAGGAAGACAGGAGAAGCTGTAACCTTTCTGATAAATTACATAAATGGAAAAATAATCTCTAAGATTCAAGAAAACAAGCAGCTGCCCAAACCCTTATCCAAATCCAAAGACTATTGGCACCATTTGTCACTTTGCACCATTCATGGACCAGACCAGGCCACTGTGAGGGCAAGAAGTGAAGAACTGTCAGGAGTAGGACTAAATTATTTGGGTAATCTATCATGTTTTCTCTTGCTGAGAAAAAGTGGCCAACCACAACTTCAGAGAAAATCTCTGTCACTGTGGTTTGGGGTTTATTTGCTCTTTATACTAACTCTTAGTTAGTGTCCTTTGTTGGCCAAACCAGTGCAACTCCCTGAAAATATGTTTATTTCAGATGTGAAGATTCATTTCACTTTTGGCTCACTGCCTTTTGCAGTGGTCTTACACATGCATTTCTTTGGGAACATTATCTTCCCCCTGGTGTCCAGTACAGGTCCCCCATTTTTTGAGGTGGAGGTAGCTCCTGTGTCAGCCATCCATCTCCCAGCCACCATGTGCTGTCTGTAGTTCAGACACTTCTTTCTGCCCCTTTCTCCTCTGAATGTTTGGCTGCAGACACCATTCAGGGTTGCCTTTTCCCTTCCAGGACTGCCCAGAGGCTGTCACCCTGCACACTGCAGAGCCATGCAGAGATGCAGGTCACACACACAGGAAAGCACCAAGCAGCATTAGCACTCTTATTTACTGAGCTCAGCTATCGCCACACAGCATTGCATTCTGCCATATAAACAGACCCTGAAGGGATTTGCCATTTTGTGCAGAGAAAAAGAAGTAAATAAATAATGAAAATATGTCAAAATCCTTTCAACATTTTAACAAATCTAGGCTGGGATTATAGTTCATCAGCTGTGTCTGTTTTCATATTTATTATGCTGTGTCATCAGCCACATATATCACTGATGCTCTGTTTTCCTGTACATTGGGAAATGAATTTTGCAAGATATGTTGTGCCCAGTTAACCTCTTCCAATTTTGTGATAAATAGCAATTACTGTTCTTTACTTTGTTTCTTTCATTTAATTTAAAATGTAGGCTAATTCAAAACTGGTGGACCAGGAGAAAACTACGGCAAGAGTATGGCACACAGGGAAAAACAAGCTTCCCACAGTGGGAAAAGGACTATAATCTGCAGCCTATGAATGCTTATGGACTCTTTGATGAATACCTAGAAATGAGTATGGCTCTAACCTTCGTTCTCTCTCTTTCACTAGATTTTAATGTTGTTGCTTTTTTGTTGATGTGAGCTAGTGAATTCTTTTAATTATCACTATATGAAGCTAAGGAGACTGCAAAAAGGTTTTCATTCTCACAGGTCAGGTGAGGAATGGGAGTAAGTTTTTAACAACCAAACCAATGCAGTTAAGCACACTGCTGATGGTTTGCTAACCTTCCATCTATGAAAGACTTCCCATTCAGGATTTGTTTTTCCAAACCAGAGCCTAGTTCTTTATCTGCATACATTTCTGAAGAACTTTGCTGTTATTTTCTAAAGAAAGTTGCTTTGTGCTTTTACTTTGAAGTGCATGGTACAGACCTGCACACTTGTTTATGTTTAGAATCCTCCCTCATTTATTACCTCCCATTTACAGAGTAACTAGCTTCCAAAAGGCACTGCTCTATCTGGAGGAGAAAGGGGAATAACTCCTCAAAAAAAAAAAAAAAAACCAAAAACCAACAACAGCAAAAAAACCCACCCCGAAACAAACAAACAAAACCACTAAAAAACCATTAACTTTTGCCCTATGTGACTGAACTTCATATGTCATTATTGGTTTTTTCTTTTCTCCCTCACACAGTTCTTTTCAAATTAATGGGAAATCTGATAATCTGAAAACCTGCCACTAGAAATTAAACAGAATTTCAAACCGCTTCCCATCTGAACTATTAAAAGGGATATATCCATTCGTCATCTTTGCAAGCATTGAGAGATCCTAGTTGATGCTGGAGTAAAAATATCTCTTTCTAAAAGCACACTTTGTCCACCTCTGAACTTCACTTCAAATTACAAAATTTAGATGGTGTAGTCCATTCCAGTGTCAAGTGTGCATTTGCTCTTTTCATTCTTTCTTCTAACTTTTGATGAGGACTTGCTGTTCAATTGCCACTAGACCATTATATAGTATGACATAGTAAGAAGTGTCTGTATATTTTGTACATACTGCTTATTTGCATACACTGGTATTTTAGACCTTGGGACTAGATCCTAACAATTACACTGTGATATTTCCTTTTTTTCCCCAGTTCTTCAGTTTGGGTTCACGACCATTTTTGTGGCAGCTTTTCCACTGGCACCACTTCTGGCCTTACTAAACAATATTATTGAAATTCGGCTTGATGCTTACAAATTTGTTACTCAGTGGAGAAGACCTTTAGCTTCAAGAGCCAAAGACATAGGTGAGCTCTTTGTATGGTGTTTTTCATATATATCTGTTATTTGTCAAAGCTTTGACCACTTCAAGTAAGAGCAGATTAAGTATTTTCAGTCATTTTCCCAATTAATAATACGCCTCTTGATTGTTCAAAAAAACTTCAAGTATCTGATGCCAATCTACTTATGCAATTAATAGTTTATATTGGAAAATGTATTTTAATTAGTTTCTGTGAGACTTAACAGCCAAGGTGTAAAGTGATCAGTGTTCTCTGCCCATGCTTTATTGTAGCAGACACACTGTGCAAATACATGCTGCTGCTCAATTTGAATATAATACCCAGACATGTCAGATAAAACCTGAAAGTCAAGTTAAAGTGGCCACCATCCTGTAAGGGACCCGTGTGGTTTATATTTACCTGGCCAAAACCAAGCTCCCCTGTGACTCAGGGGCAGTTCCCACTGGGTCTCTGGTGGGTCAGACAGGGTGGGTCTGGATCCCAGCAGACAACTTGCTCTCAGTGAGTCACACCTGCATTGCTAAACACAAAATCCACATAACTCCGAGGTCATCCAGCCACACAATATTTATTGCAAGGGTTCTCTGAACTTATTTTGACTACAAATCTCTTCTGTCCTTGCAGTATGCAAAAGCAGAACACCTTTGGGAAGAACTCTAAAACAAAGTCATCTGCCCAATGCTGAATCCCTGGTGTTTTCAGAGGGGTAAATAGGAAACCTCGCTAACCAAGTGCATTGCAAAAATCCGTAGCCCGTACCAAGAAACAGCAGAGGTTGAGGCTTTGTGCTCTTAGAACATTCTACCATGTGCCTAAAGTCTGTGTCTGACTAAAGCTTTGAATGCAAACAGTGTGCATCTGTGGGTTTTGGCACAAGCCTGGACAACAGCCAGTACACTGCAGATATAATTTCTAAAAAAACCAGTTATATAATGTAATTGATAGAAGCACGGGAAAAATACATTTTTTCATGTTGATTCAGGTGTGATTTCTCAAAACAAATTGCATTCAGCAACATTTTCAGGGGCAGTTTGATGCCTCATTTAATCAATGGGTATGTCTAACCTCCTTTAGTGTGATTCACAGTGATGAGGACTCGCTGTTCAATAAGAAAATTTATTTTTACTCAGTGACTCTTGGATAAAAACTACATAAAAACACTGTGTGCAGTGGTGAAAACTACTTCAGATCATGTAGTATTTCAGGCATTTTGGTTGTTGTTTTTCCTGGAGCAAACATACTGTCCTTGTTGAACAGGCATCTGGTACGGGATCCTGGAAGGCATTGGAATTCTTTCTGTTATCACAAATGCATTTGTTATAGCAGTGACATCAGATTTCATCCCTCGCCTTGTTTATGCTTACAAATATGGACCTTGTGCTGGCCAAGGAGAAGCAGGACAAAAGTAAGGCTTTTTTTGGAGGGGGGAGGAAACAGGTGTGCACAAAAATAACTTACTATTTGAATAGATGTAGTATTATTTTCTGTGTATGTTCTGATTCCACTAAACCAAATGTATTGTTTGTGTTTAGGTAACAGATGCCAGCCATAGGTACTGATGCTCTGCATATTCACAGAATGGGTTGCTGAGTGGCTGTGATTCATGACGTTAATTCAAGGCAAACATGGCAGAGCTATTTCAGAGATTTAGTGTGTGTGACGGGATGCTGCCCAAGCTGTACTTCCCAGCTGGTAGTACATGGATATAATCCTCTCTTTTTTTCTGAAGCAATGCTGATACTAATCAGTAAAGAATTTGTTGAGCATTTTAAACTTGTACACTGGGGTTTTTTCCTGATGTAATATTCAGCATGTATTTCTCAAAAAAAGTAGTGTCTAGCAAAAGGAAGCAATTTCCAACTAATACATCAAGATATACTTACAGAGAAAAGTAATTTGTTTTTCTTCTAAAACTAGAGTTCTTAGATTAAATCTTCCAGAAGACATTTGTGATCTGAATCCCTGCTGCCTAAGTGGCTTTTCTTTCAGTGTTGCTAAACACTGAGATTATATTAACATGTGCACACTGCCAGCAAGTATGAGATAGTTGCTGCATGGCCACTTGTGAAATCTCAGTTGCTGGGCTCCGGGAAGGTCACTGAACCAGCCAAACACAGACAGAGTTTGCAAATGCTCTAGCAGTGCCATTAGCAAGGAACCCTGCTGTTCAAAGAAACCCAGGCTAAATAGCAGATAGTGACAGAGAGCTTGCATTCTGCTATTGGACATATGGCAGATTGATTTTTTACTCCCTGCTGCAGAAAGTGAGTTCATCTGTTGCTGCTTTTTTGACATCTTTTGACTGTCAATACATTTAATCATACTGATGGAAGAAGGGCATTGGTGTGGCAGTTCCCAATTAGCACATCTGCTAACTTGCTGTCCTGCAAGGATTTGGGCATTTTAGTTGGGGCTAGGGAAGATGTTCTGTTTACATTCATGAAGAGTTAAAATCCCATTAGGGGCAAAGTGGTCTGGTGCCAGTTGTTCCTGAGCATGTGCCTCTGCTCGTGCCATTATAAAGATCTTCAGGATATTGTGGCACTGTAAGCAACTCTCATTGCTAAGGAGAGCATAAGGATTAGCATATTCAAAAATCCACAGGAATAGTGAGTTTTCTCAAATTAAGGTGTGAAAACCATCTGTTATTGAATAGCTTAAAAGAAAGAGGTACGCTTTTCTTTCAAAAGACATCTGTAGGTATTAGATCCATATGACACACAGTGATACTAGAAAAATACTGGAATTAAACTAAGTTCCAAATCTAATCAATATGGAGACAAGCCAGATGGTGTTTGAATATAATTTCTCAAAGACTGTAAAGTCCGTATTTAGAAAAATCCAAACCAAAACCAAAATCCCCTAGCCCTTACTGTGCATTATACTTTGTACCAAGCTGAGTAGTGTGCCTATACTTACCTGTGTTTGGGCAGTGCAGCATGAACAGCACAACACATTTTGGTCAGATCTCCTCAGCTTTACTAACACAAACTTGAGCCTTCTATTGACACCCACAGCCCTTCAACAGAGGACATAACTTCTCCTACTTAGTGTTCCCTAAATTTTGCCTGGCCCTCACAGTGCTCAGTCACCCTGGGATCTTCTAGAAAGGAGTTTCTCTGATTAACTGGTCGTTTTCTAAAAAGCTGTTTTAAGTGTATTATCTTTCCATCTGATCTAGTCTCCCTTTGTGCTTGTACATGAGTGTAACAGTGGAAATATTTTTATTATCTTCCTAACACTCCTCATTATTTTCTCTTCCTGTATTGTGTCACCATTTAGGTAACTTTTCAAAAGTAACCAGTCCTAGTCTTCACCATTCCTTCACCCATAGAAATCTACCATTGCTTCACTTCTATTGTTCATCTGACCTACTTCAGCATTTCTTTTATACTGCTTCAACATCCCTTTCAAATATTAATAAGCATCAAAATTGTACTTTGGATTTTATGAAACCCAAAGATCATCCTCCTGGGTACAACAGTTAATGGAAAAACCTTGCTGTGTCCTGCTGACAGCATTTTGTCCCCTCTAGGTGTATGGTTGGCTATGTTAATGCCAGTTTATCAGTATTTCTGGTGTCTGACTTTGAAAATCGTTCAGAGCCAACATCAAATGGAAGTGAATTCTCTGGTTCACCATTAAAATATTGCAGGTAAGTTTCTGGTAAAACATACTTCTCTGCTTCAGGACATTGAAATGGAGAAGTATAAAAATAAATCTGGAGTTGAAACTAATTTTTAAAAGTTAAAAATGGAAAATGTGCTGTTCAGCGTCATGTTCTTCCTGGCTGTTACCTGCATGATTCCTTCCTCAGTTAAAGGAGAAGCCAAAAAGTTGGTAGGAGGATGGAGGAGCTGGTTGGCTGGAGGATGAAGGAGTTGGTATCTGAAGGATGTTCCTAATGCAGGATTTTTATGGTGTCATAGCTTGACTCAGACACAATCATCATGGATAAATATGGTATCAAAGGGCCAGTAATAGGTGCCTGATTACTGAAGTACGAGTGAGATCCAATTGTGATGGGATTATACCACAGGACATGCACAGGGAAGTCAGGGTTGCACAGGAGCAGCCACACTGAGGTATTTCACAGGTCTGACAGACATAAACAGGCTCTGTCATAAGCTATCTTTACAAAACCTCAAAACCAGCATTTCCAAATTGTTGAATTGTTAATATGTTTATGTCATTGCTTACAGGTGTAATTATTATTAGTAATCATAATCTTGTGCTTTGAATCAAAAGAAGATGAGCCATTAATTATCTGCATGTCTTTGTCCTCAATAAAGATTGGAGAAATTGCAGTCTGAGAAAAGTCTGTAATGGCAGATTTGCACCGGAGTGATTTTAATGGCCAAAACCATCAAGGATCTACATAAAGGTCTTAAATGGTCTCCCAACCAAAAATACTGAACAAATACAGCTACCATTTTTTAATTGCAATGTTACTTTACAGGCATGAGACCTGGTAGTCCTTTAGCAGATATGCTTAGTCACAGTATTTTTCACTGTGAAGAATTAAAATATCCTTTTATGAGTGCCTATAGAACAAAAGATACTCTGTGATACCACAAAGGTCTGTGATACAGCAAAAGTCCGTGATATTTGCAATATTGTGATGTTTTTATGAAGAGGAAGAATTATGAGTGGTATAGCATAATGAATGAGGAGAGGGGATGGCATTAATGCTTTCATTTAACTAACTGATATTTAAGACTGTTGCAATTTACTTGGCAGAAAGAGTATTCCAATGCTGAATTCACCTGTGGAGCAGAACCACAGTGAGAATATTCCATTCCACATTGTCTGCTATAGCATTATTTAATAATTTTTTGTCATTCTGACCATTCTCTTCCCCTCCTTTAATTCCTTTCTTCCCCAACTTCTAGCATGAAGTTGCTGCTCCTTAAATCTGATTATGGAAATCCCACAATAAAAAAAATTGTCTGCTCAATATCCCCTAAACAGAACACTATTAAAATTGGTGTGATAAATCTCCAAAAGATATATCTGTTCTTTTGGGAGACATTGAATTGTTATGTATATCCACCCTTGAAAGAAAATTAACATGTTTCTTTAGCTGAGTTTATCAGCTCCTTACCCATCTGCATTCTGCTAAAACATCAGTCATTTTAATTGCTCTCCAAGGCAGATATTGATAGGGAAGTGAGGAAATACTGTGTTCTACTGTGTAATAGTGTAGGCATTTTACCAGGAAGGCAATTTGTTTGAAAAAAAATCCCAGTTAACTTCTGGTTGCCTGGAACACTGGACCACAGATGGATTTCTCTTTTTGGGATGCTTAAGATGTTGTAAAATATCCCAAACTAGGAAGCCAGAATGCTACTTGCTCAAGGAAAGATCATCTCGAGTTTAAGAACCTATTCTAGAAATACTGCAGTTTCTGAGAGATTTGATGCTGACTAAGATGTCAAGACAGTTTATTTCAGTTTGTATAGCACTCTCTGCAATCTAAGATGGTGAAGTTTCATGAAGAAGTATAGATTTTCATAGAGATTAAATAACTATTTATTTATCTGAATTTTCATTAGTTTCTTAAACTAACTTAGTGATCAACCTGTATTATTTACTATAGTATTTTCAATATTTTTTTACAGTGGGTTTTGTGTCCCATCTAGGAAACAGATTAAGAAGCAAACTATGTTTACACTACTTTTAAATAAGGTTTCCACAGTACTATATTAGAATGAACAAACTTCTGGTAAAAATGGACTCCAGAATGTGTGACTTAAACAGATTCATGGTTTATAAATATAATCTTGCAGTATTGCTGGATCAAACTTTCCCAATAGATATCTACAGTTAAATTTTGGAGACTTAAAGTCTTCCAAGAAATACTCTATGAGAAGATACTAGATCACTTTCTCACGTGGTCCTCACCATGTCAATAGACCAAGAGGTGCAGTTCTGGCTCTGCTGAAGTCAGGATGAATCACATTTTACACCAGGGATGCACAGCTAATTGACCAAGGGCCACGTGGAGTCCACGGGGCATTTTTATATGGATTTTGGGAGAACTATCAGGCTGACAAAACTGGGGACATTTATAGGTTTAAAATGTCCTTGAAGTGGGAATAAAGTGCCCCTTAAAAGAGCAGAACATCCCACCCTTCTCCAAGTTCTGAGGAGTTGCCTGAAAGGAACATGTTGTTGCTGCCAAGGGAGAAGCTGTAGGGTCAAAGCTGTCACACCGTCCTGTGTATTTGCTTTAGGGGTTTTCTTCAGACAGACACTGGTTTGGGTCCCTTGTACCAAATTTCCATTAGCACTCCTAGAGGGGATCTTACAGGTAGGTTTCAGCTGAAAGTAAGTCCATTTGCACAAAGAAAAGCGTGGTAAGTGCAGGTGATCAGGACACTTGCTTCAAAAGCACAGGCCCAGCCTTAGAAGCAAGCAGTATTTGGATAACCTGTACCGTTTGAACTGAGCTCATTTTTGGTGCACAAAATGTAGTGATCAAGAGAAGGTGAGTTCTGTTTTTGCCTTTGGCCAGGCAGCAGTGCAGATCTTGCTAACTACCATGCTGTGCTTGTCTTTCAGGTACAGGGACTACCGAGACCCTCCTCACTCGCCAGTGCCCTACGCTTACACGCTGCAGTTCTGGCACGTCTTAGCAGCACGCTTGGCTTTCATCATTGTGTTTGAGGTCAGTCACCATTCAGGTGGCAGAACAAAACCAAAAAGAAAACTAATTTCCCTCCAAAGCTTTGCATTGGGCTGATCTATGATGGCAGATGTTGAGGTGTTTCTTGTCTTAGTTTCTTCTGCTTACATTGTGCTCGTATTCTGAGCTTTGTTTTCTGAACAGTCACAGGCATGAAGGTTCTCATAGAAAAGGGAATAGAACACTGCGAACTATAGCAGTGACTTGCAAAGAGGGGGAAATAAATTAAGTTTTTATTTACTTTTTGAGTAACTTGTCTAGGTTGGAAAGCCATATGCTGGCTGCTGTGTGAGGATAGGGCTGAAGGAACATGAGAAGAAAGTACTAAATCTGAGTATTTGAAAAACAATGATAGTTAAAGTTACAGTATTTACACATCTAGCTTTTGTTCTTGTTTGTTGTTTTTTTAATGCCCTTCATTCCTCCAGAATGTTTGGCATCACAAAGATGGTGACAATGAAAAGGACTCAATATTATCTTTGTCTATGTTCATAGTATTAGTATTTACATCAGTATCTCAGACATCTTTAAGGCAAACCAAAGGAGATAATACTAACTTCACATGACTGGTATTCCCATGCTGATTTTGAAAAAGAGACCCAGAAGGGTAGAAAAATAGGATGAGATTATTTACCCAAAACAAAACAAAAAACCCCAACAAACAAACAAACAAACAAACAAAAACCCCAAACCAAACCAAAACAAAAACAAAACAAAAAAAAACAAACAAAAGAACCTCCAACCAGCTCTTAAGGCCTAATTTCAAGTGCCTGAATATCCCCACCAGAATCCAGGAGCTCAACATCTCTGCAGCACAAGAAGTTTCAAATGCCTTTTACACTGTGAAGAAGCCAAAGAAGGAACACATGATTTTAAAAAACTCCTTATTCAATCCTCTGCTCTGAAATCATAGCAACAGGGCATTCAACACAGATATGGAAACTGTAGTCACAATTCTGGAATATGGCATAATGTTCATGAGCACATATTGCATTCTGACTCACAGAACAGTGTAAATTCATTCTGAAAGGAGCTTTCAATGCACCTCTTTGGATAACACAACAGAAGCATTTGTGTTAGAGCAAAGGTGGAGAAGAAGCTTTTCTAGATTATTATTTCTATTCTTTGTGGCTCAGCAGAAGCTAAAGGACTTCAGCAAATTCCCCATGATTGTAATTTTCAGACCTTCCAGTTGAAGGAATATGGCACTGCAGGTTGGGCTGTCTTGTTCCTCTACACTGGGTAACTTACAAGCAGTTGGTTCCCAAGGAGATAATTTCTTCCGTCATCAGGGAAATGCTAAGGGAAATAAAGAAAGAAAGGTTTGATAGAGGCATGCTGGGCTTAATCTCTTCTAGTTTCATTAGCAGTAAGTACTGAAAGTCAGGGTATGCATCTCTAGAAAGGACTACAAAAATGGTCTTGGCAGGTCAGCCTAAGAATTTTAAAGACTGAAGAGAGTTTGGCCTCTTGATACACACTTGACATAAAGGCAGGACAGTGTAGGCACAGAGAAGTGAGGCAAGAAAAATGAGCCCTGTTCAAGTCTCAGTGTCCAGCCAAATTTGTGACCAACTTTGGAATAACCTTTTGTGTCTGCCTGTTACCAGCACATCTGATTTGACTTTGCTTTATTTCAACCAAAGCCATAGGCTGGCTCATTTCTGCCTCCCTCCACATGAGGCACTGTTTATTGACTCTGCAAGCTGTCTCCTTAACTATATCTATGAAATCTATGAAAAAGGTAATTGCAGCAGAAACCATGGCTTTTTTTAAAAAAACACTAATGGGTGTATTGTGATTGCTACAGTGCTTACAGTATAGATTGCACTAAGAGATAGGGGGTTCAAGGTAGGTTTTTTCATAAATTAGACACCTTTTTGGCACTCTGAGTGTGGTTTGTTTTGGAAAATTTAACCTCCTTTGAAAACAAACAAAAGGATTTCCTATCACTGCAAAAGGAATTATTTGTCCAGGCTAAACTGACAGAAGAGGCTTTTCTCTCTTTTTTTAGGTTTGGCAAAAAAAACCCCCTAACAATTAGAGTATTGTGAGTTTATTTATCATGAGGGAAGAATACATGGGAAAACATTTTATATTCTCTTTTCAGTGGCTTTCAAAAGAAGGGTTCTGCTTAGAGAAGAAGAAATACCTTTATTTCTCCAATCTAGAATGCATGTCCTTTCTGAGATGGGGGATTTTTCTGTTTATCTATTCCTCCTCTCAAGTGAAGTGAGTAAATCTACAAGCAGCATTTTTGATCAAGCAGAAAAGCACACTCAGGTAGTCCTCGGGCATCAAACTCTAACTTTGCTGTGTCACACCTAAAATAAGAGGGACAAAGGACCAGTCAAATTGTATTTAATTGTTGTGTTTGCTAAACAGGAATATGGCTTTGGATAAGAGACACAGTGTAAGGAAAATGTTTAGGTTTTCTTTTGTATAGATACATTACTTCAAATTTCAGTGTAAGTGTTTATGGTAACAGGAAAGTGTTACATCATTTGAGCCTCTTCTTCCTGAAAAGCAGGAACTAATACCACTACTAATACCAGGCTCTGTCCAAACAACCTTACAGCAAATCATGACCTCTGGGCTTTGAACACATAGGTCATAGAACAGGTCTGAGGCCTTATTTGAACCCACCTGCTCATAATTTCTGCTAAAATAATAAATGCTGTGACCCATATTCCACTGACTTTGGCTGGAGTTTTCATGGGGAAAAAACTTCATAGTTTGTTTTCTTAAAATTTAGTAATGGATTTAGTTTAAACACAGCATTTGTCTGTAAATTGGAAAGAGAATGTTTTCAGAAGATATGAGAAGTACTTATTTTTTTCCTGAGATTTTAAATTTTTCATTCCTTTTTTTGTGTTCACAGCACCTTGTCTTTTGCATAAAGCATCTGATCTCCTACTTAATTCCAGATCTTCCAAAAGATCTTAGAGATCGAATGAGGAGAGAAAAGTACCTGATTCAGGAAATGATGTATGAAGCTGAACTAGAACGCCTGCAAAAGGAGCGGAAGGAAAGGAAGAAGAATGGAAAATCATATCACAATGAGTGGCCGTGATAGGATGGGGAAGAAACTGCTTAAAATAAGAACTCTTGTTTATAAAAAAATTCCTGGTTTTCTACAGCAGAGAGTGCACTGAAAGGAATAGTCAGTAATGTTGTGTGCACTTAGCACACGTGTGCCCCCGTTCAATAGGGTGGATTCTATCATAAGGCTTTTGAAATTAGAGGTGTTTCCAAGGCTTAGTCTTCTCCAGAGCTGATGTCAACATGAGCACATCAGACCAATACTAAGCCTTTGCACTCTTGCCAGGAAGCTCCCAGGCCCTGACTAGAATTTGAGTCCCTGAACTTCAAAGCAGTTATACAACTCACAGTGCTTTACAGAACCTGGTGATCTTACAGCTCATTCTCATGAAGTTGCTACTCCACAAGCAGTGACTGCGCCTTGGCAACGTGGCAGTGTTTGTCCGTGTGTGTGGCCACCACCTGCAGCACGTGCATGGCAGCGTTGCTCTCTTCCACAGTGGACCCAACTGGTTTAGTTTGCATTTGCCACCAGTTAAGGTCACGTAGCTGGACCATTTCCATTACTCAGCAATATTGAAGTACTATCTAGAAGGAGATGCATGATCATGAGTCTGAGCAGCTGGTCTAACAATGCTGAAAAATGTAGGCATCAGAAGTGCAGACAGATAGCCAAGCATCTAAATGTGGCTAGAGGTATCTAAATGTAGGGTCATTTATTTGGAAATAACTGTGAAAAGTTGGTAGTATAGGTTAAAGTTTTGAACAGTGCCTTTTCAGCTATAGGACTGTCTGGTGTCTGAAGGAATCAAATTAGGTTAGAGCATCTTGCTCAGAACTGCCCATGTATTTGTGACACTTAGTCAGGAATTAGGGTGTACTTAACACACGTAACAGATGTCAGATGGTGTCTTAAAGACCTATTTGCATAAGCAAAACAAACAAACAAAAGACAGATGAACAAGGTCAGCAGAATAAAACACAGTCATCCAGAATATCTACACTTACAGCATTTTCTGTGTTCATCATTCCATTATCTATGAAGAGGTGGAGGGGAAAACCAAAACAACAGAGTGTAGTACGAAACAGCTTGAAATTCTTAATGCAGAGCAATTCTACACAGGCTGCAAACTAGACTTGGGCAAAATAAGTCACTGTCAATATGCTTTAGCAAATTCCTTTGTATTGAGAAATTAAAAATTTCTGATTTAATTAAGAAATTTAAAATTTCCAGACTATTAACTCAAAAGAGTGGACTTGTAGCTTTGAAGACATCATAAATGTTGGATGGAGCAATGTGAATCAAAATACTGGGTGTTATGAAAGCTCTTCAATACGTTGTTTCTAGAAGTTATTCTGGAAGTAATTTGATAGAAGGAATAGAATTTGCCCTTCTGGACAGATAGCACAATGCAAGATCCTGTGGATGGATACCTCAAGCTCCACATGACAACAAGACCATTTGCAGCAAGACAAATACCACCAAATTAGATCTATTAACTTTTTTCCATTGCAAAGGAGAACAGTGCTATTTGCATGAGAAGGGGAAGCTTTAATGAAAGGCAATATGACTTGAGGAAGGAGAGGAATGAAAGAAAATGTGAGCACCCTCCTGTCTGTAGCCACTGCCTGCCTACACAAAAAAGCAAGGAATCTCCTCCAGTAGCAACCCACCATCCTACCTAAAGAGGATAAATGACATAGCAGCTCCCTTTTATCAGCAGCTCCTGCCCCAAGCCTGAAAGTCCTATGAAACAACACAAGCACTGAAGGAATTTCAGAATTAGTCTGTTCTGTGTTGGCTCAGCGACAAACTGAGTTGGGAACACAACTAGTGGTTGTGGGGTACATTTCTGACTAACGGGGAAGTGAATTTGTTCATCTTTGCTTCTGCTTACAGCAGCTGTGGACACATCCCACAGGACAGTGGGGAAATAGGAGTATTTCTGTCTCTGTAAATAGGGGGTGAGGATCAGGCAATGTTGATCTCCAATACACACATGCCAGATGGGTTAGTATTTACCATCCACCACCTACAATTGAAGCCTGGGAATTCTGGGGCAGGATCACTGTGCAAAATCATATTCAGACCAAATTCTCATTAATAATTGGATTATTTTGGATGCCCTCTGTTTAATGTCTAAACCAACAGATGACCAGAGCTTAGAAACTGTTTGCTAAACAGTGAAGTGAGACATGAGCCATGCATAAAATCAGTGTCACCCATATGAGCAAAATGGACCTTTGCAAATCCCTGCAGTAATATGCAGCTTTGTCAATTTACATCTCAGTAACTTCCTAGAACTGAACTGAAACACAGTAGAATATAAACTGACTTCCACTCCAGAGAAACCACTGCAACAAAATGTGCCAAAACAAAAAATGCACAGCAGAAATGCCATAGATAATAATTGCTTTTGAGAGTAGTTTTCAAGATAGCTACATTATGATGAATTTTCCTGACAGCACATTGCTAGAAGTTGTGTCCCATCTGCTCTAAATGAGACTATAAATTGGCTGCTTGCCAAACTTGTGCTGAGTATGATGCTGCAAGGGGCTCTGACCTTCCTGGCAGACCCTGAATACATCTCTGTCACTTCAGTTTGACCAGTCAACCTGGCGAGGTTTCTCTGCTGCTGGTCTGATGAACAGATTTCCCAGGAGTCCTTCAGAGCTACATAGCAGAACACTCAGGAAAGATGCTCCCTTCTTATTTATTAGGAAAAAACCCCAACCAAATAATAGTATAATAATAATAAATTGAATTTTAATAGTCTTTAGAGAACTAATTTATGCCATTCTCTTCCTGATCTGATGATGGGTTTTGTTTAAATCTCCATGTGACAGTCCTGTATGTTGTTTACTTATTCCAGCTCCACAAGAGCACTACCTTCAAGGAAATAAGAAAAAAATGCAATCTCGATGCATGGCACAGACATTTTACATAGCAACAGGACAGCACACATCAGAGGATTTACTGTGAAATCATTTTGCAATCAGCATAAGATTGTTCTCCATAGGCCATTCTTGACAGCAGCATGTACTTCATGAACAGTTACACACCAGTTTTTAAAACCAAGGGAAAAAAATGTACATTGGGACTGTTTTTCAGCCCATTTGCTAAGTTTTTTGCATTCTGTCCCACACTGGTTTTAAAGATCTTAGAATAAAAAATTCTCTGACAAAAGAAAAATCTAGGAATAGAACATCATCTATATTCAAGCCACCAAATACTATGACAGAAACTGTGTTTACAAATCAGTTCTTTTTTATTTTAAATCTTTCTGAGGGGAGTTACATTATTGACCATATATATTATATATATATATATAAAGTATATAGAGATTGTTTATTTGTAAATAGAAAAATTCTATGGAAAAGAATGTCAAGTTTTCACACTTAAAAAAAATCATCAACATAAAGCCATGTTTAATGCTTGTATAATGTGATGTAATAAACTTTAAAAATAAATTATGCATATGAAATATTTACTGTTTGCCATTGATGAGTTTCTTTCTGTTTACCTTATTACCAGCAAGAAAACTGACCACTCAGATGGAAGTAAAATTTAAATGCAGACCAAAAAGAGAAAAAATCCAACACTATTTTCTCTCTGTGGTTCTTTTGTGTATTCACATAATCAAATACTGTTACTGTTGTGGTTATAGGGTTGGGGATTTTTTATGTTTTTACTTAAATAGGTTCCTAATTGTTTTGTCTCACAATCCTGCCAGATGCTGCATGTAATTTGGACACTGTGGAGTGATCCCACTCCTGTGAAATGAATAAGTTTTCAGCATCCCACATTTCTTTATCAGGTGAGCTTTCAGCTGGGAGAGATGAAGGATCAGGATGCAGGAGTATAGTGGAGACTCCAAGAATTATCTTGCTTTTATGCAGACAAAGAAGGCGCTGGCTTAGAGTTCAGCTAGCAGAGAATAGTATATTTTCCCAGAGAAAATATTATTGAAAATTGAAGAACTGTTTTAATTCATGATGTCAATTAAGAAGAATGTAGAAAAAAATAAAGCCAAAAGAGTCACTTTATAGCTCTGCTGCAGTCATGGGAAGTTAGATAGCAAGAAAGTTGAAGAGGTCACCTGCAAAGTGTAAGGGTTTTTGTCTCTAAACCACTTACAGCAAGATAAACTTCCCAGTAAAAACTCATCTTGGTGTTTTGATTGTGGACCAATAAATACCACCTGGCACAAACTTTCACTTCATTCCTACATTTGAGTTAAATGACTGCTCAGTGTTAAATAGTGACTTCAGCAATAAAGGGGAGGTAAGATGATAATTTATGCATTTCCTCTGTTTTCAACAACTAAGTGAATTCAAAGCACAGAAAAGAAAACTACATTTTAAAAGTATGATAACCAGGAAGATTAGTGTCCATGAACAAAACAGGCAGAAGTTACAGATTATCTAAGACAGTCTAAGGCAGCATCAACTACAGCACAGTAATTTCAGCACAGAGTGATGCAGAAAGGACATGCTGATGCTGTTTCACACAGCAGTGACCAATCACCCTCTGGAGAAGCACATGAGAATTCAGCATTTGGATTGAGAGGGCTGTAGCCATACCAGCAGGCATACAGATCAAATGCTTGCTGCAGGCTTCTGTTCTCTTCCAGCTTACTCTAACTCACAAAGCACAGGCACACAGAGGTACACCAGTCCACTTCAGCACTCTGCAGCAGAGTGGAGGTAGCAGTACCTACCCTCTTTCAGATCTATGGGCTGAAAAGTACCTGGTAAGTATAAATTACTATATTCCAAGCTGAAGAAATATTCCATAGCACAGAAAACACTATCTGTTTCTGGGTGATGAAGGCAAGGCACAAGGTTTAATGAGCTGCACTTATCTTTTGAGACTCGAGAAGCATAGCCAGCTGATCCAGTCAATGGGATAATTGTCTCAGAGTAACTCAGACGGTCCCAAAACAGAGATATTTCTGTCCTGAATCTGAGAAGACTTTAATCAGGATGCTATTGTTTGTCTCAGATCTTTGATACAGGGGCACAAGATGTAAGTCACGGGATCTATCCCACTTGATCATAGCCCTTCCACTGACCTGAACCCGGAGCTGCAGCAGAGTGAGAAAAGGGGCTGGCCCTAAACTCTGCAGTGGATAATGTAAAAAAATTCAGGAGGCATGGGGGAAACCTGCCTCCATCACGCAGTTTTGCGCTGGGTTTGCCGATGGAGTCATGGCCTTGGTGGCATCCACAGAGTGTCTGGCTGGCCTGTTCTCCTGCTCTGGTCCTTGGACCATTTTTTCACCTTCGTTTTCTGATCCTAACAGCTCATCTTATGCAGTAGATCATTAAGTGCCCTCTGTCACAAGGGCACAGAAAAAAATTGATTTAGATGCTACAGGGCACCAATCACTAAGCACTATTCCAAATTGCAGCAGCTCAGTACTTGGCACAAATGCAGTATAACTTTTAGAAAGCATTTAAGGCATGCAGTCAGTTTTTCACCTAACCATGACTGCCTTCTAAGCTTCACATCCCAGCTTTCCTGCAATGGCTTTAATTTTCCAACTTCATTTTGCTGCTTTAGAAGAGTTTTAAACACTCTTGTATAGCCATAGTAAAAGTCTGAAGTACAAAAACTATACAGTGGGTCAGAGTTCCCCACTGTACCCAAAAGCAAACAAGAGAAGAAAGCAATGGGTCTTTTCACCTTCCCAAAACAGCAGCACAGAGCATGGTCTCACATGGATGGGCTGTTAACCTTGACATCCCCACCAGAGGATATGCCATTCCATAAGCTCTGCAGCCCTGGAAAAGCCTTCACCACATCACATCCACTGTGATCCCTTCTCCATGCTGGCGAGTTGTGCAGGGTGCTCTGCACGCCTGCCAGAACACAGTGTGCACTTGTCTGATCTGAACCAACCTTGAACATGAATCCCCAGAGTGAAAACAAGGATTGCAAGAACACAAAGGGCTAAGGAGGTTTCAGCTCATAGCCCTGGAGAGAACTGCTGTGGCAACTGCAGTTGCAGCCTTCACCCTTGTCCAGTACAGACAAAAGGGAATCTTCTTTATTAACATCTCTGCTGCACTGTGCCCAGCCCAGTGCAAGAACAATCCTAGGCCAGCAAGCTGGACATGCAGTAGAAGGTTACTGTGATCTATGGCACTGAATAAAAAGTGTAAATAGATTATTTCCTTCATGAGGACCAGCTCTGTAAAGGCAAGACAGGGGAGAAGAAAGAGATAGGGCATGAAGGGAAAGACAGTACTGACTCTTGCAGCTACCACCACCACCAAAGTCACTCTTACAGCTTCCAGCAGTGAGCACAGAGAAGGTGCAGGTAGCCAAGAATCAAGTGTGTTAGAAGAAACATAAATGACAAAACCAGCAAAATAAATATGCTCTCAGAATCAGTTCTATAGAGGAACCAGATAGCAGTAAATATGCCTCCCATACAAAAAAAAAAATCCACTATTTCTTGCAATCTGATAAGTTCCCACACCCTAATCTCTTCATACTTTCAATGCCTTAAAATAAAAAAGAAAAAGAAAAAAACCAGAAAAACAGTCATGTCTGGGTGAACAGCACTCTTCCCAAATAAAAAATTCACTTGGAGGGTGAAATGAGATTAAAAGCAGATATTTTCCAGGAGGCTCAAGAATATCAGGCAAATATTTCACACAGAAACATTGCTTTAGGCTCTGTCACCAAGAACCAGAGTGAGAGAGTGAAGAAGTGCAAGAAAAACCTGATTCCTTTCCTGACTAATGTCCAGGTCATGCAAAGGCGATAGTGCCACAAAGCTCAGCTGATGCCTGCCCATGACCCCAGCAGAGCTGGTAATTGACCCAGGACAGGAATGTCAACAGTGCTTTACAGGAACAAAACTGTCCTCGTGGGCTGACACAGCCTTGTGTCATATATGAAGACCATTGACTTTGTTCTTGTCACTTGCAACATCCATTTCAATGTGGCTGAAGGCAGGGTTGTCAGTTCCTTCCTCTGCCACGGTAAATGGTTTCCAGTTCAACACTTCCACTTTCTCCGGCTGAAAAACAACAGACAAAAGCCATGCCTTGAAACAGAAGAAAAAGTCTTCCTCTCTTTGGCCAGCAGTCAGGCCTGACATACAGAGTGCCTTGCAGGAAAACATGCTGGTTGCTGACAGAGCACAAATACTCATTGCAGTAGATGGTATTTTTCTAGGGGCATGGAAAGTTTTGTATTGCATAAGGTACTAATTGTGTAAAATGTTCTTGTCATACAGAATGTGCTTGTCCTGCAAATTACCTAAAGTGGTTTGGGGTGTGCAAAGTTCTAATTGCTGTTTTCATGTCTAGTGATATGTCACCACCAGGTCTTTGAGCTATTGACTCCCAACCCTTCACCCTTGCCCCATCTATGACAGGAAGAGCAGATTAACATACATCATTGCTTTGATGTTGCATTTCTGTTAAATAGAATGAGATATCGAGCTCTTCATGTGCAGAAAGTTGCTGTTAGCCCTGGTTTTTTTAATCTCATCACCTTTCTGCATTATTTGTGATGCAAACCACTTGTTATTTAGCTCTTAGCAATATAAGAGATAGATACTTGTTTCTGATTTCTTATGCCTGATTCCAGGCATAAAATAAGTATGGCTATGGACATCAGCTTTCCTGTGGGTAGTGGATTGTTACGGTTTTTTCAAAAGACTTCAGGGATTAAATTCCCAGATAGTGGAAAAAGAAGTTGACCCATTAAAGACAGTGAATGATAGTAACTGGATAGTTGATCTCCAGTACTCACATGGGCAAACAGCATTACAATAGTATGATAAAATACCCCTTTTTTCACTGGTGCTCTTATCCAGAAGCTGAAATACATAGGACTATTCTAAAAGGAGTTGTCAATATCAAGGAAAAACATTTTGAAGCTGGACAATCTTAAAGGTATGATTATTGTCTGAACTACTGAACAAAGCTGAGCTTCAAGGTTCAGCTGACGATATTGATTGAAAAGTGTTCAGTAGCTTATTTTAAAAAAATAATTCCCATGTATTCTCCCTTCTAATGGATGTTATTACCCAATAATATTTCCCCTTTTCTTTTTTCTTAAGATGAGAGCTAGGAAAATGATACACTGACTAGAAATGTTCTCTCTCAAACAGTAGCCAAAGTTACAAAAAAAATTCAGACCTTAAAGAACTTATGTTCACAAACTAAGGAAGCTTTGCTGAGTCCAAGGTGTGCCTTGGGGCACCTTCCCAGAGGCCAGTTAAGGAGTATTTTATCAGAAACATGGAGAAAACTGTCCCTTTTCTCAGTGGCTTCTCTGTTGTGGACTGAAGCTGTGGCAAAACTGCTTCCTTGCCTGTAGCAGCTGCCTTATTCCCACCTGCCTTGTACTCTGCTACACTGCCTTAAAGCAGATAGTCAATCAGGCAGTACCAGGTGCTATTCATCCTGACTGGAAAAATGTAAGCCAGGAATTTATTTATCTTCCCCAGGAAGAAAGACTGATTTAAATCAGAGATGCACAACTACACTTACTTTCTCAGTTTCAGACCGTGAGAAGTTGGACAGGAAATCTTCCTTGGTCAGCAGGAATTTAGGATCCGTGTTCTGCTTTAGTCCCCCTATAAAATAGGCAAGTTTTGTTCAGCCAGCTTTACACATGCAAACCATGTGTCAGACCCCAGCTATGGGCACCAAGCAAGCAGGACAGAGTCATGCAGCAAAAGCCATCAAGCAATCACAGACCTTAGGGATCATTTCTTTGCAAAGATGTATACCCTGCTCCACTCAATATATAAAATGATCCCTCAAAGTCTATTTGATATGCCTTAGCTATTTCCCAGTTTCCTAGATCCTCCTTGGATTTCCTATTTTGGAAAAAAGTAAATCTGGCAATCACCAGAAAAGGATGAACCACATACAGTGATGTCTGGGGCTACTCCACCAATCTAGGAATTGTGGCACCAAGTGCTACCCTGAACTCTGAGCTCCAGTTCTCAGCTCCCTGTCAGCAAGTTCCTGTCTCCAAACTCACCAGCAATTTTTATACTGAATTATTTAAGGGCACCCCCAAGACGGGGGGAAGAGGGTTAATGGAATATCTGGTCATTTTCAAGGCATGGAAGATTGGTTATTTTGGGGAGGGAAACAAACGATACGTAGGTGCTGGGAATTAGCTCTGCTTGCCACCTGAGGCTTAAATGGAATCTTGCTCCATGAGAAGCAGGCTGACATTGTGGCTGGGTTAATTCTTTTATGCTTCTGCTCTTGGGCTGAGTAGTTCTCATCTGGATTTAGGGAGTTGTCTGGTTTTCATGCTTTGTTTCATGGCCTATAGGTAACCTGATCCCTACCTGGTAAAAAGCAAAATTTGGGTTCAAGCATCACTATAGCAATGGGAAGAGCATGTGCTTGAAAGGAAGTGTGGAGCAAATCTTCTAAAAACTGAGAAGGAAAAGAAAATGAGATAAATGTAACTTGTGCTTATTAGTTGCAAGGCATGGGGAAGTTAATGGAAGTGATTTCGTCTACTGAGTTTGGAGTTTCATAGTCCTGGAGCTGTTGTGGATCAGTCTAAAAATTAGAATCTAACAGCCTCAAAGATGAGGGCTGTTATATGAATCTGGGTGGGGATATTGGGTAAAGCTCTGAGAACAGCTGCTTTTTTGCTGCTTCTGCCATGCATGAAGTGAATGACAAGTGGTCTGCATTTGACCTGGATGCAAAAGTAATGAGGCCATGGGCTGGAACTGAACTCCCCACTCTCAGCCATGGCAAGCTGTTTTTTCCCTTTGCACAAAAGTACTGGGAAACTGAGAAAGAAGCTAAAATAGCCATGCAGAGGATCTGCAGCTCTTAGGCATGTTCTTGAGGAATGTGGTGAAAAGCATGCACTCTGTGGATGCAGACAACAGCCCTTGAGTGCTCTGAACTCACTCAAAGTAAAACTGCTTTTGTCCTCTAGAAGCATAGGTGTACATCCTTGCTCGGAGTTGTTGCCATGTTCAGGGACAAGTCTTAAAGCTCCAGCCCCTGCAGGCATCTAATAAAACAGGAAAGACAGGTGTCTTTTTTTCCTCTTCTTTTTTTGCCCCTTAAGTTTAAAAATATGCTGAAACTTCTTTCTCCTTAGAGATTTGTAGTAACTGTTGCTGTGAGCAAAGACCAGGAGTGGGATGCAGAAGTGCTGAGGGGAAAAAATTTGTTTTAGGATTGTAACCTTTACACAGTGTTTGCAATAGGTTACTGGCACTTCCTGTGGCTCTGAGGACATCTTAGTTTGAAAAGAGATCTGAGACACATTCAATCGCAGCTCTGAAACTAGTACCTGTTAGGAGGCTGATAATTATTCCCACAACTACTGTGACAAGTGTCCCAAGTGTGCTGAAGTAGAGATAAGACAAGGAATACCAGTTGTCTGCTAGGACAGGCCTGAAATGAAGCAGAAAAAGTGTTAATCTCTCCTTTTCTGTTCCAAACAACCTGAAAATATTTCTTTCCAGACAGTGTGTAAATACAGAGATACTTCTGAACCAAGTGACCTCGTAATCTTGAGCCTGTAACCTCCATACAACATATGTGCACTGAAAATTTGTTCCAAAATTTGCAGAACAAGTTCCCTTGTAAGAGACAAGGCTAATCAGTACATTGAGGCAATGCATGAGACAGGTAAAACAGCACAGTCCTGTCTCTGCCATGAACCTAGTGCACAGCTGAGCACTCCAGATATCCAGATGGAGGGATTAATTTCTTTACCAAGGGTGATGTTACTTAAAGGAAGTGACACCAAAAAAAACTAACAAGGAAATCAACCCCATGCAGCTCTAAACAGCCAGAAACAGTAGAACAACTATCTTTACACCTCATTCTGTTCTCCCTGACCCTGTGACATGTTGCAACATGTGCTTCCCAGCAGCCAGGAGCATGCTGGAGGGCTCATGCCAGAGGTGTGGTATTTGAAACTGGATGTTGGGCACACAGGTGTGTGTCAGGATATCTCTTGATTGTACAATGCTCTAAGGTGTAAGGATTTGGAAACCCTAAGAAATGTGTTTTTTCAGCTTCTTCCTGTTCCTGCTGCTCCCTGTATTGTCGTTCATGTTAAACTTAACTGTGATCATCCAGAGTATGACATCTGGCAGTCGCAGAGCAGAGGAAATCTCTTATATTGTGCCCATTCTGAATATACTGAATAGAACTATTCTGCATAGACAAGTTACTGTAGGTAGAGAGCTGCTAAATGGCATTTTGCCCCTTAACTGCCAATTACCCAAATTATTGTGACAGATCATGGAAGTTAATCCAATAACTATAAATGATATCTTTGTTTAAAACTGTGGTCCACAGTAAGGCATTCCAAGCCTTTGAACTCAAATATTGAACTGAAGCTTTTCAGATCAATAGGAAGATTCACTTTGACTTCTGTTGTTAGATAATTCAGACGAACTTCAGTCTGATAGGAAAAAAAAATCAGAGAAAACTGCTGCATCTCAGACAGTGAGGTAGATAAACCAGAGAAGGATAGTTTTCATAACCCAAATACTCTACAGATGTTTGTGTTTCTTTAAAAAAATACAGGCTTTGTTACTGCACTTGATGAACTTATATACCTTTCTGCACCTGGTGTGCTGAAAACTGTTGTTAATGGAATTTCTGTTGATGTTATATTTCCTGTAGATATATTACAGCCTGCAGTTGAGAGATAGAGTGGCTTGGTCCTCTCTGGAAGTGGAGGATAAATCTGAGCTCCAATTCCAACCCAAAGTGAAATAACGAAGCCACTGACAAGACCCACAAATGCTCCCTGCAAAACAAAAAGTGAAACTTGGATTTACAAGAAAAGCAAAAGATACTTGAAAGAAACAAGAACTAGATGAGTAAGAAATAGTCAAGACAAGCAGAAATTAAATACACAGTTGGGAAGTGCTGGGGAGTTTACTTCATTCCCCTTTGGGGAAATACAATGTCTTCTCACAGCTCCTGCATATACCTCTTTTTACTTGGCCACTAGGTCTTTACAATCAAAGGATAACTTTAGCCTGCATGATATATGGGAAAATCCTGCTTAATTTGAGTCCCTCCTTGAGCAAATACAAAAGCAATTTTTCAATTTTCTCATGTGACCTGTTTTAGCAAAAAAGTCTCTCCTACATCAGAGGTAGGTGAGGTTTTGGCTGAGAACTAGGAATTAATTTTTTTTTTTTACTTTAATATATATACAAAATTTGCAACTGCAAAGAGGTAAAGATCAGTGATTAGTAAACCTGGCGGGATTACTCTTTAGTAATCCCACCAGACTAAACCATGGACCATATTAACAAGGTTTGTCAAATCCTTTTATTGATGGAAAATATTTTTCCTCTGGAAACGATAATTTTACAATACAGAAGCACTCTGAGAATACCCCAATTTGGTCTGCAAGTGCTTAGAATCCATTTTCCTGGCCTGACCCCCTTTTGCTGAGACAGACCAGCATTCTCTGAGCCTACTGGTTCAGCTGCATCTCAAGATGCATTGTCCCTGCTTCTAACACTGGTTTTAAGAAATCCTTGTCAAAGTTTCATTTTTATTTAGGTTATTTTCCCCCATCCAGATGTGTAAATCTCTTCATGGGATGGAAATTCAAGTTCCTACACATCTCCAGTCGTCAGTTCCTTGGGATAAAGAAGAAAGGGAGCAAGGGGAAATATCCTCACAGAAAGTTCCAAAGACATCTCCCTTGCTGTCCAACATCAAATTATTGGTGGGAGAGGGGGAAGGAGATGCCCAAAATTATCAACGAATTTTGGATGAACGGGTCTTTAAATTTCTACTTACGATTCCATTTGCAAAGGAGCAGAGGATTCCCAAGGCAAACAGTCCTAAAAGGGGGCCACCAACCATGCCAAAAATGCTGAGAGCTGCCTGAGGAAGGAAGAAAGTCTGCTATCAGGTGCTGTGCAAGGAAGGTAAAGCCTCCAAATTGACAAGAAGAGAAGACTAAGATTAAGAGAAAGAAATTATGAGAATTTTTAAAGTGGTTTTGTACTCAACTGCCAGGATTTTATATATGGATGCTCAAAACACAGGCTGAGCCTTGGGCAGTTTCACATCCGTACCCAACAAAGAATAAAAACTAATCTCATAATGGTATTCAGCAATTATTTTCTTACATAATTTATTCTGGGTCATTCAACATGGACATGAAGAAGTTGTCTGACACACTTACCTGCAACAAGGCTCCCAGAAGAGATGCCACTGCAGCCATAGCAATGCAGACTCCACCATAAAACAGGCCTGTGTGTGAAAGGCAGAACAATGTAGGCAGAACAATGTATAAATCTGCCAAAGTTTGAAAATCACTAATGGAAAAGTTTCTGTCTAACCCAGCATGGCCCCAACATCTCCCAAATAAATGTGCTAGCTTCTGGAGTTTTTCTAAGAGAGCCTGAATTGGTCAAAAGGTCAGGCTTCTGTTTACATTAAGAAGAGATCATGGAAACTTGACAAAATCCCCTTTCTGTGTATTACTAAAAAGTAGTTAATAAATGTCAGCCATATGGATTAGTCATACTGGCAATAACCCACTTATTGTTCACATTTCTCAGCTAATCCCCTGTGTCATTGTCTCTATTTTGAGGGAATGATTTTTACATCTCAGTCTAAAGTCTAGGAAGCAAAAGAGTAAATGCTGGTAGATCACTGGGAGCTGGCACAGTGACAGAGAACATTCCAGGTCACCACGATATAGTGTCTCTTTCCAGGAGCTGTAAAACTGGCTTACTTGGTTTTTTCCACCTCCGCCCCTGATGAGTTTCACTGCTCTAGCAAGAGGTTAATCTCACTATTCATTGTGATATGTCAGGCAACTCGTGATACCACAAACAACAATTCTGGCATAAGCAAAGTTTAAGAAACTTCTCTCAGGTGAAAATATTTAATACTTGATACCCTTCCACCAGTCTGCTGTACTCCCTAGTATGGGCTATGACACCACGTTGGGCTACACCAGCAGCTGGTCACAGGCAGTACAAGTTACAGACACGGCAATTGCACTTCACAGATTTAAACCATCTGCTCGGTCTAGTTCTGATTCTCTTTGAGTTACATTAAGCAGAGGAGCTAAACAGAGTGACAGCCTGAGAGTGTATCAGAGAAGATGTTAAATTTCTTGTTCTCTGGAATATTTTTGAGACACAATGCTATTGCTTGCATATCATTTTTTTAAAAAATTGTTACAAACAGCTTCCTTTGTTTCTCATTTTTGACAGATGAAAGAAAAACAGCAGGTGTTTTAAGTCAGAGATATTTGGCTTTTTAGAGTTGCGAATCAATACTGAACACAGATACAGTGCATCTTTCCTTATTAAAGACTAAACAAGACAGTTTCCTGCTTTCCTTGAACTCACTTGTCCCTCATTTGTGTAAAACCTACACAGCTGATCTTGTCTCCTCCAAATGTTGCACCAACATAGTCCCACTGGTGTGAATTACTTACTCCTGACATACAACATCATAAGCAAGATCTGAGTGAAACCTTCAATTTATAAAGCAAAAGCAGAAAAGATGTTTTCCAGACATACTCATCCCCATGGAAATCCATGACAGCTTCCTTTCAGAGAGAGACTTGACGTAGGGCTTAATGAGGTCTTCAACAGTCACAGCAGCCAGAGCATTGATGCTGGAGGACACAGTACTACAGAAGGCAAGAGTTATACAATTTTTTATATCTTAAAAACTGAGATCATAGATAACAGGTAGGTTACTGGCACAGAGAAGCTGCCACTGTCTAGAACACTGTCAGAAGACTAAGGCAAGTGCTGCATAGGTTTAAATAACTTATTATTCCAGAGAACAGAGTTAACAGCTTAGAAAAATTGTTTAAAGTAATTATCCTTAGTGAAGTCAAGGCACATACTGATGAAAAGTTGGGCTGGGCCTGGAGAACTGAATAGAAATATCTATTACATATAGCTGGGCTGTAAACACTACTGGTACACATGATACCTTCACAAATGATCTATGTATCTGTATACCAGCATATACCTGGATAGGTAAAATTCCCATATCACTGTTTACTTCCAATGCACTCTCAGAGGAGGATTCAGATAATATAATTATAGTCACCTAAGAATTAGGCAAACTACTGTAGGTTCCCGTGGGATGAGAGAAGACAGTACTCCTATGCCACAAACCAGGTGATCCTTTGTCTGCCTGTACCTTGCTCTTGCAAGCCACCAGCTTTTCTTCAGCATGTGAAATAAATATGTTGGCTGTTCCCTCTATTTATGTAGCTACAAATACTCAGAATAAAAAAATATTCGGGTGTCAATTAGTAAGTTTCTTCATTCCTATCTGCTTGCTATTGCTCAGAGCCTTCATTGAGAGAGACAATGTTTCTTAAAGATATTCCTTGGGGAAACTGAACAAAGCATTCCCCAGTATGGGATAGAAAGGTATCAATCTGTCTCCTACAGTACAAATATATAGTGATTGTTATTTCATGGGATTCATTCAAGACAATTGGAAGCCCAGGAATTCTGGAAAATAAGTCTCTAAAGACTGGGGGTAAGGAAAGGTAGATGGCTTTGAAGTTATGAAGATTTGAAACTGGAAAATTAAAGATGAGCAATAGGAAATTTCCCCAACTGTAGCTATTTGGTGCAACCACTCATCTATAATACTCAAAAATCCCTATAGCAGAGGGGCTTTAAAAGCACAGAGAAGGATTTGTTAGTGTTTTACATGACATGTGGCTAGCTGTTTCCTCATGTTGTTGGTAGGGAATTCCAAATAGCTTTGAGTCCTAGGACCCAAATACTGGAAACTATGGATTTTTAAGTTGCATCATCAAAGAGGTCATAGTGATTTTCTTAAAGAACAGAAATTAGCTAGACAAAGAAATAAGTACAAAAGATACAGTATAAATGCAACTGCAGCTCCAACAAAAAAAGGAGAAAAAAAGATAGTAGTTCCCAGATGATTAAATTACCTTAATGTCCCACTGTAGGCACTAGCCACAAAAAGCCCCGGCACTCCTGGAAAATCATGCAGGATATCCAGCACTAGGTATGGCATTAGCTGAAAAATTCAAATACAGAAGTATTACCACCTTGCCCTAATTTCTCATTTTATCACTGTATTGTTTTTTTACAGCCTTCTCAATGGCATTCTGTCCAGCTGCTTTAGTTTTTAATGCCCTATCTTGCTCTATTTATTGATATTTTTTACAGAGAAAACCAATCCTAAAATGTCCACTGGAGCTACAGAGAGTCTGTTGAGACCACCTAACTGAGGTGCCATGCCATCAGGACCTTGGTTTCCAGTGACAATTGTAGAGGAAGCTAGGGCTGGGCAGCAGGTAGTCTGTACTGTGCATCACTCCCTTGGGGGGGCTGGGTGCCACAGATACTTCTTCTGCTGTTGACTCCACAAAAACGGGTTTATATACAGTCAAATAACCTCAGATATTGGTACCTGAGATCAATTTCTTTACCGGAAACCATCGGATTTTTTTTTACATTTGCAAAATCTGAGTGCTGGAAAGAGAGAGGAATTTGAAGATTTTCTTTCTATGAACTTCCTTTTTTTTTTTTCCACAGACATGTTGGTATTTTTAGTATCTTGCTTTCAGTTTCTACCAAATTAATTTCACTGATAGGAACAACTTAATTTCCTTCCAGTTTCCACCTTGGCTCTTATTTTATTCTACCCTTAAAGACCAAGTGGTCCTGCCTCAGGTGCTCCATTCTCTGTGCTCTTCTCCTGGCTTTCCAGCTACTGTCCATCAGACCATTATCCAGAGCTTGTGATTATCCTAGGCTTAAAAATCCAAATAAAACTTATTTGATTTCCTTGGGCCCTGACTCTGGCCAGTCTGTAGGCTGCCAGAACTCTTGTTCCTCAGGTAAAACTGCTGCTCAAGGTCTTTTTAGGGAGAGGTCATCAGTGATGAGGTGGTTTCTCTGCAGCACAGTTTTATTGCCCATCTCTCCTCCAAAGGACTGAAGGATTCACCATCACTAACAAAGAACTGCCTGCTGATAGCCTTCCTCCAGGTGTGTGCTTTGGGCACAGGTATGTTTTGAATCTGAAAAGGATCTTGCATTAGTCAGCCCAGAGGAATATAGGTTGGATGACACAAAGCAGCTCATCAGGACCCACAGTCACTAACATGGGCATTGCTGCTCTCTTCCCCTCACTTCTCTTCAAATTAGTTTCATGCAATGCTGGCACTCCTGAATCCATTTTGGGTGAAAAACCCACATATTTGCAGAGGTGGGTGGACTGAGCACTCTCCACATTGCAGCTCTGCCTGCTGCCCACCCTACCAAGTGCTGAGGGATTTGCAGCTCCAGGCTAGCTGGGGAATGCAGGGACTGAACAGTGCCAAGGATGGGTCTGCTGCTTCCTCCAGGTTATTGCCTCCCACTGTGGTGTCAGCCTGACACAGAATTCCAGCATGTCACTATTTCCAACCCCCTGACTCTTGAACCTGCCTTTGTCTGGTGATTATGGCTGCAGAGGAAGGATACCCTTCCATCACCTTCCTCAAAATGTGGAGCCCTACCTGGTCAAGTGCTGACACCTGGTTGTCCATCCATGGGTCACAGTCTTTGTAGATGGAGTAGAGGGCCAGCCCACACAGTGTGGCACAGACCAGGATTGCCCAGAGTCCCACCAGGTTGATGTAGAGGGACCTGCAACAACACACATGGAAACACCATGTTTAAACTCAACATCTCACAAAAGACCCTGCCAAGCAGGGAAGTGGCTGTGCCTGCACCAAGAAGACCCCTGCTCAGTGACTGCTTGCTGGCAAAGGAGTCACCATATGTGTCCCAGCATCTCACCTAGAGTGAGATCACATTCCTAAATGTACAATGACAGTTCTGGAGTCATCATATAATGGAGATGATGGGAGCGATACAGCAACCCCTGCATTTCATCATGTGTATGAGTTGTGCATTGCAAGCAGCAGGCCAGAGGATGCTCTTTCCCCCATGCCACACCCCTTGACAAACCCCAAGCAGATTTGTAAGGCGGGGTGCCCCAGATCCAAGTGTGGGGTACCTTACAGTCAGCACTAGCACTCCTTTTTCCCCAGAGCTGCAATATCAAGCTTACACAATGCTGGAGTTGTCCTTGTAAAGCTACAAATCTCCCATTCCTCCTGGACAGTCTGTGGGAAGCAGCTATGAGAAACTGGAGCCTGGGATCTGATCTGGAGCTGCCTCTGGCTGCCACTTCCGCAGAGCCAGGATTCTCAACAAGCCTAGGGCTTCCCCTTTAGTGATTAAGCAGCTTGGAGCCTGGTATCATCCAGAAACTCCATCACCTCCTCATGTCATGATGCTTCAGCTTCAGATAATGGTGAAACCAGAAATGTGTTTCCATCAGGCAGCAATGCTGTCTTTGCCACACAACAGACAACTTCTACTGGTGGTGAAAAACACATTGTTCTCTTTGCTCAGTGAGGGCTTTTGCTTTCCATCTAAGTGTTTGGTTTTCTCAAATGTTTCTAAGCTCTTGATGTCTCCTGGGTCACAAAACTATTGGTATCTCCAGAGTCACAAAATTCTTCTAGCCTACAGTGGTCATCTCAAGCAAACACACCCACTGGGAGCAAGGTCTTGAAAAACAGCGTTCCTTTCCAGCAGGTGCCTCCTGGTTATCTGTGTATCACTGACAATGATTTAACTTCCTGACAGATCACATACCCTGGACCTGTGCCAATTGGTAAGACCTCCCCTGGGAGGATATTTGGTTTCTGTGCAAATATATCCATGCTTGCAATGCTTCAGGAGGCCTATTAGTGCTTTCGGTTCCCAAGAAAGTAAGGGGAAACAGCCTTTGTATTTCTGTAGACGACCAGCAGGAAGAACAAAGATGTAAACCTAACTTTATAAGCTTTGTTAGACATTGAAATGGACATTTTCAGAAAGGCATAATGTAGATTAGCTAATTGAACTATCAGTTTTATACAATGGAAAAGTTACTGGCAAGCACAATGCAAACTCTTAGAAAAGACCTATATACATAAAAGCTGATTTATGCATAGTAGCAGAAGCTCTGCATTTTTGCCTTGTATTTGCAATTAAGGGTGGTCTAAACACAGAACCGACAGCACTTCAAATTTCTCTCTAAACTAATTTAGTAAAGACGAAGCAGTCCTCTTCTGATAGAGGCTTGCATATTGATTGGATGTCTTGCATCCACTTAGCTGAAGCTGTTCCTGCACTGGCATAATCTCTGCTGATATACAACACCCGGAAACTGATTTAGCACAAAACTTAACCAATAAGTAAAATCAATCCAACTCTTTTGAACAGATGTAATGGAAGAATTAGCCTAGAGCCTGTAGTGAAGATTAGAAAGTCGAGAGAAACACATAGAAGCAAAATAAATTGTTTGTCTCGCTTTTAAGCAATTCTTGTTTTTAAACTGTGTCAGTGTTTGACAGAGAGCTGGTTTTTTTCCCTCTAATTTGCATGCCAGCTCATAGTACACCCTATGACTAAGCACTGGAGAATAATAATTGCAGCACTGTTGAAGGAGGTGTTTCCATTAATTCTGTGTGAGTACACGGGGTGGAGTTTGGGTGAAGTAGGCATTTCGACTGCAGAAAGCTTATTTTCAATTGTTTGTTTCACTCTAGCTCTAAGAATTTAGCACTGAAATATGTCAGCTGATCACCTTGAATGAAAGTAGAGAAAAATGTGTTAGTAGCCCATACTTTTCTGACAGTGTAGCTCTCCTGCTCTGAGTGCCTCTTATCATTCAGATATAAGTATTATGTTCAATTTGCCTAGTGATTGTTAGAAGATGACAGAAAGTGCTCCTACCTACTGGTGCTTCTTGAATGGGGTGAAATCCTTTCCCAAAGCCTGAGAAAATTCCTGTTCCTGTGCCACTGTTAAAGGCTTTCCCAAAACCTGTAAGTTGGGATCTGTGAAGGAATTATTTTCTGAGCTCTGATATGTTACTGTGCTGTCCCCTAAAAAGCCTTACAGCAAATGGCATGGAGGTAAAATACCCTATTACTTGGACCCAATGACATTTTGCACTTCTGTGTACAGATTAAATAACAATAAGAGGTACAGACCAACAACATTACCTGCCAAATGTGTTTAATTACATTGAAGTATGAACTAGATAGTCACCACAGAGTAGCAGTGTTTATAGTTGTGACAAGCTAGAACTATTATGCAAAATGATTTCTCCACACAGAGAAAATATCTTGCACAAGTGAGGTACAACAAGATGCCACGGATTTCAACCACCTGTGCCAGCAGGACAGGGCTCTACTGATTAAGGCTCCACAGCCATTAATATGAGAGCCTAAATTCCATCCAACCCCCTACAGAACCGGATAGCTTCCAGCCCTGGCCAAAGCTGCTGCAACAGCTCAGAAAACCTACCCTGAGGCTGCCATGTGTCAGATTCCCTTTTGGTCACACTCTGCTTCTGAGACACCCTGGAGATGTCTCTGCCTCAAAGAGGGTAGGGAGGGTTCAAGAGAGGGCCACAGCCCTAAGTGGAGCAGGTGTTGGGAAGAACAGCCTGAGTGGCACACAAATCTGGCGCAAAGTATGTGTCTGCTCTATACACAGACATTCCAGGGAGATGTGGGATGTGCCTCCTGCCTCTGCAGTGCTGAGAACCTAGAACCCAGCCACGTGCCAAAGCCTGCAGAGAAGTGATCTGGTATGCTGGAGATGTGGCAGGGAATGCTGGAGATAATGAGCAGCAGCTCATTCCTGTCTTCAGCACAAATGGCTAAAAAGCACATTTTCTTTACTGATATGAACAAAATATTTTACTTGTAAAAGGTGCATGATTTTGTAGGTATTTTACTAACTTTATGAAGTGAAAGCCTTCATAAAGCTTCCCCTCTGTATGTCACTGTACCATAGAACAACAGAATGTATAGGGGCTATAGTTATGATGTGTGCTTCTATACTTCTTCTATAAATGAACTTCATGGGATTACTAGTAACTCTTAAACCCTGAGCTGTGAACTAACAGAATGATACTAAAGACAAAGATAAGATAATAGAGCTGGTAAATATACTCCATTCTAGAGTAAAGGCTCTCAGAAATGTTGACATTCAAGGAAAACATAACCCTCTAAGTTTAAGCCAGTTTCCACAGATAATTCCTTAAAAAATATGTCATGATTATTAAGAACACAAAATACATGATTACTCTGCAATTTTATCACTGAATAAGTCATTTCGAGATTTTCTCACATCTATATTCATTGTTATGGAAAAGATTTTTAGTCTTTACATATGCAAAATCCCCACACAATGGTTTAGGTTTAGTAGAGAAGCAATTCAAGACACTGTCCTGATACGACTTCAGTGTAAGTACCATAATATTTGGTCTTTAGGTTGCACATAAACTTAATGCAGCTATTTCTATATGAGAACGCTGGTGCAGTGAAACATTGAGGCACAAAATTCAATTTTACAGCAATGACATGTAATTAATATACCAGTACTTATTGTGCCAAATTTCTTCTACCTGGTCCACAAAACAGAAGGCAAGAGTTGTTAGCCTTTATAAATGTAATTCATACAGACAAAATATCTCCACATTCCTTTTAAGAAAATCTCTCTTATAAAGAACAGACACTGCTAAATTCAGACAGTTACTGCAGACAGACTTACAATTTTGCGTGGAATCTGCTTTTGCAGGCAATGTATCTCTGGACTTGAGACTGGTTAACCCCATATATGCCAGTCCACGTGAAAGTCCCACCTATAACAATCGTCCAGAAGGTGTGCCTTTGCAAAGGATTGGGATCAAAACTACAATGAGAGGAAAGAGAGAGAACAAATTCAGAATATAAAAGTCTTCTTAATATGTAAAGACCTTAACGCTTAGAAGAAATAATTTCTCCATGCTTGCTCTAATACAAACTTTCTTACTTTGGCCAGATTTTGAACATCAAGTTACTCTAACTTTACGTGAAGTCACAGAAAGCAAATTTTAAAACTCAGAGCCAATGAAACACTCTGAACTGTCCAAAGGTAAAGCTGGAGAGCTTTATTTGCCTATAAACTACAGTCTTATGTAAAGTTATATCATGCCTGTGATGGTTGTGATGAAATGATGCTGCAGTAAAAAGTGTAATGTGCCTGCTTATCTAGAGGGACATCAGTCTAACACCAGTATAAAGGTGTGTTTACAATCCCAGCCTTTGTGGACAGAGCCTCTATAAAACATTTTGCTGGTTTAGCTCTAAGTAAATAGCAGATTTTAGGTGGCCATGAACACTTACTATTTTAAAATCAAACTTTGATATAGCAATAAATTATATTTATCTTGGTGAATGTTGTAGTATTATTTCATCTATTATATCCTTTATTCCTTTTCTTTTTCCATCTGTGAACTCTGTGATTGGGAGAAGAATCAATGCAGCACAACCACTGCAAATGAGCCAAACAGATTGAAATAAATTACTGTTCATAAGAAGAAAAAAATACCCACGGATGAATTACTGAAGAATTTGATGAAGAATTTTACAGAACAACCCAATTAATATTGTGAACTGATAGACAAAGGACAAACCACAATATGTGCTATACTAAACTTTCACTAATAGCACTGGCTGAAGGCTCTCAGAAGAATCTTGTATTCATCAAAGGTACAATAACTTTTTTACTTGAAATGGTCTTTGATTCAACATTGTCAGACTGAGTATTCTTGAACTTGTGATATTTTTAGGCTATGATTACTTACAATAATGGAGGGTGAAATACTATTTAAACTATTTTTGCTTTTTCTTTTAGGGAAAAGAAAAACATTTACCTTTTTCAGATTAGGCAAAAGCTATTATTTTCCCATTTGTTTTGGCCCAGTCACTGAAATGCCAAATCAGCTGTTTGCAAATTGTAATTATAAAAACAAATGTGCTCTCCTATTCACCATTCTTTTTAAGTGGAATCCCAAATATATCCTTAAAACACCTACTTGAACAAAGTAAAAAGGTTTTTCTCTTTCCAGGATTTTGCATGGTGTGAAACTTAAAAAAAATCCCTCAAACTAGGTAAGCTTGTTTAAAAATATACAGAAACTGGGTCACAACTTCTGCCTTCCTCCTCCTTCAGTAGCAGTTTAATTTCACAGTAAGTCACATGAGCTCGGTTTGTAGGAATAGAGAGGCACATCCTCTGCAAGCACAAACTCACTCCCAGAAGTTTAATCTTCCTCCGTAGTAGGAATCATTTACAATGCGTCCAATTCCGTCCTGAACCACCACAGCTCGTATAATCACAGATGAAAATCCAGCAACCATGATTCCAACCTGGAAAACATCTGTCCACACCACTGCCTTCAGACCACCCTGCAGGAGGAACAGCATGTATCAGGTACAACAAGGCATCAGCACTCCTGCTTTGCACTCACATTCAGCTAACAGAAAAATTACCATCTGTATTATGGGTAATAGATGAATTTCATCTTCATCTTTAGTGGAACTAATTCTGTACTGATGTCTTTAGGAATTGCATTCTGGAAGCTATTCAGGACATCCTGGCCCTTTTTTGAAGGGCACAGGAATTTACTTTGGCCATACACATAGTTTAATCCAGTATTTCCTTCAACACATAACCTGTTTCAGAAGCTTGTATCAAAAGATAAATTTTCAGACAGTGCTTATCTTACTTATATATAGCACCACTAACTCCAGAAGGTATACCATTCAACTGAATAAAAATAAACATTATTTAATCCACCATATGCAAATAAATTTCTCACTGAGGTTCCGTTTCATCATTTCTAGCCACTTGGGCAATTAACATTAAATTAAAGACCAATCTGTTCATGTGGCATGCTATTTTCAGTGGCTCTATTCAATAACACACAAGGCTGTTACAGCTGCCCCGAGGTGTTTGACAAATTGCACAGCAAAACCCTACTAGATCAGAAGAAAAATCACAAGAGAATTTCTAGAGAAAGAGAAATCTACCTTTTTTGCCATTCTTTCATCAACAACAGAAGTTTGAGTGTATCATAACAAAAAAGATTTCAGTTGCATAGTGGCTGCCTATGCATTCAGAGAAGTTGAATATGGTCCTGTGGCTATACCTGTAAAATGTAATTACATGGAGTAGCCTGATTATTAAGCTACTTTTTAATAAATTCCATATTTGATGTGAGTGATGAAAGGAACAGATTTTTCTCAACTGAAGGGTCCACGTACCAGTGTGCAGTAGAATGTGCAGACCACGCCAGTCGCCACCACTGCACCCCACAAGTCAAAGCCAGTGACTGGAAGAGAGGGAAATAGCACCAGTGTGAATGAGGCACTGGGGAAAAAACACTGAAGGTCAATTACTGGAAAAAGCTAGAAATAATTAAATGCAAAAGTAGGAGGCATAAATGGTAATGAAAAGATTAGTGTGTCTAAACCATGTTTCAGTTCTAAAACTGAAACAGTTGTTACAGATTTGGAAACTGCTAAAAAGTTGAGATTTATTTCAGGATCTAGGAAGCTATCTGCCTTTAATGTGAACACTGCCAAACAACACGTTCAATATGTCCCAACTCAGGAGAGTTTTAAAATACATGCACTTCCTTGAAACACCTGTGTAGCTGCTACGGAGCCCTTAGGTAGGGATTTAAGCAAGTAAACAGCATGGGGGTTTTCCACAGAGAAAAGGCTGCTCAAGCATTGTCTGGGAGAAATGCGTCAGAGTAAAAGCCTTTCTTTTATTCTTCCTTCTCTTAAGTATCATCTGTTTCTGCTATACAACACTGTGCTGTGGCTGGCACACAGGCTGTCACTGCCCTAGCTTGGCATGCTCACCTGCTGCCAGGCAGGGCATTGGGGGCTCCCTGACAGAGAGCTCAGGCTATGAAAAACACTGAAACAAAACTAGCGAAAAATGTAAGTTATTCTAATTAGAAGCCAGCTAAATCATAGCTTGGTTTGGCATGTATTTGCAAGGCAAACGTAAGTATCAAAGAGACACAACCTGTGGGACTTACACACCGGAGGAAATCAGTACAGAGAGTTGGAATTTTTCTTCCTTTCTGCTCAATGAGCAGGGAAAAAAAAACATTCAATAAGCAGAAAAACTGTGACTTGATTCTAGCTAAAATGATTCATTTTTTTATTTGCATTTTGTTATTCCCTTTTCTTGCCAAATGAACAAATTAATGGCATCAGATTAAAAGTTTAAATTGGCTCCATAGAAAAGCTTTTGCCCTTTTAGAAATGAATGTGGCTCATTTTCAAATCAAAGAGTCATTCTGAAGTACAAAATGGAAATATTTAACTTTGTAAATATCACAATAAACATCTTAAGTTAACAATCTCTTTGCTGTTGATTTAGTTTTCCTGGAAAAATGACAGACCACATTAAATAGTTCCAGGCAACCCAAGATTGTATTTGCAGAACTTTTGTCTTGCTCTCATCTTGAAGAATAGCACTTAACCAGAGAAATTAAATTTGTCTTTAGTGCCTGCATTGCCTTCAAAATTTACTTAAGTCTTCTTGACTTTTCTGAATAAGCCATTATCTACAGGTATTGCATCAGAGGTAAATGAAACCCAGTATTCCCATAAATCTCTTCTGTAATTCCTTACAGGCAGGGATTAAGGGACTAGGACTTCAGAGTTCCCATTAAAAGACTTCACAGTCAAGCCCTGAGCTATATTTTTAGGTGTTGCATTACCAAAAAAAACAAACAAACAAACCACCATACCAATACTATATGCAGAAGAAATCATACCGGTAGAGGAACAGTTGCAGTATACTCATCTTACCTTGATTTAGTGCTAAAGCTGGAGCATAAATGACAATACCAGTGTATAAAGTCTAGAGCAGGGGGGGAAAAAAAGGAAAGATCAAAATAAATGTAAATTCCTGGAAAGGTGATAACTTTCTGAGATGATTTCTTTTCAAGCATCTATGTACTCTGTATTTCCTAAATTCATAACTGTTGACAAATAATTCCAATTAGAAGACAAATGTCCAAGGCTATTAAGCTCTGCAGTGTCACAGCCTAGTGTTCTTTAAAAAAATGCCAGGGACTCTTAAATATAAAATCTATCTTCATCTTCTCCTGGCTTTTATAATTAACTTATCCTATTCCTTTAAAACTGCAAAGGAAACGAGCAAAAGGAAGGTAATGAGGTTTACACATGGTCTGTCATGGAATCTATTACTGTCATTTTCTCAGTCTTGAGATCAATATGCCTTTCAGCATACAGCTATAATTCATGTGAGTAAGAACACAAAATATGACATTAGTTAGTCATTACAGATAGCGTTACAAGGGATTGTAGCCTTCAGCCTGCAAAATGAAGCCATACGTGATTATATTTTCAACCACAGCAAGACACAGACAAATCAAGGAGCTACTCCATCTACCTTTGTGGGCTCATTGGGATTCATACACTGATATCCTCAATTTCTTTATATATGGTTTTAAATCCTGTTTGCTTTTTTATCACTGTTATTACTGCCACAAGTTCGGCTGTGACATGGGTCAGGAGAATACAGCTTCCAGCGTCCTAATGACTTCTGTGAAGGTCACTGGTCTTGATTCAAAGCATCTGGATCACCAATAAGTCACGAGCTGACGTGCATCAGCTTTCCATGGCTGGGCTCTTCTGACTTTCTGATTTACAGGGATGGGATTTGGGCAAGGAAAACCAGCAGAATCAGATGTCACCCAGGATTCAGGAAGCTTCTGCCCTTCCTGCAAGTGTCTGCCCTAGGCACAGATGGCAAACCAGAGCAGGATTGTGAACCACTGAATTACTTGCCATGGCTTTTGAGCAGATCAAAGCCAGTCCCCGAGCCAGAGCCCTACCACATGGCCAGCGGCTATTCTGGGGACAGAGCCAGGAGGTAAAGAGAGCAAGCAGTTCTCTAGCTGTATGAGGAAATTAGAATGGAGAAACTGCATCTCCCAGCCTGACCTAATGGCCCTGACCCCCTGCTGCACACCTGCTACAAGCACATGCCAGAAAGGTTAGGGGGGGCCATTGGGGAAATAGTTATTCCTACCTGTGTGCTACTCCCTGCCACTCTGTGTGCATGCTTGTTTCTCTCAGTGCCATGAGTCCTCTCTAGATGTTCACATACAGCTTGTATGACAAGAAAGCTACCAGTCTCGACTAACCCCTGGTGAATATCTCCTCAGAACTACCTACATCACTTCCCAGACAGTTCCTGACACCTGTCTAGCCCAGTCAGTGTTTGATTTGCCGTCCATACAGTGACTGTCAGCATGTGCTGCTGAAACACAGAATCATTGAATGGTTTGTGTGGGAATGGTCCTTTAAAGAACATCTAGTCCAATGCCCCTGCTGTGGACAGGCACACATTCCACTAGATCAAATTGCTCAGAGCCCCATCCACCCTGACTTTGAACACTTCCAGGGATGGGGCATTGCATTTCTCCAGAATACCTGGTCCAGTATCCCACTATCCTCGTTGCAAATAAATTCTTCTCTATATCCACTCAAAATCTACCTTTCTTCAGTTTAAAACTATTATCCTTGTCCTGTCACTAAAGGCCTTGATAAAAAGTCTCTCTCCACTTTTCTTATAATCCCCCTTTGAAAGGCTGCAATAAGGTCTCCCCACAGCCTTCTCTTCCCAAAATTTAACAATTAATCCCAACTTTCTCAGCCTTTCTTCACAAGAGAGGTGTTCCACCCCCGAGACCATTTTGTGGTCATCCTCTAGACCTTCTCCAAGAGGTCCATGCCTTTCTTGTGCTGGGAACCCCACAGCTAGATGCAGTACTTCAGGTGAGGTCACACAAGAGTGGAGTAGACAGGAAGAATCGCCTCCCTTAACCTGCAGACCACGCTTCTTTTGGTGAAGGATAGAATTGGCTTTCTGGGCTGTGACCAGACTTTCTGGCTCATGTCAAATTGTTCATCCACCAGTATCTCCAAGTTCTCCCCTGCAAGGCTGCTCCCAATCAGTTCATCCTTCAGTCTATATACTGGTATTTGTGATTGCCCCAGTCCATGTGCAGGACCTTGCACATAGGTTTGTTGAACTTTATGATGCCACTCCTCAAGTCTGTCAAAGTCCCTCTTTCCCTTTAGTGAATCAGCTGCACCACTGAGCATGGTGTCATGCACAAACTTGCTGAGGGTGACCTCATTCTCACTATCTATGTCATTAATGAAGGTGTTAAATAGTTCCAGTTAAAGTTTCCAGTACATAGAGCACTCGTTACTGGTTTCTATCTGAAAATTTAGCTACTGACTGCAATGCTTTGGATGCAATCATCAAGTTAATTCTTCTTTCTTCTAATAGTCCATCAGTCAAACTCGTACCTCTTCAAGCCTGTTAATTCAAGGGATTCAGCATGAGAACTTGTGGTTTTCTCACACACAGTGAATAAGCACCAGAAACTCTGAACCATCAGAAATTAAAATTTGTCACAACTATGATCACATTTTTGTGTCAATTTAAATAGGACTTATACAATCTTTCTGCTTCTTCAGCAGGTTTTTTTTGTTGTATTATTATATATCCTTTTCTTTACCTTCTTTTAAGTATTAATATTCACAGAAGAGTTAAAATTGCATCATTAAAACCTTGGGAGGTTTTCTTTCCTCACTAGTATTTAATTTATTCCGGTTAAGTTGTAAGTGCTTGGCAGAGAACGCCACATTGGTTAATTTCCTTGAGCACATATTAAGTTGCATAGAATTATTTTTCTTGTCTTTGGAGGCCGAGATTATGCTTAGCTCTTCCAACTTATCCAACTGTAATGTCATTATATCTGCTGGTGAAACAGTGTCAGGTTTCACACATGCCAGCACTCTACTTTTTCCATGAGCTTGTGTATCTGTAAAAACCAGCTAAACAGCACTGCTTAAATAAGTAATGAGCACTGCATTGGGAACCATCTTACTGGTGCAAGTGTGATTGCCGTGTAACTTCCGGTGTGCCTTAAAAAAATACAAAAATGGACAAAAAAGAAACATGTAACTTAAAAAGCTTTTGACTGCATAGTCATTCTTACGTTGAATTAACCCAAAAGTCCACTTCAAAATTGTGAAAAAAGTACATTTTTGTTCTGGTGCATTTGACATATGCTCACTGGTATTTAAAAGCTGTGGTCCTGTACTGACTCTTTGAAAGGGCCAGGTAAAGCAAACTGCATCAACAGTAATTTCAAAGATTGCTTTAGTTTAACATTCCCCAGAGCAGTAATTTTCTACTTCTCAGTTTGCACACACCCAAGGATTTTCCAGTGGTGGTGGTGCAAACCCTTGTGCAGTAAGTAAATGACAGCTCCTGACAGCCTGTTTTGTCACCTCTCCCTGACCCTTGAGAATTAGTCAGATTCTGGACAACCCAGAGGATGAAAACTGCTGCTGTAGATAACTGACACACGTTTCCATTTGGATCTCACTGCAGGTTTCTCCAGCAGACAATTGAATGACCGCTCTTCACACTGCTCTCCTGTAGTGAAGGGTGGCTCGTCTCTTGGCATGGTGCTGATGTCAAGTGACTGATCTGAGTGTTCAGCAGTGCCCACAGAGACCCATGAGGCAGGTAGCACAGCACCTGCTCCCCACCTCATTGCTGTGGAGCAGAAAGAGCTTTGTGTCTCCTGCACCCAGCCAACCAGGCACTGTGGCAACCTCGTCAGCTGCTCAGAGAGAACACCCAGTTACACTTAACCAAATAATTTCAGTGGCCCTGAGGACCACAGAACAGCTTTGAAGTTTACTTGCCGTTTGTATTATGAAAAGGACCGTTCCACAGAGGCGTAGATATTTATTAAATCGAAGTTCTAAGTACTGCAAAAAAGAAGAAAAAACAAATGTTTATATTGAAATTTGGCACTATTGATAGAACTAGAATGAAGTGATGAGCAATACAGAAAGAGCAGAGTGCAGTTTTTACATTTTCATGAATGGCCAAAACTTCTAGAGTCCTCTTGTTTGATATCTCTTTGAACTTAGTTTGGTATTTCTTTACAGACCTCACCACTGGGTAATAACACACAAACAAGTGAAGTAGACATAAGCCAGTCACTATACAAGGGAGTCTACAGAAAAGACTAGGATATATTATCACAGAATATCTAAATATGCTGAGTTGAAAGGGACAAATATGCACAAGAATCATCAAGTTCAACTCTTGACTGTGCACAGGGAAACCTAAAAGTTGACAATGACATAGCAGCCAAAAAAGTAGAACCGACTAGTTTTGTGAAATCAGAGAGAAAAAGAAAACGCTGTGACTATTCCTACATCTTATTCAGTTTGAGAACTGGCATTATGTGTGACCATCTGAACTGCTGCAAGAGAGGGCAAAGATTTTCAGTGGTCAGCAGCTTCTCCCCATGTTAACCTCACCTTCTGCACTGCCCAAGGCAGCCTGCTTACCTACTGGTAAGCCAAAATTTGCCTTTTGTGAAACCGGAACCCTCACTTTTCTATCAAGCCTGGAACAGCACAACCTCTAAATGAGTCTGTCATGCTGTAGAGCAGATTTCTTACCACTATCTGTCCTAAAAACTCTCTTGGTGTGTGGTTGTACACAAGAAATCTTATTTGCCTGACAAATCTGCTCAATTGACACAGATAAACACTGAAGCACCTCAAAGGGCTCACTCATGAACTGAGCATTTAAAATGTGATCTGTGAGCACATCCACACAAGGAAGCAGTCTTGAACCCCTGGACAGATACAAACGGTTGTTAAAAATCTGAACTCTGTCCACAAATAGAAGATACATGTTTTATAGGTGCATTACTGATTCAACGCTGAGATAACCAATGAGTTTCCAGTAATGATCATAAGCCTTTATTTAAAAGACCCCTATTTAAGTATCCTCATGACAGTCCAAAGATTAGTAGATTAAAATACACTGGAAGACACCAGAAATTTGTGTTGGTGAATTCTTATCTAAATATACCAACGGAAATCTTGTTTTCAGCCTCCAGTGCTGCAATGCCTCTATTCAGTGTAATAAAATGCTAAAGACCAAAGTAGCCAGTCAAGGACTTTCACCTGCACCGATGCTCCTTTTCCAAAGTTCTCTGTGAAATGAGCAGTTTGTTTCCAAATCTGTAGCTAGGAGCTATCTCCATGCAGGAAGATAAATAGGTTACATGGACATTCTGAATCAGACGAAAACACTGACCAGATGCTTCCCCATCCCTGTCAGACTTGACTTGTGATTATCCCACTACCCCAGTTGTCTCCGTGCTGATGGCTACAGCTTTAACTTACACACTGGGCTGAAGACCAGATCAGCCTTATTTCAGTGGAAGTAAGAAAACTTTCACAGACACAGAGCATTTGCTGACCTCCTTGTATAGTCATGATGGAGAAGACATTCGTGTAAGCAGCCTCAGGTGACAAGGGATGTCTTCAAAATCTCTAGGAGCAGCACAAATACATACTCTGCCAAAGGGGGCCTTTTGTGGTAGCATCTAAGCTTAGCAGCCAATCTGGAGAAAGCGTGATGTGATAGCTCTGATTCCTATAGTAGATGCTTTTGTGCTCTGGTTTTAATATACTAATTACAGATGATTAATGACATGTCACCATCCAAGATGCACTAGGATTAATCCACCTACTGAACTGAGTATATGGCATAAGGAAACAAATCTGGTATGACACATAGTTCGTGAGCTAAGGTAGCAGGGTTAAGGATCACCTGTTTCCAGAGACAGTGTGAGCAGACTTGTGAACAGAGAGAGCTGCAGTCTGCTCTCAGGAGTGTGGTGACACAGGACAGCACACAGTGCAGGGAATTTGGGGAAGAGAAGGTGGAGGGCAGACATGTAGAAAGTAGGCATGAGAAGCCCCTCAGCTCCCTAAAAGCTGGGCAGGGATTCTTTCCACTCCACCTTACCTCATAGGTGCTGGTAATGCCCAGCTTGTAGAAGACAGGCAGGAAGATCTCAGCACTGCACAGCACCACCAGGGCATAGGTGATGGCAAAGATACAGAAGATGGCACCATAGCGGTAGATCTCAGCAGGGGTGCCCAGCACCGTGACGGCTGACATGAAGCTGGCGGTGAGGGACAGTGCCACTGGGAGGGCACTCATGCTGCGGCCGGCCATGAGGAAGTCCTTTGATGTCTTCTGCGCGCCTCCCGCGAAGGCATAGTAGATGCCAATGATAGCTGAGATGAGCAGCATGGCCGCAAAGACCACATAGTCCCACACGGTGAATTGAGCCATTCTACCGGAGGAACTCACCCTTGGAACCAAAGATCAGAGGGCCTGCTGCTGCCTCCGCAGGGCTGGCACGGGGTGCATAAGCAGAAAGAAGCAGATGGGAACGGGTCCCCGGGGAGGTGCCCCCGCCGAGGTTGGGGCGGGTGCGGTGACACCAGCGACACAGAAGCAAAAAGGTGCAATGCGGTGTCCGCAGGTGGGACAGGTGCGGAGCGGTGCGGTGTCCCCGTCGGGACAGGTGCGCTGCGCAGGTCCCCGCCGCTTGTCCCGGGCGTGGGAGCGGGCTGCGCCGGGAGCCGCCGTGCGAGTGCCGCAGCCGGGACGGCGGGCGGGCCTTATAGGGCCCCGGGGTCCGCTCCTCCCCGCGGCGCTGAGCGCCCCCGCGGAGCGGGAAGGGGCGGCGATCCCGGGGCAGGGCAGCCCGCCCCGCTCCTCCGGACTGCGGGACGGCGCCACGGCACGGCCCAGCCTGAGCGCGGTTACGCCGCAAACTTGGGTCACGGTCCAGAGCTTTCGGAGGGAAGACATTTCACACAAGAGTTCTCCCAGGATGGGAAACCCACCCTCGCTTATTAACATATTCCACCATCTCCCCAAAAGGCGGAGGTAAAAATACCGTTTAGTATATACATTTCCATGAGTTGTGCAGTCTAGAAGGAAACTCACTAAATCAGATTTACCAAGGCAAGTTGCTGAACACTATCCTTGTGCAACAGGGAAACTCTACTACCTGCACTGTGCTCACAGAAGTTTTACTGACAGTCTTCAACTGATCACAGGTTAAAGAGTTAAAGTGCACAGGAATATCACAAATGGAGCTTCACTCACCTTACCCAGAGAGGAATGCATCAAAAACATCTGTGAGATTTTAAGGTCATGCATGTCGGGTGGTGGAGATGCTCCTGTTTCTTAGGCAGCAGTACACGCAGGACTAACACAGCAATTACCGCATTTGGCCACTTTGCCATATATTAGCAACCCCAGATGGGGAATGAAGATGAAAGGATGCTAAAGCTGACTTAAGATATGCTTGATAGCAGTGCAGCCACACACAGTGCACCATGCAGCAGAATTTAGAAGCTTTACACAGTAGCTTTCCATCTTGAGCTGTACATTGGCAAAATGCTATGCTGGAAGTGATTACCTAGTAAAAGTCAGAACCAGGTTGAAAATTAAAAATTACCCTGTTTTCCTTCATGGAAGGTAGAATAATTTTCCTTCCTGCCCAGCCTCTTCTGGCTCTTATCTAAAGCAGGATAAGCTGGAAGTAGTCTTTGTTGCAAGTGCTCTGGGTTCAGCTCAAGGTCCTCTGACCTGCCTGTATCATGCCTGACCATTTTGAGACATGGTTTTCAGCAGCCTTCTAGAAATGAGCAGACACCTGACAGCCAAGCACAGATGACGGAACACTTCTCTCTCCTTGGGAGCTATGGAATTGCAGGCCTTTTGGACTTATTTCTGAGTTCATATTGAAAGGAGGGGGAGCAGGTGGAAGTCTGTCTGGCAGGATTATTAAGTTGAGCTGTGAAATCATGTCTGTGTGGTCTGGTGTCTAGATGCCTATCTAGGAGTATGAATGTCCCTGAAGAGACAGAAACTGGCCATGGTGTGCAAGTGGTATGTTCTAATCTCACCACAGCAGGTTAGGACATCAGTCTCTAGCCCAGTTACTCTCTAATTACTTATACAATGAGTAAGAGCTTCCAGATGTCCTGTTGAGGAAGAGCAAGAAATAAATTTATGCTCTACACCTACCAATTAGGCTATTGATTCATTGACCATCTGAAGTGGCTGCGCTAAGTCAACTTTTGACAACATGAAAGATGAGAAAGCTTCCAAGCAAAGCTTCAATCAAAACTGGCACATCCCCCTCTGTGCAATGAACTGATGTCCAAAAAAAAGTATTTGTTGTCAAAAAGCATGATCCCTTTATCTCAGGAAGGATATAAATGGGCTCTGGCCCAGACCCACAGCTTGTGTTGTTTGGAGCTTCATGCTCAGTGTCCCTTGTTTGCACTCCTTCAGGAATTACAGTGCTCAAACCATTCAAACAATAACATGCATTTAAAGTATTAATTACACAGGATTAATACAATTTTAATTCTGTCTCTTTATAATTTTTGACATAATGTAAACACAGCAAGTGATAACATGTACTGGAAAACAAATCATGTTTCTTAACTGAAACACAAGCAGCTATGAGGAAATGTACATCACTCTGGTTTCCTTGGTTCTTTTACTAATAGTGTTAAGCAAATTGTCTTTAAAATGTCATCATAACCAGTATGGCATGAAAGGCTGGATCCTCCCATGAGGATGTCTCCACTTTTGGAACCAGAAGCAAATCTGTATGATGGCCATGTTCTAAATCACAGCAAGTGAACCTGGAGAACAGGACTAAATGTTTTTTTCTGGATTTTTCACAGAGGGAACCAAATTAGCTCCACTGGTTTGTGCTGTGTAACAGAGACAGAACTGCAGGTATTTGCTTTTTCTCATCGCTACAATAGATATGTAAATGGCTTCTAAACTCAGAGTGTTATTTCACTGTCTTCTTGTAACACTTTGCCCCATCTCCACTGGGCCTTATGTGGTGTCTCATCTCACTGTCACTGCAACTCTGTTTTTGTAAGATCTACTAACATCAGTGGGATTCAGTGTTTAATAGCAAGAGGGGTAAGATTCACATCTCTCCAATTAAAAGGGCCATGGATCTGACCAAACAAACCCCAGACTGCCCTATGGATTCCAAATGGTTCCTTCCATGTGATTGTATTGGACTCATTTCCGCTATGGGACAGCTCTGTGAAGTGTTACTGGGAGTCTGTAGATAAGGACATTCCCTTCCCATCATTTTTCATGTGGATGGGCCACTGCATTGAGAGATCAGTGGGATGGATTTTCTCCTGTAGACGAGACAAATATATTGAGCCCTGAACTTGGAGAGATGCTGCCCATCTCTCTAAACTAAGTTGTGAAAATAGACTTTGAGGGATTATCCTGCTTGTAGGCAAATATGAGCATGGCCAAAAACAACTGTAAGTGAGGGAAGAGAGCACTGGAGGCCTGGTGACCATTATTCAGCAGTGATGCAAGACACTCTGCATTTTGCTTTGGCAGCCTGGGAGCTTTCCAACTTCCAGTAATTCTTTTCTTGAGTGTGAAGTTTCAGACTGTGTGGGCTTCAGCTGTACCTACACCAGCTGAGCTGAGTTTGCAGATGAAGAACATGCCAATTTTACTCCTGTGTAGTGCCAGGACTGACCACTGTTCTCTGCTGCTTACACAGAGATCAGTTTGGAAACCTTGCCAGAAAATGGCTGGCTGTTGGTAAAAATAAACAAACAAAATAATTTCAAAATAAAATCTGCATAAACAGATGATTTGTTAGGAAATCAGGGATGTAGAATCATGCCCTGTATGTATATATACATGTATGCATGTGGAAGGTGTTTCTTCATGCAATGACCACAGTCCACCATCACCAAATCTAGAGAGACTGCGGTCTCAGAAAGATTAAGGAGCACCGATTGCATTAAAATAGATGGGAAAAAATGCAGGATCCCATAAATATTCCTGTAGAAAGGAAGACTGCTGCAGGACCTGAACTTATATTAGGGAAAGGTGAAACCATTTGAGAGAAAGAACTTAAAAACACAAAATTGCAGGCAAAACTTCTCATCTTCTTAAGTTCACAGGCCAACCAACACTAAGACTCGGTGATATAAGGATCTAGGTTCCATTTACTCCTCTGTTCACAGAGCTACCTGTTTAATTTCCTTTATATCACAGTTACTGTTAGGAAATCAAAATCAATAATTTACTTCTAATTAGACTGATCTTGCTCATAATGCAGTACTTCAAGTAAAAATGCACCTCTTTTACTTTTGGAAGATTTTAATTGCATCAACTGCTTCCTTGAGAAGCCTGTTGCATTTTGGTGTAAAGGAAGCTCATTGCTGATGGTGTTTCATATTTCTGAAGATCAGTTTGGGTGTTTGGATACACCTTAATCTCAACTACTTGCTGTGCTTTTCCCTACACTGTTGTTTTGAATTGCTGAGCATAATATAGCTAGTTACCTGTCTACCAGCAGCATTGGCTTTGCTTCTCCTGATTTAATGCCCCTGATGTGATTTCATCTCAGCCAGCAGCAAAGTACCATGCAGTCACTCAATCACTGCCTGCCCCCCACCTTGCAGTGAAGAGGAGAAAAGGAAAAAAAAGAAAAGTAAAACTCGTGGGTTGAGATGAGAGCAGTTTAATAAGTAAGACAAAATAAAATCTAACAATAATATTTATAATAATGACATTATTAATAATGTTAATTAAAAGGGGTGGTAGGATCCCAAAAGAAACAAGCAATGCATAATACAATTGCCCACAACTCACTGACTGATGCCCAGACCACGCCCGAGCAGCAATTAGCATCTCCTGGCCAACTCAGTTTCTATACTGGCAATGATGTTCTGTAGTATGGAACATACCCTTGGTAAGTTCAGATCAGCTTCCTGGCCATGCTCCCTCCCAGTTTCTTGTGCACCTGCTCACTGGTAGAACATGGGAAACTGAAAGGTCTTGGCTTAGGGTAAGCACAATTTAGCAATAACAAAAACACCAGTGTGTTTTCAACATTCATTTCATACTATATTCAAAATGCAGCACTGTATCAGCTACTAAAAAGAAAATTAACTATCCCAGCCAAAAACAGGGCAGATGTCTTAAAGAAATCTTCCACAGTCTTTTTTGGTGATTTTCTTAGCTTTCTTTTTAGTTATTTTTTGTCAGCCTTTTTTCTGTTAATAGTGTTTGGATATGACAGAATTACCCTGCAAGGGTATTCAGAAGAATACCCTTGGATGAGTTTCTTAGGAATAGTCACCTGGCACATGTATTTTAAGTACAGGGAGTTTCTCTTACAGAGATGTACCATAATTGTTACCTCTTTATTTCCAATAATATCACTAGGCTACATTTCCAAGCATCCTTTTAGAAATTTCTTCCAGTAGTAATTTCATAGAAGTGCCTCTTGCACAGACCGTGTTCTGTTTGTGGGCAGTAATGAGGATAAAATTATATTTGCAAGTGTCTTAAGTCTTAAAAAACCACCATAAACATAACAAGTTAAGTATTTCAA